CAGCAACAGCAGCAACAACAACAAAAGCAGCAGCAGCAACAGCAACAACAAAAGCAGCAGCAGCAACAGCAGCAACAACGACAAAAGCAGCAGCAGCAACAAAAAAACACTGTCATCATCTTCATTTTCATTGTTCAATAATGATCAATAATGTGGCCCAACCAACTCACAATCTCCAATACCCAGCCGCCGAGCCAATTCTCCAATATCTCCGGCAAAGTCTGTTGAACCCTGGCATTTTTTCGTTTTTGTTCAAAACATGGTTGGAGTGGAACTCGGAATAACCCAACAGTACATACCCAATATTTACCCTAAAATTAGTGTTTGTGTGTTTAAACAACAAAATGTGGTGTTTTTGTATATTCCTGTATCTTTGTGTTTACCACATCATTGGAAAGAACCAAACAGTTTTGACGATGGAAGATGACACATTCTAACGAGACCAGCTCATCAGCCCGATGATGTTCTTGATTCTTGATTCTTGGTGATCATCATCATCATCATCATCATCATCCTATGATTATACAATCATCATCATCCTAGGATTATATACCAGTGAAACCAACTAATGAAAACATCATGATCATAGTCATCGTCATCCTATGATTCCACAAGTCTCATAGCCGAGGTTTCCGGCGATGCCACGGTCTCAACGACCGGTGCCTCGGAGTTGGACAGTTGTCCAGATGAGTCCTGTGATGTATTAGATATTAATTATATATAATTATATATATATATATATTAATATATACATATAATATTAATGTATATTATATCTATTATACTATAGCTGATTAGAGTCTAATTATAGTTTTTTTAAATCTATTCTAGTGATGATATATAGTTGAATCATACTATATCTATTGAATCTAGTATAGTCAAACTTTGTTACGTGATAACGCAACTCATTTCAGATGTGGATGTGGGAGGTGCAGACTTCAGGCAGGCACCCAATTTTCTTGGTTATGGGTCCAAAGCCTTATCCCCTGTCACTGTTGGCAAACCCATGTTCATGCCCTAGATATGGTATTTAATGTATACATATATATATATATACACATTATATCGGTATTGATCCACAACAATATGATTGTTGCCCCTGCTTGAAAAAAAGGACTTCAATTCCATACAACATTGGGAGCATTTGCACGTATCAATTCAGAATCATGATACAGTTCAAAACAAACAATTCATCTATATACTCAAATGCCAAACACATGTTCCACAGATGTTTTCTTGCGGACATGATGTTCTCAAGTAGACGTGCATTTACACAGATACAAATGTACTGTATTCACAATGTATGACATGTCATGTCATGTCATGCAATGCAATGGAATGTAACGTATGTGTACATATATTATTATATACACATACTGTAACTCCCAAAAAGAAAGAAACGTAGATAGGATTTACCTTTTCTCTGGGGGGGTGCATAGTGACCGCATCAGTGACACGCTGGCCATTGTGAGGTACAGCCAGTAGCCAGTCGCAGTGGCTTGCAGTCACCATTTTCGTCCCGACAACTTAATGTCTAGGCTCCGTAATGGGACGTGGTGACGTGGCGGTGCGCAAACAAATTTGGGATGACACATGTTTCAAAATGAAGTCTTTTTTGTCGATTGTATCAATGATGTCCAAAACAGTTGCCGGTTAGATTTCCCCATCTAATATTGGCACCATGTATAGCATGGTCCATTAGACTAGTATTTTGGCTGATGTTTGGTACTGTAGCGTGCAAAACACTTCTAAGAAAACACTTATGAATATTATGAATAGTGCATTTTTTATATTTGTGGTTTCTTGGAGTGTGACACAATGTCCCCATGTTTTTCGAACATTCGGAATGTGGATACCTCACCCCATACGCAGCGATTTTGGTGAAGGTTATGGAAACAACTTCCGAGAATCCAATGGGTGCCTTCTCAGAGAATTGGGTGAAGGCTTCAAGTGATGCAACAAAAAATCAGGTTCTGATTTTGAAAATCAGGGTATCACATGTTTGACCTCCCACCAGCTATTGACATGGAATCAGATGTTTTGGATCCAGATGCTAGAACGACTTTTTAATACAAATGGCCATGGTTCAAAAAGGAACGGTTCAATATTGATCAATATTGAACTTATTGATCACTTTTGCTTTATTCTACTGGCAGAGTTGGTTTACTGTAAGTGAAAAAAATGCAGGGAAACCCACCAGTTATGCGCCTACGTGGAGGATCCAGTTTAGCCTTATCGAATGTTGGATTTATATGACAACGAATAACTGGGAGCTCCTGCTGCAGCTATCCCCAGCTACCTAGGATGACCATGGACAAGCATGGCATATCACTGACAGGTTGAAACCACTATCCAGTCGTTAGTTATATTAGTTATATTCCCATTATATCCCCATTATAGATTTATATATAGCACCATGTCTTGTTGCTCAAGTACCCATTGCATAGAGGAGTCCAAAAAAAACAAAAAAGCTTCCAGGCACTGAAAACACGCCAGCTGACACTGGCCGGAACGATCCAAAAGATTTGAGTTGCTGCACAGAGGTAAGTGATTTCTGAATGGCTGGTATTTGAATGATCTGGTCGGTATTTTTCCCAATAGTTGGGATGATGATCCAATCCGACTTTCATATTTTTCTGGGGGGTTGAAACCACCAACCAGATGATTGTTTTGCTTTGAACAGAATACTTCATACATGTAGCATCATTCAGCAACCCCTCAAAAGATGGAAAAGTGGTTCATCCTACATCATCCTACTAAGTTTTAGTTGAAACATTGGCGTTATTATACTTTACTATACACTTAAAATGGTTGAACATTGAACATCGTAGGGTATGTTAGTACAGACATGTCTTGAACATGTTTGAATGATCTGTTCAGTGGGTCCAGGTTTCATGACCTGAATGGTCACCCAATGACATGACGGATGGCCATTGTTTCAATGGGATAAATGTGGCCATGACATGGCAAAAATGGTGGTTGTTGATTGCAGATGAAAACAAACATTTAAAGATATCTAATGGCCGCTATGACATCCATGACCGTCAAATATGTGCAAGACCAAGAACAAATCATCATCATCATTTCTTGTTTGAGATTTCTTTCCCAAGTTTGTCGGATGCAACATTTGGCTTTAGCATCGGAGCGTAGCTTATTTGCAAGCGGTGTTGTGCTGAGCACCACCGTCTCGGCCCATGGCGCAGACGATCTTCCTGGAGATGGAGTTTGCCTAGCGATTGTTGGGTTTTCCTGTGAGGGTTTACATGGGAAACTCCCACCATGGCAAAACCTGTCCAAAGTGTCGCATTTTGTGTTGGTTACTGGAAGGTACACCCTTTTAGGACTAGGATTCCTACAGCATCCTATTTACAAAGCAAGGCGTTCCCAGTCGTGACCCCCACGGATTTTTGACTCGCGGCTAGCCGCGAGTCATTGAACAGTCCATCGTTCTGGGATGTTTTGCGGATATGGATAAGGTTTTGTTATAATTCAAAAACCCAAAAGTCGTAGATTGATGTTGCTTATTGTTTGATCATATGTGCCATTAATGCTGTGGGTGCAGTACCCCGTTTTGCAAAACAGGCATGCAATTTTATTTTTGCTATATTCTTGCTTGCATTGTTGTTTTCTTCAGGAATTGAGTGGGCAGCTTCAACCACAGCCCAGTACAGCAAGCTGTTGACTGCCTATAGTTCGCGGGTCAGCAATAAGCGGTGGTGGTTTAGCCCCACCATGTGGGTCTGACCAAAGATGTCAAAAATGGGGGATGTCCCGATTTCTTGCCATTTCTTATGGGGAAGTTTTGGCGACAGATTGGGATTTGTCGTACTGAGATATCATGATGGATATCATGATATAACCATTGTGTCTCCATCATTCAACCAAATATGTGTCAAAGTTGCTGCAAGATACCATTTGTCATATACATATATTATATTATATATATATATATCAGCCAAATATTTGTCATAGATATCAATGGTTACAGTTCTCTCCTGGGCTCGGTATATAGAAGCACGGCTAGCGGCCAGCGACGACACGAGATGAAGGCTACGGATCTCGAAGCGACGACAGCGCGGTACGAGGAAAAATGCAGGACGACGAAGACGGGGTGCTATCAGGCCGACAATAAGTGAATATAGTGATATGTCTGCATTATATAATAGAATATTATATTAAGTTATTGTTTATAATTGTGTTTTTTGTTTGCCGATGTTGTTAAATGTACTCTGAGTGTCGTGCTGGTAACATGTTTCCAGAAATCAAGGCTTGAAATTGGACATATTGCAAACTTCACCAGCTTAATTTTGGTTTGGGGTTAAATTTCTGCCATTGTGACCATGGTATTGAACTTGTTTTTGCTGAGATTCTGTGGGGCTCGGTGGGGCTGGTGGGTGGTTTGATATAGTTTGATGTGTTTGTCCCATCCAGTTTTCTGGAATGATTGTCCCCAATGTCTCCCCTGAGCCTTCAAGGGAGTTGAGGTCACAAACTGACGAAGCTCGACAATTTGACACAGAAAACAGACAAGGACCAACATTTGCGGGTTGATGCCTAAACCAACCATGACAAGGAAATAACTTGAACTAGTTGACTGTGAGGCTTGTGTTTGTCACTCAAGTGGTCTGTTGTGAAATGCCATGCCCGGGTACGGATGGTTTCCAGTGGTTTCCAGTGCAACTTCAAAACCCAACTGGTGTGTCCCAAAATATTTGAATGGGGATGCCAAGTTCTTCAGTCGGACACATGACGGGAATATCTGGTGAGTTCTTCACATCTTCTGTTGTGATTCACTGTCCTCATCCCTTCCATTCCATTCCTTCATCTGCACAGGTGCTCAAGCCAGTTTAATTATTTGGGTCCCTTGTTCGGTTGCAAACGGTGGAAACGGAAAACAGGTCCGTATTAGCGGCATGGGATGGCCCTATTGCTATGATATTGGTATGGTCTTGGGGTTTAGCATGCTTTACCCATGATTTGCCCACTGGCGCCGGCACACCATGAATGATGAGTTGGAGCTGGACGGCAACTGGACCGTGGGGAATGTCGCTCGAAAGAGGCATGGAACAACGGTGGGCATGGGGAAAATGATGGTGAACCAATTGAATTTAGAGGTAGCCCACTTTCAGACATAACCATTTGAGGAGCTCACATCTCTATGGCACTGCTTGGATGTTGACCTCAATATTTCTGATTTTTCATCCCATCCAGTAACTCAATCCCTGCGCAAATTGTGGTTTGTTGTGCTCTGTTGTGGTTAATTTGACTTGATTCTTACGTCTTGCAGATGGATGGTTAAACCATCAACTATCATCAATTACCATCTTGTAAATTAACAGTTTGACCCTGAACATCACCAATTTTAGTGGAAACGAATCTTCCAGCCCCTATCTGTCAGGGTCTATGTTAATTTACTGGAGGGTAGTTAGTATCCCCAAAAACCTCCGGGCCAGGAAACGTCTCAAAACTGCGAAAGTTGAAGCTGGCCAGCTGGATGAGTCATGGAACCCAGTTGCCTGAAGCCTGCCTCTTTGCAACCCTGGTGACCAAATATCACATTCTTTTGGCTGTGATATGTTGTGATGCTAACCACGTGACAGACGCACGCAAACTGCTTTTTGGAGTTCCGGGTCATGACATGTTCCCGCTTGACCCTCAATTTGACCCAGACAAAACTGGTCCAAATATGTCCAAATATGTCCAAATACAATAGCTACTAAAAGTATGTGGTAAATTCCACTTTTTACAGCAAACAATTGATACCTTCCTCCATAGCATCCTATAACTGGGGTCAGATCATGGTCAGATCTTAGGTCCACTCCCGAACCCAAGAAGCGGAAACGCAAGGGGGGCAAAGTCTTGGAGGCGGGAAATCCCCCGCGGCGGAGGATGCTGGGAAAATCATCGAACTACTCCCATCCTCCTGATCTATGGGGGTGTGGAAAACCACTGAAGCATCCCACGGCGTCAGTCTTCTCGTCTACTGTTACTTCTACAATTATGTTACTTCTGCCAATATACTGTTTCTTCTACAATTCTGCCACTTGTTATGTTTTCTTATAGATTATATAAATATATATATATATATTATATACATGGTGTGAGCCTCTTCTTTTAGATGACGCATGCTATTTCGACACATACATATGTACGTATGTTTATATATATATAGAGATATGAATAGGAAAACTATGCTTGGAATCAGCAGATTTTGGATTACCCTATTTTCAGACAAACCCGTACATATGTACTATGCTGTAGTCATATCTTAATACAAAAGTTGTTCAGTTATCCCGAAGTACACTGTTACTTGGTGGTGGTGGTTGACCAGTGTTGATCTTTTAAATCCCAACTACCTGTCAAAAACACATTCCAACTACCCCTTTTCGGCATATTCCAAAGAGGTCCAATGAGGTCTAAATATTCCAACTATGTCCAATAAGTGATCGGCCCAAACTTCATAAATCCAGACACCCTTCAATTTTATATTCGATCTTAGGATCACTATGTATATACATACATATTTTATATAACATTATCACATTTGACAGACATAAATATCCCGGCGGACCGGAAACCGTGCTCGTGAAAATAGAGTTTTACAAAAAAATGGTGTTTTGCCTCAGCGAGGCAACCATTGTTGTCACTCGAAAAGTGGGAAATTTGGACGTCCAAATTTGGGTGTTTTTGGGTGTTTGAGATCTCTGCAGCGTAGCAACCTGTAACGTAGCAACAAAACCAGAGATCTCTGCAGCGTAGCAACATCTAATGTTCGCACTACAAGGAACGTTAACATGCCCCCCCACCCCACCCCAACATAACCTCCGACCTGGCGTTTCCAAAAACGTGCATTTTGCGAGCACGGTTTTCGGTCCGCAGGCATAAATATGTGTTACGTATATGTATGCATATGTGCATGTTTTTTTTTCCGTAATCCCCCACCCCTGCTATTTCCTCTATAAAATGGAGGGGCGGCGGACCTGTGTACCGTTTTGGAATTATATATAGATATATATAGACATGTGTATACAGTATATACATGTATAATATATACACACGTGTCCTGTCTTGCGATTGTTAGCAAGGCCTAGGGCCCCATATCTTTGGATTGAAAATGAAACCCCAGACCCCAGAATGGCATTGCCCAGATTGAATCCCAGGGATCCAGCCATACCTTCTGAGGAAGTGATTTGGGTATCATAAGGGGGTCAAGTACCATCTAAGAAGTCATTTGAATCCATACAAGGGGGTACTCCCCAAGTATTTCTATGATTTATAGATATGTTTAGATATCTATAGACCAATCTAACATGATCTAACTATATACCACAAACAAAGAGTGACATCAGTGACGTACTCCCATTCGGCCAGGCCGTGCTGGCGTCTGAGCTGCCACCAATCGGCAAAGTGTCCTTGAAGAAATGGGCCATGACCCGGTGCGCCATGGGAAACATGGGATTTTGACCAATGACAAATGGTAGTTTGGTCATTTTTCCCATGAAACAATGTATGTCAACAATGAGAATATGTTTTTTCAACCAAGGATTGGATTTAACATGGATTTAACCATTGAATATGTTTTGTTATGTTAACCATCCAACATGAGGTAAAGGAACCATCAATATATATATATATATATGGGATTGTAGCCATCAAACAGAGTGTGTTTTTCGGCATCAAAGATTTGGCATTATGGGTGGTTGCATGGTTTTTGTTGGGACCGTAACCATCACCGACTGGTCAAGGGTAGTAACTAACCGTTGACCAGGATGAGCAACATGCGAGTTATACACTTTGGGGCCATAAATGATGGATGGTTGATGTTTCGGACTGGGGGTATGCCGATTGATCGAATTAGTGTTGTTATAATTAATCATGCCCGCACGGCATGGTTCGTAACGAGAACAAGAATTATCCAAACGAAAAGACCAACTAATCTGGTCTAGCCATCCTATTTCTAAAAGAACAACTACACCCTCTGATAGTTTAACATAGCTATGAAAAATGGTTCCTGCCGTGGTTCCATGATTTACCTACACTAAACCTCTAATGATCCCAGCGAAGCCAGGATCTCCACTGCCTGGGTGGCAGAGGCCAAGAGTAAGAAGCTCTCGCCTCTGGAAGTGCTGCTCGGGCCGCGGGGTCGGGGGTGCATCCCATTTAGTAAATGACTTTTACCCCCAGCTATAAAGGGACTGTCCACACTTTTGTATGGGATTATATGGGTTATATATAGATTAATTATAAGCCACTTTCTAAGTGGGATGCACATCCAAGAGGTGTAAACAGGTAAACTGAACCATCCCATGGTGAAAATCATGTCCCCAATTACATTCAATAAGAAGGTTTGAAATTTGGTTTCGAAACTCCGGACTTTTTCTGATAATTGTTATATATATATAGGTCTTTCACCCCATAAGTTGTTTGCACTTGTAACATGTCTTGAGTGGATACTTTGAGTGTCTTGATACGTTCAATATTCCATGGCGTGGAAAATCCTTGATACTTGTGAATGTCAATCGCAAAAACAAATGGTATACCGGGCTGACAAAAGGGGGTGCGAAACCAGCTGCAGTTTCTACTGGGGATGCAATCAACCAAATTGGATCTTGAGAGCAGGTCTGAAGGAAAATGCTGCATGTTGCAAGAAACATCACACCCTACAAAGAAGTTCTATAGATAGAAAAGACATATAGACATAAACAATTTCAATCTGGAGTTTTTCACCCCACAGATGGTGTTTTAAACCATCGGTATGCATTGTTTTTCATGATAGTCGCGCGCATGTGTTTTGCCAAGGAAAGAGCTCCGGCCTCACAGTTGGTGGTTTTTGCCCTGTCCACCACAGCTGGCTGTGCAGCAACTGCCAGACTGGGCTGCTAAGGCTACCAACATGGCTACATTGATCCCTGCTCCCAGTTACAGGGTTGACATATGTTTCAAAACTCCCACTCCTACGGGTGTTCAGATTACAACATGTTATAAATCCATAGCTGTGAGATGCCGTGAGAATGTCCCATCATTCTATGGAACAAGTTCATCGAACCAGCCATCTTGGTTTTGACCCCGGAATAGAACTGCCGCAAGTTCTGTGACTCGCATGGGTGTTGTCCTTCCAGCTGTGTCGCAGGCAAAGTGTACACAAGTGCAGAAACTGGGCAGCTTGGCCTACTCGCCAGTGGATTCCATGGCTTCGGTCCGTTTGAAAAATGGCTGATCCAGACAGATTTTACGCCCCAGCTGGCTTTTTTGGGAAAATGGGCTAGTAATGTTTACCCGCCAGTTATGACCATTTGAATAAGCAAGATGTTTAAACCTATGGATGGTTTATATGTGCAGACACACTCATATTGGGTATAGACCCGGTATGGCCTAGGGGTTCACTATGCAGCACCACGGTTGATCCACAGTATGGTTCACCGGTTAACCCATGGTTTTTACGACACAGGTTGTTCCGCAACGGTCGACCCAGGTTGCACGTCGCCTCTTGGTGGAAGGGTTGGATGTCATGGGTCCAGTGGATGTCTATTCTGAAAGCTGTGAAACTGCCCCCAACATATTGGAAAATCATGGAAAATCTGTATATATATATATATATACAATAATATATATATATATATAGTTCCCCGCAACATGGATTGTTCATGATTGTTCATGATAGTTCATCATATTGGAAAATCATGGAAAATCTCTAGTCCGTTTAAACGGGTCGATTTCAAGCCGTTCGCCGCCACTGCATGGATCACAAGGGTACGTTTGCCCCTTTTTACTGCTTGATCGGCTGGATCCTAACAAATCTTTACCATTGCTGATTAAGAATGCATTTGTGAACGGGCAGATTTACAGGCACGCTTTCTGGATCGTCAAAAACCACATATTTTTTCCGCTCAAACCAGCACAGTGGAATTTGGAAGCTTTTGATTTGACATTACACCGTCTTATTGACTTCCTTCAAAAAATGTGAAGTAGTGTCAAAGTGAGACTGGGGGTTCTAAACATCACATTCAAAATCATTCAAGTGATGCGAATGATACCATGCCCCAAATAGTTGGGTGACGGAGGGTATGTCCACCTCTTGATGCTTCAAATCTGCCAGGTTGGATTCGTATCCCCTCCCTCCCTTTGGAGGGTGTGTCCACACGTTTGTCAAACAAGACACGTGGTTATTCGAAGGTGTAAGATTAAATCTATATTCAATCCTCGAAATCCACGATACTTTCTGATTGAAGCCGCCATCGGACATCGGTCATGGTTCAGCTGCAGTTTGTAAAGGTAAGTCCAAACAAGTTCCGATGGTCAAATCCCATGTTGATGATTAAATTCCCAGTTCTCATGACTGGTTTGACAGTTCAGTTCCAATCTATATATTATATTACGGTTTTATTTATTTTTTACAAAATATATTATATATTTTGGTTAAACACCATAAAGTTGAGCTGAGAAAAAATAAGACCAACAACATCAAAGTTAGTGCCTTGATGCCTCTTTAGTCCCCATCTTAACTTCGTAAAACCAGGCCCTTCGATGGCAGCATTTCTGCATTGCTCGTGTGTAGCTCCACCGATCGAGTCTTCGCAGTGAAGGTGGGTCTTCCACATCCTTAGTTTATAGGAGGGTACCCTCCAGTAAATTAACATAGCTATGGAAAATCACAATGTTTAATGGGAAAATCGACTATTTCTGTGGCCATTTTCAATAGCTATGTTAAATTACCAGAGGGTAGTTGAAAACAAGAATTTCTCAACCACATTGCTCCTTGGGAGGTATATCCAACAGTATATCCAACATTTAAATCATTTGCATAGCCACAGCAATTTAAAAATCCGTTCCATTTCTGCTATGAACCAACTTTCTCAGTGGATGGTTGAATCCCTAAGGTTTGGAGTCTGGACACCACGCGAATGGTTGGTTCCTGAATTTTCTACCATGGAATACAACGTTTGTACTCGTAATGGGAATACGATATCTCATAAATCATGAATATCCCGGAAATATCCAGTATAGAATATTCCCAAATTTGTGATTCAACAATCTTATATTTCGATATGATACTTGTTGGACAATATTTCCATAGGCCATTACGACATGGTGATTCATTCAAGTTATGATAAGATCATGAGTTTTTTCCCCATGTTTGCTGAGATCTTTTCAGGTACAGGTTTCCTGGTTGGTTGAGAGTTGAGTGCTGCAAGGGCCATTTTGGAGATTTTGGAGTCATAAAATCCACCGAGCCACGCCCCCAAGAAAGTAACCGTCCAACTCCTGACTGTTCATTGCCAAACTACAATTTGTCATGGTTAAACCATGATTTCTTCGCCTTGTTAAATCGTTTGTGTTTTCCCCTTAGAATGATATTGCTGTTGATTACCCTCCACTAAAGAAATAGCAATGGAAAATGACACATTAACTTCCATGATTTCTACCTATCGATCAAAAACTGGTTGGTGGTTTGGAACATGGCTTTTATTGTCCATTTCATATATGGGATGTCATCCTTCCCATTGACTTTCACCCCATCATTTTTCAAGATGGTGATTTTTTGCCACCACCAGAAAAACCTCTTCGTTCAACCGCTGTGTCCATCGACCAAGGGAAAAAAAATCATAGGGTTCCTGTGGGTCCCTGTGGGTCAGGCAGATTGGGATGCAGCCTATCCTGCCTGTCCTGCAGTGCCGTTGGCTGCCCATGGCGGCGGTCGAAAGAAGGACCAGGTCACACGGCAGGCGCCAGAACTTTTGGGGATCAATGGGTGTGTCTAAAGATGTGGTATAGCTGTATAGTTCTATTTTTTTTTATATATGTGTTAATAGGAAACCTGATTATAATTCAATGGAGTTGGGTCTACACGATTTTCAGACAAAACCATGTTAATGTTGGAGAACCAATTTAGATGTTCAAATATATTGGCAACAATATTGGATCTGGGCTAAGTAGATAGCCAATATTTATATATCCCAATATTATCCCAACATTGGATGATATTGGTGGTTTCTATAAATTCATATTGGGGTATCTACTGATTTATTCACCTTCATAGCAAGCCATGTTCTTTGCCATGAATTGAATTTTAGGATGGATTGCTACTAGGTCTACTGTACCTTCCTTTTTTTGATCAACATTTATCAACCATGATCTTGGTTTGATGCCGTATTTCACGGGCCGCAGTACACGGGCCGCAGTATTGCGTGAAATATAAATGATATGTCAGCATCCACTAGACCGATAGACCTGAACTCAGGTGGTCTTCAACATGTCTTCCCCCCATTACTTACATACTTTCACTCTGTATATACATGTATATACTATGTGTATATATATATATCATATATATATATATATCATACATATATATATATATCATACAAATACATGACTCACGGGATAGTCAGATGGTTTTGATCAACTAAGACATTTGTTGATATCCCAGGCCCCTAACGCCATTGGGGAATCACCAGTCAGAGATACCTATTGAATATCAAGAACCGATTGAATCCGTGTGAACTTAACTGCCTCTACTGAAACCATCAACTTTTTTCAACTAAGCTCATGAAATTCACTAACCTACATAATGCATATTGTTTTCCTTACTGGCAGGATATGTGGCCGCGGCTCAACTTGTAAGACCCCGATCCATACCCTGGACCCACACGCGATCCATACCCACGATCCATACATCTCTAATGGATATGATCCATACCCTTGATCCATACCTAAAAATGACAAGATGTACTTATATATATATATACATATACATACCAGGCCATTTTACTATACCTTTTTAACAGATCTGGATCAAACCTCTGACCCGTAACTCACTCGTTCCATACGTGCGGATCACAGCAGAACGATCCATACTCGTTTTTTGAGCCATACACATACATATAACTATATTAGTATATATATATATATACACACATGTTAGGTAATGTTATGTATGTATGTATGTATGTATGTATGTATATATATATACACATAGAGAGATGCGTGTATCTTTATATGCATTTATATATATATATATGTTTTTTTGCGTATACTATACATGACTGTGGTATTGTCACCCCCACAAACCAATGCAACCGGTACATTATATTTCCATGCCCAGGCCATGGTGTTATGACCACCCCAAAATATGGATTCATAAAGTTCGATGTTTGCATTAAATCCATTAAATCCCCAAAAAGATATCCCATGAATGTCCAATTCTTCATGCTTTTTTCTCCACCTGACTTGACCACAAGTTCCGGTCAAATCCCTGTGTATGACCGACCCCCAGCAAGATATAGCTAGGTCTCCGGCCAGGGGGTGGAGATGGCAGATCTAATCCCTGGAATTCCAGTGTCAGATATGATTGGCTTCCCTTTATCCATCTAATCCCTTGATTTTATGTAACTGTAAAACATTACCCTCCAGTTTTTTCCGGTAGCTTTGGAAAATGTTTGGACCATTGATAGTTGATTTATCTATCAAACACAGTGATCCACACCGTAGCTTTTTGTTATTTTACTGGGTTACCGTAGTTTTTTCTGCACAAGTGGCTGCCGGTCAAATCCAACTGCTAGGCCAAAATTCTGCAAAAGGGCACATCCCTGGCCATTGCTACGCCAGCGCGGGTGCTGCGATTAAAGGAGGACTCCGACTGCCACGGGGCCGGAGGGTTGGGTCCAAAAGGTTGAACCCAGGGAAAACCCATAGGATACCATGGAACACCTATAGAAAACCCATGGAAAACACAGCCTAAATTCGTGGGCCCCAATATGTTGTCTCATCCCCTACTAATTTCTTAGGCTGTTTCATATCAGGGGGATGCGATTACTTGTGGCAACATATTGCATGTAAAAATATACTGGGGAATGTTGATGAAGATGATGAAAATCCGTTGGAAGTGGTGGTTATTGATTTTGAATCAAACCCAAATTGACTGGGAAAACCCGATACTTTAGTAATCTTAATTATTTAATCGGTTTGCCACAAACGCGATCTCAACCGTACCAGCCAATATACTAACCAGCCGAAAAGAAAAGGGTATCCAAGATTGGCTATGGGTTTCCTAATCCATGGACATATTGAGGGTTTGGGATATCAATATACAAGTTCGATGTGATAAAATGGGGGTTAGGTACAAAGAATGGGAATTGTACCAGTATAAATCGTGTGAAATATGGATTAGCCGAATAATCATGGCAGTATAAGACTAAGCGTTTGATGATGATCGGGATATGACCAACAAGATGGATTTGTATTGGTACTAAAACGGTTCGATTTTCCACGCACTTGCCATGTTGATAAAGCGGCTGGTGATCAAGCAGCAAAATTCGGGGTGCCTATTTTCTTGGGAAGTGAATAGATGGAAAGTAGTGTTGTAGTGTTTCAGAGATGTCATCAATAATACCTGGAGCCGGGAAGAGAATCAGATCAAATGTGTTGGTTAAAAGTATATATATATATACCACCTATTTATGGTGATTTTGGGGATGGTTTATGAGTATTTCACCCACATTATTGACAATACTTGCAAGAGACAACAGACTGAAGACTGTGGAATTCAATCCAGCTATTGTAAACACAGGAATGGGAATAGATTAGACCAATTGGACCAGCCCCAATTTGCAACTGTCGAGCCCTGAAAATTAAACTTGCCCAGTATCCTTTACTGGTATGATACATATATACGTATAATTACGTATATATGTACATACTGTTGATATACATGACATAATATATATATATATTATATATATATGTATTATATATGTATACGCTGTGGGTATACATATATATATATACATTGTCGATCTAACCAGTGTACATTTGACATGATGGATATATCTATACAATCAACATGTCAATCTGCATCATATATTTGTGTCTTTGTCCATATAGACATATTTAGTCCATATGCAGAACAGCTATGTGTGCACGGTCGGTCCTAAACGGTCCTTATGTTCAGGTCACCAGAAATATGGATGTGGGTCAAAATGGAAGACCGATGTGGGACCACAGATGTTAGTCTAGTTTAGTATTAACCATCCAATTATTGGGGTACCTAATGACTTGACCCATACCCATATCATCCGCTAGGAGGGCCATTTAGATCTCGCGAAGATCGGTGTGGTCCTGGTAGATCTGGCGAAAGACATGAAGCAGCGCGATGTCTTGACGCTGCAGGAGATCCATGGGATTCACCCCATAAGCGGAAAGCGGAAATCCAAACGGGGGGAAACCCCAGGGAAAACGCGTTTGGATATGATCTTAAACTAGATGGTGAAAGCGGAAATGGCTATGTTAGTGAACATTAGTGAACTATGGAGGCTACACGTTTTTACCTTCCAACTATAGACTTCGACCCTGCAAAATGTGGCACGGAAGACTGTACTTTCCAAGATTGGGATGAGTGGTTCTCAGTGTCGATGGAATTCAATGAGTTACCCTCCGGTAATACTGTAGCGAGGCTGGCTGGAAAATCCGCCATTGATGATCTTCCCAGCGAACTAAACCTCCATTTAGAATGGTTTTTTCTGATACTTTCCCATATTTTCCTATGATGTTCCCATATTTTCCCGACAATTTCCCAGCTAGCCACGTTTGATTACCAGACGGTGAGGGATCTCTAAGGCCGCTGGCGGTGAGGGTCATCACTGGTTCTGAAGAAAAAGTGTGGTGCTGTCCTTAAATGCGGGACCACCAAAAAAAAACAGAATCCATCATAATCAATCATAATCAATCATAATCATAATCCCATGTTTTTTGTTGGGGAAACCATGAAAAATAGTGCTTGCAGAAACTATTTGAGTAAACCAAGTCCAAGTATTGGCCATATCTCCATGATCCATCATGATCCATCATCCAGGACACGCGCTCGGATTTCTTCAAGTTCCTCCGCGAAATCCAAGCGTTGCTTCCCAAGGCAGTCAAGGCGCCGCGTTTTTCCGGGCTGCGTGGAATGGACGCTGGCATGGACCATTGGACCATGGCACTCCTCTCGGAAAATATGAAGAACATTGCCGAGCTACATCTGAAAGAACATGAAATAACCAATTACTCCTTGTCAGGATGTTTGTAGTTGTTATATGTTGTTATATAAGTTATATATAAGTTATATATCTATCTTCCCAATCCTAATCATTCTATGCTGGAGGTATTGCAGTTGTCCCATTTCTGCCAGCGCTGCCAGCCCGTGTAGGTTCCGAAGGGCCTCGCCTTGCTGCTGTGCGGGCTGAGCGGCTGAAAACCGAGTGATCCAAAAAGTCCATTGGCTAATGCATATTTTAGTACCAAAATCATCATATTTGTTTAGGCAATAGCTGCAATATGTTGCAATACATATAGATTATTTTAGTGATCCTTCACAATAACATATAATAACTATAGTTCCTGATTTCTGAGGTTATAGATAAGCATTCTTCGAAGAGATCGGGGATTGAGATCTTTGCAATTGAATAATTTGCAAAATCAGAAGACGCCGTTGCGCCAGGAGCATTTCTGGCTAAGCCCTTGTTCAGCATGGTTGAGTATTGGGACATATTTTGATCATGTTGGAGGTTTGTCAACTACCCACTGCTCGGTATCTAGGCTTGGCGGCTTTGATGGGGATGATGTGGCATGGGACTGCTGTTTTTGGCTTTGAACCACGGGGGTCTCATGCTCCATATTTGGATGCAAATGACTACAAATGACTACAAGACATGGTATGGTTTCCTGGGCTGGAGACCATACATGTTGTCTTGTTTGAGCCATCTCCAATTGTTGCGGCAGAAATTGAGAGGGCTCGACTTGGGGGCTCAGCACAGAACGCGCTTTCGCAAAGATGGGGTTGAAACATGTTGAAACCATCAAGCAAACGATGTGAAGTGTGCTTGTAAGCACTGACCCATATCAAAATCATAACTAGAAAACCAGGCCACAAACAAATCATAACAGCAAATCATATATGAATCATACTGTATCAGAATCAAAACCCATTAAAACATATAGTTATTTTGGAAACCCTCCATCCTAGAGCATGATGGTGTGTGGATCGAAACAAAGCTGGCATCCTATCCTTCACGACATAAACATTCGCCATGGCGAGATATCGATTCATCCATGCTTTCTTGCTGATTGCGTGCCACTCTCAGAACAGGTCTTGAAAAGACGACCGGAAGAACCTCTCACGCCGGAAGAATCATTTGGTGGTGGTAATTACCCTCCAGATCTCCAGTATGGCCCAGTTCGATGTTTTCTATGCATATTCAAGTTGGTGATGTTCCATAGCAATGTTGCTGTAAATTGCCAGAACGTATATTGTTCAATTGATCTAATCTCATCCCTCTAACATTAGGTATTTTTGTTCGTACAAGGAATAGATCCAATACTAAACCAGGGTTTCTACGATGGTATTTTCATGGGAGTGGATTAACACATGGGCTTACAGCCTGTTTAGCTGACGGGACTGCCCTCGATGATGATGACCCCCCACCAATTATATCTCGGTATTCCGTAAACCCCTTCCCCCCAATATTCTCAGTACTCCCTTGGAATCCCTCCTTTGGTATTGGATCTATTCATGACTTGGTGACACTTGGTGACTTGGGGTTCCTCATTGTGGCTAGGAATTCCGATCCGGGGATGGGATGAACGGTCAGTCGAGGTTGCAGCTCCTTTCGTAGGGGCACTCGGGGCACTCGGGGCACTCGGGGCACTCCTTTGTGAGCATGTAGAACATGTAGAACTACATCATGCTTGGGATTCACCAAACATATAGGGTACCCCCCAAACATACTTGAGCTTATCACGTTCATTCCAAATAGAAGAACGGTAAAAAGGTCATTCGGATATAACCCAGTTCTGAACAATGCCATTCGCAATAGGCCAGCACCGTGTGATCCAACGTGGTCAACAAGTGGAGTGTCAAGCTCCGGGAATTTGCACTGGTAGAGCAGAATGAAGTTGCTATGTTTGACCATTGATGTTGGGAATGCAGCACAACATACATATGTACATAGCATAGGTCCTCCAGATCATTAGATCATTAGATGGATGTTGAATGATGTGTATGGGACGAGAGTAAGTTTGTCCTTTGGTGTGGCTCTTCTTTGCTGAATGTTAAGTTGTTGCGGATCATTTGACGATGTGGCCTGCATCAACCTGAGCACACGCGGTCTGCGTCGGCCTTGTGGCTTGAGCTCAATGAAAACAATGCCACGTGGCTGAAAAATGCAGAGACCAATGGTGAAAACTGGAGTTGTCTGGGCAGCACATCCTTTTCATTAAAAACTATATATTGTAAACACATGTAAACACTATTCAAAATCCCTGTGCGGTTTCAACAGTTCAAGGCGCTGAACGGTCAAACAAAAACAATTGACAAATCAACAGCGGCATGGAAGCCTCAGCCAACAGCTCCAACAAAACAGCGCTCCCTTCGGTCAGTTCCTTTGTCGTCGGATGGTGTCCTAATGTTGTCCTGGCACGGAGCCCCATGGATTTTCTGGCCAGGTCAAGTCAGGTGTTATTTTCATGTTTGAACATATGGCTATGGATCAATACCTATTAATACCATTTTTAGTGGGATGAACATCCATTTACCAGCTATTTTGATGTTCACCAGGGGTACAAGGTTTTGACACACTGCCATATGTGAAAATATGTGAAAAACTTCTAAAGACCTGTGTGATTATTTGTTTGAATCCCCTTTGTTTGTTGGTTTCATCAGGAGTCATGATGGCTTATCACCACTTATTCAAGGGAACTGCCAAGTATGACACCTGTTGGGATCGAAATTGTGCTATACTGTATGCCGCTTAAATAGCCATTTAATGGGTGTAAAATGATGCTGATAATTCATCGGAGTTGGGGGTACATCGTTTTCAGACAAAGCCATATGGTAAGCCCAATCCCAATGCCATTAACCTCCAATCGCGGGCAGTTTATCCCCCACCATGGAGGAAATGGGAAGAGTCTATTTGCTGTGCCATAGTCAAAAGTTGGATTATAAATGATTATATTATAATATATATATATACACACACACACCAGTAAACCCATATTGGGGGATGTTTTAAAGCGGGATGATGTTGGCCAATTCACAAGGACTCCCCAATGGTATTTTCCCATCAGAGGGTATTGTCATCAATCTATTAATAGAGCTCAAAATACGCATTGAGTGCCATGCAGCTTGACCATTGGTTTCCCTGAGATAAATCAGGGACGGCCGTAACCTGTGATTTCCTGTTACTGTACGAGTTGTGTTGTGTTAGAAAAATAATGCCGGGAACATGTTCAGTTAATTTTTATTCGATAAAATAGGAGCAATACAGTTTTTGTTTTTTATGTTCTCTTGGATTCTTTGGAGGTTTGTTTAGGTTTCCTTAGGTGTTGTGGGCTAGTGTCTTTGATTCATGGCCAAAGACATCCAAAGACCACAACAATCAAAGCAATCAGAGAAGAGAAGATAATCAGAAGAGAAGAGAAGCACAGTATCTAGTGATCTAATGTTTGTGTCAACATGCAATTTATAGAGGTTTGTTGAAATCTGTCAGTTCTCCCTAAGAGTTACATGGAAAGAAATGTGCCAAACAACTCAGTGGGCTCCCACTGCGGTGCTGTGGACATTTGGTGCTGCGGTTTGATTCTTCCAAAGGTGACTTAAAAGTTCCAGCTGTGTGGGTTTCTTTGGAAATAGGATACGTCGACAATGCAATTGTTTGCCATATGTTTTCCTAATGTGGTAAATCCAGCAATAGAACCATCTCAAACTTACCCAGTTTATTCTTTTGGGGCATTGTGGGTCATGATCAAATATGATCAAGCCTCAAAAATTGGGCTTATGACATTGGGTCTACGGCATTTACTATCATTGTCCCCATTTCAATGATATTAATTGTATATTAATTATATATATTCGATTGATATCCATTTTGGTTTGATCATTTTTCCCCATGTTTACCTTCATGTCATATCAATTCCCATGTGTTTTTCTCATCTTGGTCCTACCAGAGCATCTCAGCCACCAAGGCCGTTGGAAAAGGTTGCACCTTGCTGGGAGTTCTCATCATCCTGTCAACACGATTCCTAAAGTGGCAGAATTTGGGGGGTCTAGTTATAATGTTGGTAAAGCATTTTTAAACCATCCCTAATTTCACCATAAACCATGCCCAAATGGGTGGTTTATTATTGTTTATCTTGTTTTTGCCACACTACACGGTTTTCCAACAAAACCAGGATCATTGTGGTTGGCTGAGCAGGAGCTACATACCGATTTTTCTGCTCAAGATGGATGCATCTTTATTAGCCGGGCATAGCTGGTCTAAGTATTTCTGGTTGAATATGTTTCAGAACCATTATTTTGGAAAACTGGATGATTTGGAACAGACATGGATTTGTGGCTGTAGGTATTGCACAATTTGTTTTGACTCCTCCTTTGACCTTCCAAACATGACAGCTAATAGACTAATCTTATCCATTGATTTTGTGCTGTGTTCTTCGGTGGACATACTTTCTGTTTTGACCTGCCAATTGGGCGCAAAACGAGGTAAGAAAACGAGGTAAACCTTGAAGGCCTAGAATCAGATCAACAGCGAGTCTGGCCTAAGCTACAAAACGAGGTCATTGATTGAAACGAGGTCAGGGAATGAAAATCGAAGTATATAGGGCTGCAATTTTCCCAAATACCTTTTGCCGCTTATATATATATATACTATCTATATATTTGTTTACCTATTATGTTAGTATGTTATGTACATACACAATATAATATATATACAGTATATATATGTACATATGTAGATATATATATATGTACATTATGTGTGTACATATAAAAAGTACAGTTTTTGCATGTTTCTGAGGACTCAAAGCTGGGCGGAGCGTTGGGGCAGCTGCAGGGTGCGCTTGGCACGGCTTGGGGGTGCCTTGGCACGGCATCCGGATGTATTGGCTTTGAATAGGAGGTGACCATGGTATACCATGGAAACATACGGTTAAACGATGGTAGGTCTTGGGATTTCTTATTCTTGATTTGGGAAAAAATGGCGATATGATGTGGTGTGTAACTTCAATTGTAATCAGAATGATGCTTTTGGAATTGGGTTATGCGTCAAAGATGTCCTTTTCCCACTCGTTGGTTGATCAGTTGATCAGGGTCTCCACAGGAAAAATCACCGAAAAAAGGTAAGCCATAAGAAATCGTCGACCAAACGGGGATATTGGTATGAATTGGGTATGATAGGAGTATGGATGTGTGTGTGTGTGAACACGGGGCATACCCCCCAAATGACAGCTATTTCATGGGGATGGGGGAAGTGGTTTTTAAAACCGTGGGATTTGGAATGTTGCTTTCAAAACATAATAATTCCAATTGCTAGAAAATAGTGCTATAGGTGTATGTATACATACACATATATAACTGTACATATATATATACACAGTATAATATATATATATACATACAGTGTATATATATAATTGTATATATATATACAACAGTATAACTGTATATATATATATGTATAAATAGATAAACTTATTATATCACCATAAAATGACAATCATCCTATATGAATGTGTTTGATGATAATGAATGATCACCAAAAAATGAAGTACAATTATAGTAAATGTTGGAAGGTTTTTCCCACAATCATGTAAACAGTGGAACTGTATGTTTATTTCAATCAATATAGTAATCATGTCCAGATGGTAGCTCAGTAGTAATAAAACACCAGATGGCCCAGATGGTAGGCGGGTTTTAACTATAAACACCACCAAAAAAGTCAGAGTTGCGCATGACTTATACTGTAGTAATTCCCCAGATAGCACACTATCTATTAAAACCACAACAAGATGGAAGGTTCAAAAACAAGACATCTGATTGACAAATTGGCGTTTTAATCATCCACATTACCAATATGATGTGAATTTCAGATCAATTTTGGTTCACTCAAGCGACCAGTGAATTTGTAGGAAAGTGGGTCCTGTCTTTGTTCAAAATATTGTGGAGGAGTCAGGGTATTTTTTTGCAGGGTAAACAAAAGCTGCCTAGTGCTGTCAGAGATATCACCTAACACACAAACATATATAATATAATATATGATATATATATATTATATTATGTAATTTATATAATATATAATATATATAATAAAATAATTTATATAATATAATGTAACATATAATATATAATATCTTTATGATAATATATATATAGTATATACTATATCTATAATAATAATAACAACAATATATATATATATATGTATATACTAGTTTTTTTTATATATATATATATATTATAACACTATATATATAATATAATATATATATAATATAATATATATATATATAATATAATATATATAATATAATATATATATTATATATAATATATATATATAATATATATATATATATATTATTCGTCAAAATAAGCCATTCAAATCAAAAAGCCTGTTGGTTCTTGTTTTGATGCCACATGTTTGTTGGCTAACTCCACACCAACTATTAGCTGAATCTCTACACTTCATTGTGTTTTTAGCTTGATCTCTACATCATGTCATCGGTAGACTTCTGAATTGTGCGGACTGAATTCCCGGTGTTTTTGAAATTTGGTGTCAAAATACGACTCCAATGACCCAACGACCCCACAATGACACAACTGCCACGTGCCGTTGGTTGGTCATCTCCCAGGTTGGCATCTTGGGCTTCAGGGGTTCCAGGGCGACTGCTGGGCAAGGAGCGGTTTGCGAACTGGGGAGTCACCATTTAAGGACATGGAAAATGGAGAGGCATCTATTCTGCATTAAAACCTTTGCCCACCCTTTTTGTTTTGCTGCTGTATTTTGATCACCCCAATCATCTTGAATCTTCAAAATGTCGATTTCCCCATGGTCTGGTCAACAAACCTATTTCCGTATTAAATCCAAGTTAAAAACAGCATCCAAACTTTTTTTCAAGACAGTAGCCTATGGGGCCTAGGAGTGACTCAGATCCTTAATAATAGAATTGTTTGGATTGTACTTTATTGATCTTTATTGTGCGAAGGAATTTCTGGGGTAAAAAAAAAACATGTTATCCACCTTTATTTGGTTAAAAACTGTTGCAATTCCTTTAGAAAATCTGGAATGAAGTCCTTACTTGTCTTTAGATTTCCTTTCGGGTTTAAAAGGAAAATGAATTGAACGCAATTTGATATGAATTGAAATCCGTACTTATCCTTAGATTTTTAATTGGACAAACAAGAACATGAATTGAACACAATTTGATATGAATTGAAATCCTTACTTATCATTTGATTTCATTTCGGTTTTAAAGGAAAATCAATTGAATGTAGATTCAGGTAAATTGAAATCCTTTCAAAGCCGGATTTTTTGAAGTTTAAAAGGAAAATTAATTGAAAGTAGATTGGCATCAATTGACATCCTTGAGTTGATCATCCTGAGTACCGACCTGGTCCCTCCAAAATTGACCCCTTAAAAAGTTGGTCCCTCAGTTGTTTGGGGAGCCCCCTGGCCCCTAATCAGGATCCAATCAGGATCCAAGATGACCTCAAACTCTGGCTGGCTCGAAGCGGATATGCTCGGATGGTATTTTAACTATGCTGAGGATACAGGGTATTGAATGATCTAAGTGAACTATTGTGAAATTCAGATTTTTGAACCACCAATCATTTAGCTGTAAAACTGTGCTTTCGGACTGGATCATTTGGGCTGTTCCACTCCCAGCTCAGCCAGGACGCAGCATGGTGTCTGGGTTTGCAAGCATTTTTCAGAGTGCTTGTGCTGTCAAGGTAGGTTGCTGCTGTTTTACAGTGTTTTTTTTAATGTAAACGTACTGTTGTGTGCGTGTGAGTGTGTGTGTGTGTGTCACTTAAGCAGTTTTGAACAAATGAATAAACAACATTCAATTCAAGAGAGGCAGTTGTTTCAGGGGAGCCTGTGCGTTGTATTCTTTATGCGTTTACCGACAATGTGGTATCATGTCGATGTTTCAGAAGCAAGGAAACAACATAACCATGTCAGCAAACCAACAATGAGAAGGTTTTCCAATTGAGATTTGCTGGCAAAAACTAGGAATCAAATCTTTTGAACAAGGACTTCTTCATTCTTCAAGTGTTTTTCCTCTTTAAAAACAGCCCCAAAAGACTATAAAACTTACATTTTAACAGGTACCATACTTTCAAGAGATAAATTGCTGAAAAAATGTCTGAGGCTCGCCGCCGACACCGCAAAGTTTGTGGTGGCCGACCTTCCGTTGCCTGTCCTTGCTGGGATGACAATGAGGTATGGGATGGAAATGGTGTACACCCCAGGCTATTTGAACAGTTGTTTTTGTCGATTATTTTAGGTATCCATTATCCCTATCTCCAGTGGGTTTATGATTAAAAGTTAAAAGAGGTTGATAAGCTTTTGCAAAAGCGTATTCGTGGTGAAAACACCTTCAGTACCACACCCTTATGATCCCTTGAAAAACATTCTGGATCCCAAAAGTCGCACCAAAAAAACACAGAAATCTTTGTTTGAAATATGTTGAAATCATCTACAATTGAAACACCATATTTTTTTTTGCTGTGTAAAACATGGCAAGAACAGGACTTTAAAAAAAATAGAATTCCGGAACATTCTAGGGATATTTCAAGAGAAACCGAGGCCAGTTCTGGTGGGTCGAACGGCTGACCTGAGCCGCGCTTTGCTTCACGTCCGTGACTGGGCAGCCCATTTTGGATCCCCAGTCGTCACCATGGCTTTCAATACCAAAATATGGTGTAAATTCGATTAAACTCCATGATTTGGGGGTACCCCAGTTTTAGGAAACTTCCTACTGTATATATAATATTATATAATCTGTATATATATATATATTTGTATATAATATATATGTATATATTTATATATAATAAATATATATATATACATAATATATTCAATATGTATCATTATATATCAACATGAGTGATGAATCATCACATATATTGATTTTGCACTTTAGTTCCTGATCTTCTCGGGATGACAGAACCAGACAGAACCAGACGTGGCCAACCACTGCAAGTTTTGGACTTGAAGGGTTTGTCGCGATACAACTGTAAACATTCATTGGTTAAATTGCATTGTCTCAAATCCAAGTTTATTCATTTTTTTGTGATTAAGTCATTAAGTCAGTTAAGTCATGTTAAATCCCTATTTTTCTTACCCTCTCGTAATTCAATATAGCTATGGAACATGGCCCAGAGATGATTTAACCTAGCAGCCTAGCGATTTACACTTTGTTTTAGATGACCAGAGGGTAACTAAGTTGAAATCTCCACATTTTCGGCGAAATCACCTGGCCGTGAGGCCTGCAAGATGTGGTGAATGACCCCAAGCACTCGGCAGCCTTGGCCACGCATAAAGCCTTAGACCTCATGGGAGGCCTCACGGTCCGTGGGGAAAATGGTGGATTTTACCCGGTAAAAACGTTGTTGATTTCACCCTAAATGATGGATTCTACCCATTAAATTTGGGATTTCATGTGTTTTTAGCCAATTGATGGGATTGAAGACTCCACAAATTAGATACAAATGGCCAGACATAAATAGCCAGAGATCATAGTCGATTTAACCAAGATGTGGATGCAGTCCTAAAAAATGGGTTGTCCAAAAATGGGGGGGTGTAAGCAGCCCAAATGGGAGTTCTGATTTTGCCATTTCAATGTCCAGTACTAATCATTTATAGGGGATATCCCAGCTATCCACATTTGCTTGACGGGTATCCCATGACAAACACCGATCCCCATCGTGGCATGGCCCCGATCCCCGCTCCGCCCTAGGCGGCTTTGTGAAGATGGCGCAAGTGGTGGCGCATTCACCGGCGCTCTTTCCAGACGCCTTTGTACGCGCTTGTCGAGGTTGGGCCATGTTGGGCCAAGGTTGTTAAAGGTATGTTATGATGTAATATGTGGTTTGGGTGTTATCCACTAGACAAGTTATCATTGGGTGTTATCCACTAGACAATTATCATGGAATATTGAATGGTGCAGTATATGAATAGTATATGAACAGGTCCAATTGATAACCAATCCCATTCATGTGGTAAACCCAATGCCATAGTCACCATCCCATTCACCAACCATAGAAGGGCGTATAGATCATCCCATTTCCAGGGGTCTACCTTTTTTTTAATGGAAGAAATGGGTGAACTGTATATATGGATAGTTTACACTGGGATAGGATCCCTGTAACTACGGTTATATATCACATACATATATATATATTCATCATACATCCACTTTGAACTGGAACTGCACTTCCAAGCGGGTGAACCACCCAACCCTTTGGAATAACTCTGGGAATATCCAGCTGGGAACTGGAACTGCACGGAATTTTCCAGCTGAAAGGCCGTGAGAGCCGTGAAGTCACCATCTCCAATGTTGGTTTATGAATCATAGTATGTTTGATGGTACATATTTTACATAATTTATGATTGATGGTACAAGATATAGCCTGCTAATATTGTTTATTATCCCCATTCGAGGTTTACGATTGATAGTATATGATGTTTTTGATGACACCCCAAAAAATATGCTTCGTCAATGGGATGGTGTCTATGGCATTGAGTTTACCACATGAATGGGCTTGGCTATCAATTGGATCTATTGATATACCGTTACCATCCATCAAACTTACCATGGCAATTGGGTAATTATGAGATCGATTCATGACTTGATGTCCCCAAAATTTGGTGTGCTTGATCCATGAATTCGCCAGGTAGTCTTGCACAGGCCGGGTGGATTCCTGCTTGTGGCCGTTGCTGAAAATGGGGGGGATTTCGTGTAACCAATGCTTCAAACATGCGCTTTGAATGGTGGATAGTGTTTTTTTTAACCAGAGGGTTTTTTGGGGGTAGCCTATTGTCAGACACTTCCTCTATATTTTGGATCCCCTTTATATAGCGGTTGGGAATCTCCAACCAACTTTGTGCATCAAAATCATGGCGGCTTCACCAAGTCAACTGAGTCAACTGTAACTGAGGACGACACATCTATCACCCCACAGGCCCCATGGAGAACACCTTCCACTCTTCCACAATGTTCCAACATGTTCCATAATTGTTCATAAACATTCATCATGTTTGATAATGTTTCATCATGATTGACAATGTTTCATCATCATCATCATCATCATCATCATCATCTTCATCTTCATCTTCATCTTCATCGTCCATCGTCCATCGTCCATCGTCCGTCATTTGAAGGACATATTGAGGCACCAACAATTTCCTGTTGCATCGAGACGCAGGCTGTGACACCCCCTGCCCCCATGGATGATATCGAGCGCATCCTGCTAGAGGATTCAGCAGCGGGAAGCGCATCCTGCTGGTGGTTTTCGAAAGGGGGGATCTCACCAAGGCTAGTCACTGATTGACATCAAAATGCGAAATTTATCCATGATTGATCTCAAGATATGGCAATCTGATAGAAGGGAACATGAATCAACCATCGGATTTTGGCTTTCCAAAATGGGTGTGTCCCAAAGCGGGGTCTACCCGCAAATTCCTCGGTTATCATATAGTCCAGGGAAAAAAGGAGTCACCCCATTTCCACGCCCAGATGGAACTATGACAACTATGAAGCATCAAGAGTCGCTGTCACCCATTACGAACGGGCCTATATCTACAGATATTTGGAGATTCACAGGAGAATAACCAGCAATGAAAAAGTCCCAAATTTGGATTGCAATCAGCAGATTGGGAACATCAAAAAACATGGGGAACACGATCAACAAACAATGTATCCTTCCACCCCAGTAATCCCCAGTATGACATTTGCCTTATCGGTAGAGTGGACTGGCCGGGTCGATGGAGCTGTTTACAATCCCATAGTTGAATGACTTGCGTTGAACAAGCACGGGTTTGTGGAAGTCACAGGTGTTAAACTGATAGTTGTTGCCCTTATATATATACATCAATCAATATATACATATATATATATGCATACATACATTTATATATCATATATATATATATATATGTATACACATAATCACATATATATATGTATACACATAATCACATATATATATATATATGTATACACATAATCACATATATATATGTATACACATAAACACACATATATATATACATATTGACATATATATATATATATATATATTGACATATATATATATACATATTGACATATATATATATATATATTGACATATTTATATATATATATTGACATATATTTATATATGTATTGTATTATACATATTATAGACAAATCATTGCGGATTATTTGCACTTATATAAATGTACGTGTGTATTCATTTTTATATAATATGTAAATATATATATATGTATCTATACATGTCTATTTGCATATATACACATACATATATATATATATATGTCAACAATTATAAACATATTTCAAATGTATATATATATAATATTACAACTGCACTATTGACTCTTGAGTCGGAAGATAATCCCTCTGACCGGCAGATGATCAGACTCTCAGAGTAGATTGCTACCGCCTGCAGGGGTACACTTTTTTTGCTATCCGGTGTTTGGCATTGGCTGATGAATGCCATGTGTTGGGCACCAGCAATGGCCAGGACAGAAAGAGCGGTCAATATAAATTCATGATAGGAACATATCCAACTACCAGGGATTTCCCATATTTCCCATGGATTTTCCCATGGATCTCGCCATGGCCCATGTCGACCCGCGTGGCGCTCGCAACGCTCAGCGCGGCGCTGGCTGCGGACGGGTCCAGCGCGTCGCTGTTTTCGCATTTGCCGCGGCCTCGTAGTCCGGATGAGCTGGGAAGTCGATCTTTGGGGATTTCCCATGGAAATTCCTGTGGATTTTTTGGTCTGAGTTTTTTTTTTTGGATGTTCCAAGTTTCTATTGATTTTTGGAAGTGTCCATTGATTCTTGGAGATATTCTGTTGATATTCTATTGATTTTTGGGAGTTTCCCATTGAGTTTTGAGATGTTCCATTGATTTTTGGGATTTCCCATTGATTTTTGAAACCCCCAGTAAATTTCAACTAAGGTAGTAAGATAGTGATAAACTACATGGTTTTCTATGTTTGTCTTGTTTACTATTATATATACATGGTTTATTTGATAATGTTTTGAAATGATCTAACGAAACACAGTGTGGATATGATTTTCCATTTTGGAGAGATTTGTTTTAAGCAAGCAAACTTGATTTTCCCACCGTTCTATGTATTGTTTGTCTTCGTTGATTTCTCAGATTCGCGGTTCATTGTTGCTTTGTCATCTCCTGATGTTTTCCTGCACTGCAGGATGCAAAACATGAAATTTACAATAGACAAACACACTCATTGCAAGCAACAAATAACATCGGTAGTCCATCAGGACTGGGAAACCCATTGGGAAGATGTGTTTTTTTGTCGGGGTTACTTGGGTATGAATCCTGATAAGTGAAAGGTTGATAACCTGTGCATAACCATTTTCCACTGGGGACATTCCAATCAATATAACTGAGCTACAATATTCTATATTTATATATACGTATCAATTATACATATTTCATATATTCATCATGTACAAAATAGATGCCTAGTTCCGGCACCAGCCCAATGATGGTTAATCAGTTAATCAACCTTCATCAATGGTTGGGTTCTTGGTGGTTGATAAGCCATGACCCGCCGACCCGCACAAATCAGGCACGGAGGATTACGAAGAGCTGAAGATTTTCATCTATGATCCTTGGGCCATCGATGGCACAGTTGAGGTATGTCGAGGTGGCATTAGAGTCGAAAGGTGAGTTATACTACTTGCGATATGAGATGAGATGATATGATTATCCAGTGGTGAATATATATATATATATATTATAATATACAGAGTCTATATAATATACAGAGTCTATATAATATACAGAGTCTATATAATATACAGAGTCTATATAATATACAGAGTCTATATAGTATTTACATATATATACATGAAAAAGTGATGTTGAATTATGGCGATAGATGGTGATATTCTTGAATTTGAAGCTGTGTTTCCTTTTCAACAAACTTTGGAACTTCCCCCAGAGATCTGTCGATCAGGACCTCCCATCTCGTTTCCACGTGGACGTCCATGCGGCCGTTCAGCGCAGCGCCGCGGACGTGGGGAGCAGCTGTGATTGGATGCTGTCCGCGTGTACCGAGAGCAGCAACCGTAGCTTGGCCGGGATGATCCCAAGGCGAATCAAAGTCCTGGTGAGTTGAACACCAGTTGATAGGTGGTAAACATCCCATGATTTATAGGGTTTCAACATGTTTCAACCATCCAAGGTGGTGCAGGATTTCTTCCATCCACAGTATTTATCACTGATTTGACACAGCTCCACTGTTCAGTGAGAAATGGCGAAAAGCTCGCGAAGACAGATGAGATCATGCTACCAAACAAAGAAGAACCAATCCTTACCATGGATTTCCCACACAAGGCTCTTGGAAATGTAGACACTGTAGGATGCAACTGGAAGTTGCGCTGTGGATTTGCGGCGTTGTACTGAGATCCCTTCACGATAAGACGTCAATTGGGGCAAGAAGTCATCATTCTGAGGAAGTTCTTGGCAAATCCGTTGCTCACCTGAAGCAGTTGATCCCGGGGGTGGTCAATGTCCACACTGTGTTTTTAATGGACCTCTTGAGATGGTTGTCAACATTGGAACATGATGTCCTCGTATGGCTGCAGTAATGTTGTTGCGTTTCAATGTAACGTTTCATCCTCCAAGGCACGCCCTGTGCCGGGAAGGACATATGTTGTTGCGTAACCCACGCGAGGAGAGACCTCAGTGATTCCGAGAGACCTCAGTGATTCCGCGTCAAAACTTGGTTCCCGAATCATGATTTCATGATTTAAAAACACGTGTATTATGCTGCCTTGTGAAGACAAAGTCCTAAGGGAACTTCTGCAATCAACTTGAAGATTGCCGCACCATTTGAGGATACTTGAGGTTTGATGATGTACATCCTTGTATAATATTCTACACAAATAATATATATATATATAATTATATATATACACACATACCATACCAATACATTTCGTATGTTGTAGCCACTCAGCACGATCGACGCCATTGTTGTGTATGAGATTGGACTCAAGGTGTCCTTTGTGCTGACCTTGCCAGGTTGCCAGCCAGCGACCCAAAGGATGCAGACATTTTTGTGGTTCCGGCACTGATTGGCTCTGCATGTATGGGAGGTCTCTATGACACCCACTGCCCCTTGGAAAAACCGCATGATAAGCAAAGGAGGGTGTAGAGACAGCTAAGCGGGCCTGCTATTGATGGTGATGGTGATGGTGCTGCTGCCGCTGCTGCTGCTGCTGATGATGATGATGATGATGTTGTTGATGCTGATGCTGATGCTGATGCTGATGCTGATGATGATGATGATGAGGAGGAGGAGCAATTTTGACACCAGACTCACTATTTATCCATTGACCCATTATCATCCACCGTCACGGCTTTATTTAGTCATCATCATCCTGAGTGAATCATCCTGTTCTTTTCATTTGGGTTTGTCTTAGCATAGGGTACCTTTAGCATGCAATAGTCCATCAGAATTTCCTGCATTGAAATTGCCATAAATTGGTGGCCGTTCCCTCATTGTTGGTTCAGCACTAAACATGACCAGTGGGCACCTCAATGACTTGTCCCATATGTTTGGGGTGTTTCAACTTTCAACATTTGGTGCTGACCCTTTGGTTATCAACCGTCGCTGCCTGGAAAACGTTTATAAATCGAGGATTATAGCTGGGAAAATCATCGAAACATGGTAAAATCATGGGAAAATATGGGAACATCCACTACAAATGGGAACCATCATTCCATGGGAACATGGTAAACACATGGTAAAACATGGTTAAAAAAAAACATGGGAACATCCATCATGGGAAAATATGGAGGATTGGATGGGAATCGAACTAACCACGGAGCTGATAGCACCCAGCCTCCAAGGCACCACGCCGCTGGAAGAGTTTGGCGATGATCTCTTTGAGCTGCTACCCTTTTACAACGCAGCAACTCGCCACAGCCGTTGTTTTTGTTGTTGTTTAATCATGGTATAATCATGGATGGTATAATCCCATAATCATTTTCATCATCATGGTATAATAACTAATAATGATCATTTTGAAACATTGTAATGGTATAATTAGTATAATCAGCAAAATTAATGGCATATCATGGGAATATCGAGCAAAGGAATGATGTTGATCTATACCCTCTGGTATGATTTAGCAGTTTGCTATTGAAAATGACCATTTAGTTTGTTGATCTACCTTTTCTACATTGTGATTTTCCATAGCTATGTTAGTTTACCAAAAGGTAACAGCCTTGGTTATTTTGGTGGTTTGGATCAGCAAAAATGGATGGACATTTTGAACATATCGCGAGTATTCGCGAGTCCTTGGGGGAATCATCCAGATGTTAGTTTGTTTGAAGTCATCTGCGAGTCCGACTGAGGGAAAAGGTCGGGTTACAAGAATTGGACATGGTTTCTGCAGCAAGATTCGGCACTAGTACGCTGAAGCAATCCCATCTGGTGTTTTTTTAAATCATGTTATCTATACGTCCCTAGAAAATGAAAGCCATTTCAGTATACTCAATTGGTTTCAATAGAAACAGTAGTATTACATAGTATTACAGTATTACTACAAGTGTTGTTGTGTCCTTTGTTTGAAGTCTATGGGAAGTTAGGGAAAATTATTGTCCTGACGAAGTAGATTGGCTGTATCCTCCCTATATTATTTGGCCAAAGACCCCCTCTGTCCCTGCAAAAAAGTGTCATTTCCAACTGGGTAAGCGCATTGTTTGGTTCTCGTTTGGTGTTAAATCGACATATATCACTACGTACCTATATATATATATACACATACACACGCATAACATGTAAATGCATCTAACCATATCTAACCCATCTATTACATTTACACATGAATATGTGGGATATGTGAACACCTCTTTTCAAAGCCAACGGTTTGGCCAGGAAACGCGGCATCGACACCTCTTCCTGGGCTCCATTGACAAACGAAATTTGCCGCTTGACGCCCGGTGAAATGGCGACAGGTCTGGCTCTGAAAATGGTGGGTGTATACCCCCCGTTGCGTTATGGTACTTTGAATAGGGAAAATGATGATTCACGGATGGATGGAATGGGGTTTTCCCAACATTTTCAGACAAAGCCAAATAGATACGTGGTGGTGAAGCTGTAATAGACTCAGGACATGGACATCGAACATCGAACACCTAATTGGTGATTGAACAGGGTGATGTTTTTTGAGGTTTTATGAGAAGTTTGTAAATCTAATAAATTTTGAAACACAAGTTGAAGGCAGGGCCTTGAGCAAGCTCCGCAATTAGGATGGTACAAGTACACAATTTAACCTCCAACCGACTTTTCAATTATATAAGGATCGAACAAGTTGTTACTACTTACAAACCAATTATACAGTAAATACATATATATATAATACATATATGTATATATATGTGGGATTTTGATTACATAATATATGTACATATATATATATATACATAATTATAGAATTAATTATGATATATGTATGATTACATAATAATGATTGTGAAATAATATTCTCCATGGCTCAAATGTTCCACTCCCAGGACATCCAAGCGCAGAGTTTGCTGCTCTCGTGTGGGGCTTCCTGGGGCGATCGCCCTGGACATTTGGTGGTCCCACCGAGCGTCACCGATGTCGAGCTGCAAGTAGCAAGTGGGCCAAGCACAGGCGCGTCAAGGGGATGTCAAGGGGATGTCAAGCGGATGTCAAGGGGTATGATGGGATATGGATCATTAAAAACATGTCTATTATTGTAGAATGATGTAGAATGTAGAATGTATCATTTACTTTGTTTATATTATATTTTGTTATATTGTGTGTATATGTTATATATTGTCTCTTTATATATTTTATATGGTCAGTTTACAACACATTAATCGTAAAGATCTGAATTTGTCTGAGTAAAATGTGAGGGATTCTACCATGATATGGCTAGTGATATCACTGAACTCCCAGTCTACAGCTACAGCAGACTGCTACATCGGTTTTCAATCTCAAGGGGTAGGTTTCTATGCAAAATGACAGTTATTGAACGCCCTAAACAGCAACTATGTGAAGAATCAAGAGTTTGCACCTCCAACGACGGATCAAAATTGGAATATAACGCGAAAATTGGTTGGTAGTCTGTCTGTTCGGTTGAACGATGTTCCTTCATAGCCGTTGGTGAGTGTTCATCTTTCAAAGTCTCTTGCCAAACGGTTCGTCGGGTAGAAAAGCGTTTTATCAAAGCCTCAGCCCAAGTTCCGTATGTTTCACCCCATGGGTTTTGCCAAATTTCTCCAGGAGAACGAGAGATCTTGTTCTTCATGACGATGGTTCCCAACAATCCCATCCGCCATGAGATCTATCGACAGCTGGAAGGGTTGCGGGGTAGCAAGGTGGTCCTGCAGGAATTGGACAGATCCCTGGACGTCTGGGAAAAGTTGGCCCATTCTGAATGGGGGAAATCATATATTTAACCAACGGGATTGAACATGATTTAACCACCAAGCATGGGATATAATGGGGATATAACTACCATTTTGAAACTAGCAATATCTCTCTAGAAACTGGTGCTGCCAATCCTTTGCTGAGTGGGTTTATTTCACGAGGCTAACTTGCGTGGATTTTTGGCATAATATCGAACTAGTCAAACTAGTTAGAAGGGATGTACCTAGTTAGACTGAGTTCATGTCGTTGACCAGGGATGTTTCACAAGCTCTGCCTTTTCTTCATCGACAAAGCCTAAGTCTAGCTATCCAACTTATAGTCAGACAAATACTTACTTGTACTATAGGTAGGATGTACCAACAAGTGTTCATTTCATTATATATATATACACATCGTTTTGCCACGAACGTCAATCATTAATTAGAATCATGTTCTGTCATGAAAACCTTTGGTGGCGATAGAGGCTGGAGAAGGACAGGGCTTCCCCAATTGCGGCCGTAGTCGAATTCTCACATGCATGTGTGACTGCAAAACATGTAGACATGTCATGCATGTTTGTGTTGTTGACACTCAGGATCAAGGAAAGACGGTTTGATGTCGTCACAATGGATCATCACGCAGAATCTTTGACTTCAACTTGCGTGGTGATGGGTGCCGCAGACCACATTGATTGCTTCAGCCGACTGGTCGTGTCCGGTGAGGAAAGCAGGTAAAGATGTAACTGAACCATCCCAGCAATCAACCACAAAAGAGGCTTACAATGAACAACCAACCGATACCAGGGTTACTAGGGGGCCCGAAGATCAACTCCATGCAGGGACGATGACTATGGCGGTTTGACTTCAACAAAACCTTTGCCCCTCATGGCTGAAAATGATTGCCCCTGCGGTTCTGAGGATGCGGTCCTCGATTTTCTGCCTTTGTCCACCCGCGGAGAACACCGCGGCGGGCACGAAGCGCTTGTTTGATGCCATTTTGTCCGGCTGCATCCCTGCTGCTTGGCCATCGTTACACGCGTTGAAACGTGGTTGGGCAAATCTTGTGCAATGTGCGTCCCCAGGTCGACGTCAAAACTTCTACCGGTTACCAAGCATCATTGGTGATGTTGTAGTTTCATGTAGTTTCCACAGTAGCATAAACAAAGTGTCTGTTGCCATATTAGGGCACATACATGCATATCCCATGGTTCCCACCTAAACACCATGCTGGGCAACAAGTCACACAGATCCCCTTTGGTGCAGTGATCAGCTCTTTCAGCTTTATTGACGAAGATTTAAAGACCCCAGGTCATCAGAAACCACCCCATTGTATGGCAATTCTATGGCCACTTAAAGGATATTTGATCAAAACTCAGAAGCTACCCCTCAAGGTGATTTTTCCAGGAAGTTGTAGCGCTGTCAAAATCGATGTCGATGACCAAAGACAAAAAGTGGCCCCACAACAATGTTAGTCTCAATGTCTCAACTGTCTCAATCATCCAATTTTTGGGATGCCACCGATAGAAGCCCTGCCACCAACATGTGTTTTTTCAATGAGACCATGTGACATGTGGGATTTACCAAAGATGCAGGGCTGAGGTGCTGATTTGCTCAGCTGCAAATCCTATATGGCCTATATGAACCCATCCAACTACAGACATCTATCGAATTTGCCTAGTCAGAGAACCAATTGACCAATTGGATATATCCTAAAATGGGTGAGAGTGCTCCTAAAAATCATCCATTTTCATGTGACATGTCCATTAAAAAACCATCCAGCTGGATATCCACCAGCACACCTCCGGGGTCAGGTCGTGATCAGCTTCCCCACCCTTTGGGGCAGCGGGATCAGTTGGTGGCGCACAGATGGGGCGCCCATTGAATGGTCCCTGCCCTTCCCATCCGACGTCCAGTGGCGGCGCTTGGTGGTGGAAGTGAGCGAAGCAGAGCTGCTGAAAGGTGCTTTGACCGTGACCGCTGTGGGTGAAAGCATGCAAAATGCTGTAAGTTCATGGGAACATGTAAATTATAAGCATATATATATAATATTATATATATAATATGAGTATATATATAATAGGATACAACTTGGTGCTGCACTTGGGGTTATTCATGGGTCATAAGTATCCATAACTTGGGATATGGGGCACTTCTAAGCCCAACTGCAGCCCCAAGTAGGGGTAGTTTCCCCTAAAAAACCACCAGCATGAACCAAAAAGCCACATCCCAAACCCCAAAGCGCACTAACCACCGTTTTTTTTCAATGACCATAATTGGGTATCACACCGATGCCTATGTGGTAAACCAAAAATCCTCGACCATTCTCAATGACTGACCAGAAATGGGTGACTTTATCATCCCCGGAGGTTTCTGACTGGGTGGGTCCATAGGAAGCTACGGCTTGCTGTTTGCGGCCTTTCGAAGCGATGTGGAGGCTGCTTGGATGGTGTAGTCCAATATGGCTGGGCAATCCCCCAACGAAGTGGAGGTCTTAATGGGGGACATAAATGGATATAACTTGGGGATTTCCATCGCCCTGGTGGATTATCGAAGTTATTCTTTGAAGGCAGGAACTTAGCAACTTATGTACTGTACATTTAATGTGGACTAATATACATTTGGATACATTTCAGGAATAAACCCCATCTGTCCTTGTAGACACCTCTCCAGCCGTTATCCTATATAATGTCAACTCAGCATGTATCAACAAAAACAACTCGACAAGAACGTCGATGTCCCAAGATTCAGTAGTAATCAATAGCAATCCCATCCTCTAAAAAAGCACACCCTAAATTTCTAAATGGTATCAAATGTGATATACATCCCCTGATAAACACCATCGTTTCCTGGTGAAAAACACCTCGTTTCTTTGCTGAGCTAAGCTGCCGTAGCTGCCGTGAGGAAAAGCAGCGATACATCGCGGAAGTCAGGGACCTCCTTGTCTACGACCTTGCAGGCGGACGGAGGTTTCCTGGGATATCCTGGGATGGGATAGGGCCATTGACAATCCCACCTAAAAAAAGGGGCATGACATTGAGCAAAGTAGACCCTCCAAGTATCTATGAAAATACATGAAAATACGGTAATGTATGGTATCCATGATTTTGGCAGTTTTACCAATTTTTTGGAGACTGTCTGGGTAGATGTACCATCTCTTGATATTTATTATAGTTGAAATATATCTTTTCTCGACAACTCTTGGGAAAGAACACATAACATCACATAACTTATTCAGCAAACCTCGCCCCTAGTAACAAATACCCATCCAAGAGCATTGTATGTAGAATTTGATGTAATCCCTTAGTGAAGTGAGTAGTATCAAGGAATCAAGGAGCATATCTTAGTCATACTTACACTGGGTCGGGGGCACGCCCCTTTTTGCTTTCAAGAGAATCAACACCCAAAGGAACAATCCACCCCAAAAGAAGAAATCCATTATTAATGGGACTGCAACAACTTTTGGTGTTGAACATTTCATTGCCCGAAAGGCATTTGAGTTCTCTATAGTTCTCTAAGAAACCCTGAGGCCCTACAACGACCAAGAAAATCAACACCTTTCGGTTTTCCCTCTCGTTTGACGCCCGTATATTCCAGGTAAATCGCACATTTCTTGAGACACATTCACAAGCCATTCTACCGTATTTTACCATCAAATTGCGAGTTTCATCCCCATATCCAACTATTATGACCATTTACATATTGTGAATCCAACTATCCTAACATATCCTAAACATATCTAAACATATCGAACTTTCCATCTCTATCCCCATATTCAGATAGTAGGCTGGTCGAAGCTCCTTAAGGACGCCACTCGGTTCCGGCAGGCGGACGCCAGGATGCTTTCAGCGTGGTCATGGATTCGCTCCGGCGGATCTTGCCACGCCTGTACCGTGCGGTGGTGCCGCTGTCCAGGTCGGGTCACAACGGGCAGCAAATGGCGGATGGTGTTGGTATGTTTAGACACAATGTGCATATACTGTACTGTAGTATCAATAGTGTATCTATTGAATATTATATATATATAGTTGCACATGATTATTATACATGGGTACATATAATCATATTTATGCATATATATATATACACACACGTATACACATAGTGAGAATATAGTATGAAGTAGTCAATGCAACCGAATCATCCGGGTTTGGTCATGTTGACAATATGATAGAGATTTTGTTTCAAGTGTCCAAGTGTGATATCAACTTGTCAGCTGAAATCATTTTTACTTTATATTACTTGATTACGCAGAGTCAAATGATCATAAATGATCCAGTTTGGGGGGTGAATAATTTCAAGACATGCTCACCTTTGGGTTGTCGAAGAGCCAGGCCTTTGGTGTGCGAAAGAATACCTTTGCTGCAGCTTGCTGCTGGCGTGGGGCTACCGTGGAACGTCCAATGATTGTATGTAATTTAGTCTTCACGATGGGGACTGCCATCCAGACAAGTGATGACAAGTGTTTTTGGAATTGTGAGGCTGGAATGGCACCAGATGCGTAGTTTTATTCACATTTTTGTTCCAAACACTAGAGATTTGATTTGTGTCTTCGCTCACCATGGCTGATGTTTGCTGCTTGCCAGAGTTGGAACATTGAAAATGGACACTCCCACGTGTGGGGACAAGGTTAACAGAATGGATGATGGGATTTTCCATGCAGGAAACCATCGGAAACTCCTATACAGAATTATAATTTGATGGTTATCCCCATGGCATTCCCATTCTATTCCCATTCTATCCTATAATGGTTGTTTCAATTTCTTGTTCTTTATCGCTTAGCATCCAAGATGTTCCCAACATCTCAAGATGTCCATCTCCATGATTATCCATGCTCATCCTCTGGTAAACATACAAAAAACCATGGAAAATCACCATTTTTCATGGGTAAATCATAAATCAACTATAGATCACCCATTTTCCATAGTTTTTTGTATGTTTACCAGAGGGATCCAGAGGGTATCCATGTTTTTTTCCCAGTTTTCGATGCTGTTTTTTTCCCCATCTCAGGCAGGACCTCAGCGAAGCGGGAGCCAAAGGCCGGCCTGGACTTGGATCCATATACACCACGAGCCTAGAGGAAATAAAACAACATACTATATATATATATGCATAGTTAGTATATATTGTAGGATACTGCTTTTAATAATAATCATCTGTTTAGTCATTAATGAACATCATTTTTTTTATAGCCATACTATAGTAATAAACAGAAAAATGCCAGGATGGTCGTCCTCCTATGGCGAGTTCGCTTGTGATCCCATGGCGTTTTGGCATCGCTGCAGCGACTTCTGGAGCTCGGAGAGGAAACACGTGGCACCTGGGCAGAAGTCAAGTTGCGTGATCTGCGGGACCCTGTTGGTAAGTGGTCTAGATATAGATTTTAAATGATTATAATATATATATAATATTAGTATATACTGTAATATATATATATATATTAATATATGTATTAATATATATATATATACACTCAATGTAATATATGCAGTATTTACATATACAGTTGTACATCCTATACATGTACTCCCTATACTAGGGATACTTCGTATATAGTTGTAAAGTTTCAATATTGTCACGAACCACTTCCCGGACGGTGCCAAACAAATACGTCAGATGGAAAAAAAAATAATCATGGGAATTGAACCAACAAAAATATAGTGTTTATATAACCATGAGTAAGCGTGAATATGATGTTTATCATCAACAAAGGAGGTTAGACCATCAAGAATATGTCGCTTCTACCATGGCGGTTTGTTCATCAAACCAGCGTGGTTCAATCGTTGAACATGTAGGTTTGTCCATCAAAAATGAAGATTTAATAATCAGACATGAAGGTTTAACCATTACTAAATTACTGTACCAATATCGATACATTAAGTTGTTGCCATCAAGCATATCAAGTAGGTTTAACCATCAAACATGTTCAGAAATGTTAAGCGGTTGAAGTATGTTCAACTGTTCAAGTATCATTTAAGTATGTTTCAAGACTTGTTTCAAGTACTCATGAAACATCCTTCCGGTTTTTTTGGGACCTTTTTTCGGTCAACAACAACCGAACGGTGCAAGGAGCCTCTGAAGCTCTCCGGTTTCTTGCGGAGTTTTCAGCTGCGAACACCAGAAGGCAGCGATGCGCCTTTTTTGGGGCCACGGCACGGGCGAGGCGGTTGGATCTAACCAATGGGGATATTCATGGAATATCAACAATATCAAGAAGCAATGTTAACAGGATATAAATGAAATATGATGTGATTTCATATTTATATATATTTTATATTCTATATCCATTTACTATGATGTGATTTTGTTTAGGTGATATTCATGGGATATTAACCAAGGGGGAAATTAGGTTGGATCTGACTAACCATTGCAATGGAGATTCAATGGGAATATCTACCCATTGGATCCCATGTTCCCAATGGGCTGTATATACAGTACCAAGATGTAACAATGGTGTTTGGATTCCCATACCACATATGTTTAATCTATGGCACATATGGTACTACATTTTAATTGAATATAGACATCGTAAACCAATAATAATTTTCTGAAAACTGCTGGTATTGTGTTGGGTACCACCTATAGATAAGTAGATGTTTATGTACAAAAGATACTAGTAATGAGTACCTATTCCCAAGTCTATGATTCACTCATTCTATATATATATCATTATATTTATGTATCAATGTATCTGTATATACATATATGAACATGAATCTATCTATCTATCTGTCTGTCTGTTTGTCTATAAATCTATAAATCTATAAATAATATTTGATAGATCCCCGCAACTGGCAACTGCCGGCCAGCCCCACAGCATGTTGGATGTTGTTTCTTTTTAGTGATATCTCTTGATATTGCTTCATGGCCGCTTGTTGAAGCTCTTCGTTGCTCCCTATTCGCAGGTCGACAGGCGCTTTTCTACAACTTCTCTCAAGATTTTGTGAAGAACGGCTTCGAACACCGCAGCTTATTCACTGGAGAAAGGCCTTTTCTCGTGTTTTGGACTGCAACAAGTCCAGAGTGTGGTACTCAGAATAGTACTGACTGACTGACTGAATCATTTTGACTGACAGTTCGACCACCTGCTTTTAGAAACATACTTAGGCAAACGGAGTGACTTAGGCGTGACATTGTCGGGTCCCTGTACATTTTAGGTGTGTTTTCATGTGATGTAAGATGAACATGACAGCTTTCTGCCAGGTTGAGTTGGATCAGCATTTGGACACCTCATTTTTTTAAGTCTGTTCCAGAAACTGCGGTAAACCATGACCCTCCAACGGGGTAAACTGGTAAATCCATGGTAAATCCCATCATATAACTTACTTGTAAATTTTGTCATATGACATCATATTATTACAATGTATTTCCCACAATGATATTACCATATTATATTATATTATACTATATCATATTATATTATATTTACTGGTAAATTATTATATTGACAGATTTACATCATATAATATATATATACATTAATATACTATATAACTGTGGTAAATATACTATTGACAGATTTTTCCTCATCCCTCTGGCCCCTCTGGTGGCCCAGGTCTGCAGCAATCCGCGCTTTCCATCGGCTCTGCACATGCTCGACGCAACGGAGCAGCGACGGCAGGTGCGGTGCGGTGCCGGTGGTCTGTTGGGTCTGGATGTGTCAAAGATGGAGTCATAGCTTGAAGTGATTGAAGCATCCAAAATGGTGATTCAATGGTGATTTAATGGTGATTCAATGGTGATTTAATGGTGATTTAATGGTGATTCAATGGTGATTTAATGGTGATTGAATGATATTTCATAGTATGACATACTGATCTAAAATGCGATAACTAATAACCATCAAACATCGTGAAAAAATAGGATATGTTCATCATATTTGGTAGGAGATGCAATGAGATAACCATCAAAGATGTTTTGGAGGATGTACCATCTGCCAATCTAACAGTTTGCTACTTGTATGGAAAACCAACCATTCAATAGAGCATGGACTACCAGAGGGGGTAGATCTTAAGGGTCATATTGAGATGGAATTGTAGATCTTATACCATGAAATTGACAGATCTTAACAAGGAGGAACGTGGATCTGGTTGAAACGCCAACACACATCCCTTTAGAGCTATCTAAGATCTGTTTGAGTTTGAATCTCAACGTTAACACATATAATATAATTTGGTATAATATAATATGATATAAGATAAGATAATAGAATATAAGATAATATATATCTATATATATATATACAGTATATATAATATGTTGATGTCAACACATCATGCTTAGTCCCCGGATCTCCCAAGCTGGTGATAGGTGAGCTACGTGGATGCCAGCGAATGCCGCATCCCGCCGCCGTTGCCCCCTGTGCTACGCCATGGGCCCGTCAGGGCCTTGTGGCAGCTGGTCTTCGCAGTGTGTAACACCATGGCAACTCGGTGTGGATTTCACCATGGCATTTACCATGAAAAATCAGTGCATTTAATGAGGGATTTATGATGATTATGATGAAGAATGACACTTGAAATCACTGCAAAACCATTTAAAAAAAAAAAAAACACATGAATTTCTTGGGAATTTCATTCACCAAAATACTGGTCTCATGGGGATTTCATGAGAATATTAATGATATAGTATTATTAATATATATATATATCATATATATACACATAATATATATATATATATATATATCATATACATATCCTTTCATGGGGATATCATGGAAGTTTCACCAAGTTTCCCATGGATCATGGGATCATGGGGATTGGGCGACGATTTCACGGATGCCGGGGATGACCGGACGTGACCTGACCTTCGGTCGAGGCGTGGGAAAATACCCAAGATGTGGCACGTATCGTTGAGGACGACCATCGGGATGGAAAAAAGATAAAGGAAATAGCCATTGGGCCATGGGACTTCATGGAATTTATGTGGAATTTATGTGTGAAATGCCATGGCATATATATATACTATGATAATCATCCTTCCCCCATATTCAAATCATAAATTGTGTTTTTGTTGACCTCTTTTGACGCCTCAGCAGATTTCACAAAGTGGCATCCTCTAAGAAAGCCAACTGGAACCGCAACCATCTTGCTGGAGGACCATTGGGTGCTTCCCATGTCTCATGACTTTCAACTGGTGGCCTATGACGCTTGCCAGGTGCGTGTTTCTTGATGCTTGGGGATGGCCGAAGATACATGGGCTGCCATCGTTTTTCTCGTTGTTTGCTGTGAAAATACACCATCTACCTTTGAATAATATGAGTATTATTATTATTATATATATATATTCTATCATTATTCCATATAGATATATATTAACCCCATGAGGTCAGTATAAGAATATAGTGACAGTGAAGTTCACCAAGCTTGGACAGTCAGGAGAACTGTGAAGCTCCTCAGACATGCCAACGACAAGTTTCCCATAAGCAACGACCGGTGCTGGGATGATCAATGTTTCGTTTTTGGTTGGTTTTGCACTGGTAAATATTCCATACATGGTTTTGTTTGTTCAACTGTTCACTTGACTATGTCTAAAAATTCACCTGGCATTTCTGATCATCTATGTATCTCGAATCTCAAAATCCGTAGGATGCGGTGGAGAACGTGGGCTCAACGCTGGTGGAGCATGTTTTGGCGTTGAAGATGCAACAGGAACAAGGCGTGTGACAAGGGGACACAACGGGGCTGGATGGTGGCTGGTTACAAGTAGCAAAATTTACAGATGAAACATACTATTATCTATCTTATATATATACATATATATATATATAATCACTGCATACACACACACATATATATATATATACATATCTATCTTGGGGAATTATCATAACATACATCTAAAATGGTACACAATGCCTATCAATATACAGGATGTGGGGCACGATCTACCTCCGAAGACTGCCTCCAGGTGAACAGTGTTCAAATCCATCACGGGAATCCCGCAGCGAAGGGACGACTAACCGGGTTTTGAACACAGATCACGTGTTTGTGTCCAGCAGGTTCAAGAACCAGCTGGGTATATTTTCCACATCATACTTGCCATTTGGTGGTGTCATTTGGTGGTATCCCCCGTTCTCAGACAAATCCATAACTTTCTCATCCATTTTTCTGGATCCAGTTGGAAAACATCTCAATATATTGGGTCAATACTTAAACTGATTAGAAACCAACGATTTAAAACCTACCTGCACGGGCCGGGCCCAGTCGGGGTTAGAAATCACACGACTGGCGCAGAAATCAGTGGACTCAAGGTCTTGAGATCCCAGAGGTGGTGGTGTTCTTTGCTGGAATGGTACCGCAGGCTGCGAATTGCAGAGGTTTTTGGATGGTGAGGGATGCATGTGAACCTAAAAAGTGTATGCAGAATGTATTTGATATAGATTATGTACACATAAACATTATATATATATATATTTATATATAGAGGTGCAGAATGTAGATAAATAAGTAAACATACACGTTCTGTGTATAAGTTCTGATGTACTGACTGATTCTGAACAAGCAATTTGAGCTCATGAAATCCAATAGCAAACAGTCTCCAACTTTATCGGAAATGGATCCAAATGGATAGAAATGAGTGGTTTAATTTTGCACTGTTCCCAGTTGCAAATTGTGTGTCAGTAGCTTTTCCACATCAAGTATCATTGGCCATGCTGAGCCTTGCTGATGTGCTCTTCTCAAGCGGATGCCAATGTTGAGCAACGGAGCCATCTTTAGACCACGTTTGAAACTCAAAGTCTTGCTTGGTAAACGTTTGAACAAATTTATAGTAGTAGTATGATGGTATATATATAATTATATAATTATATATATACACGGTATATACATAGAATGGTTACCATAAAAGACATCATGTATGTATTGTATATATATACACCATTGTAATGCTTCTTCCTCAACTATTGCTTGTCTGAAAATAGGGTATCCCCAAAGTTAATTTGTCATCATCTTCCGCATTAATTTTCCAATTTTAGGGGTATACTGATATACCATGATATACCCCCATTTTCATACATGCCCGCATCTCGAAGAGACTTATTTCAGAATGAGTTTGAAAATCGGGTACCCCAAGATTTTTTCTTCCCAGCCTTGAAATTGTCATAAATGAGGATATCCCCATTGCTGGACATACCCACATATCATAGTGGTGGTTATATAGGCCTTAATTTATCCACATTATATCCTATGTCCCATTCTAGCACTGTTAGTTAAATTTCCATGGTTCATGTTTTTCACGGTATGATCAAAGTTGCTGTATTCATGCTTAAATTCCATTTTTTCTTGGTCACCCTTCCCGGTGTTAATGTTGAGCTGCTTCCCTAGCCCCAGCCCAGCGATCTGAAGGAAGTAGATCTTCACTTTCAGATCATCGACCGTCTACAAGAGTGACCCTTCCTGGGAAATATGGGATAGGTCATGTAATATTAGCATGAAAATGATATAGTTAGTTAAGTTTATCATGGGATGTAATATTATTCCCCATGATATGATATACTAATATAATGGAATAAAATTGAGTAAACCGTGTATATATAATTAATCAACACATAATGGGTTCAATGATTTATATGAGCAGTGGCTGCGATCTACCCCCTCTTGGTTGTTTAGTTCGGGGATTATATATATATACATACTATCCAGTACATGGGGGATTATCACAATCCATTATAGCAAGCCCAAGCAAAATAGAAAAGTTGGAACCGTGGAAAAATATGGAAAACAAAGGCATCATTTTTAACGTCCTGGTAATTTAACATAGCTATTGAAAATGGCCATTTATAGTGGATTTTTCCATTGAAAATGGCGATTTTCCATAGTTGTGTTAGTTTACCAGAGGGTAACATCCTGGTAGGGCTTTTCAGCATTTCTTCGGAGGGCTTGCTATATTTGAGATCCGTTGAGCTGATCCAAAGCAGTGGGTTTTTACAAGATGTTTTGGGGAAAAGCACACATCCGGCATATTCAAGTCATCTACATTTACGTGTGTATATATATACATATATTCATAAGATTTCATAAGTATAAGGTCTTATTTTGTGCTAGATATGTTTGTTTTTCGGAGCGCAGAAGGGTGAACACATATTAAGCCCAGAGACATGAACATATCACAAGCACAAACAAATAGGGTTACGGCAAGTTACGATGTAATTTAATTTTCTGAGTAAAGAGTCTAGAACTACCCAGCCACTCAGTGCTGTTTGATGTTATTATATATGGTTTGTTCAATCTTGTTCATATAACCTTAAAATGGGATCCTGATCGACTCCTACTGCACTAATGCGGTGTGGTCAACCAGCCCTTGGAAGGGAGCCAGTCAGAAGAGATCTACTTGCAGGAAGATACCACGATGGATGATCAAAAAATCCTAATCCAACCAGTAGAGACATAGTCTCAACAAATACCAAAGATAAAAGGAGAAACAGCTGGTCGTGGCTGAAGCAGCTGTCAGGAAGCAGAAAATGCTTCGTATCCATGTCCGAATTGAATCGGGAACTGAAAAAAGGGCTCATTTCCTATCCGCAAGACATAATCAGAAATGACTGCATTGACAAACAACTTATTGCAAGTTTGAATTTGTAAAATTGATTCGATCTTGAGAATGATCTGTCATTTTTTTGAAATTGATTTTGAGAATAGTTTTTTGTCAGATTTCTGCCCGTGTTTTCCCTACATTTGGTGCTCGCCATGCAGGTACTTCGACGCGTTGGGTGGTGACCCGTGGCTGGTGTCCTTCGATGGCCATCGTGCGCCCGGACTCTTGTGTGATGGCTTCCTGACCACCTTCCGTGGCCTGGATCCATGGGAAAATCAAAAAGATCTTTGGTCAACCATGGGGACTATATGGGACTATATACTATGTCTGGTAGTTAGTTAATGTGGTAGAACTATATATAGTTCATGGGGGTTCATGAATTTTTGAGGGATCAGTGACCTCATGTCGTGACATCACTGGAATGATGCTTGGTTTGTGGGAAATCATGCCCAAGTGGCCGCAAGTTTCAGTCATGTTCAATTGTTACAAGGCAGCCAGAATACTTCAAGTTAATAGGTAGTAGGAACTATAAGTAGGAACTAAAGATTCAAAACCTGACTTTGTGAACAAACGGACCCAGGTTACCTGAAACCCATGGTTAGTAATCATGTTCCCAACTGAAATTGCATGTTCGCGGTTTCAAAAATTGGGGGGACTGCCCAGAAAGTAAATGACACAACATTTTTTGGGGTGTAGTATAGCCCATATTTGTTGTATCAACCATCCTGTTTTAATGTGTGGTCCATCCACAACATCTAGAAGTTGTCTTCCTCACTTGCCTCAGCTGTCTTGCAATTTCGCTTGTGTTGGTTTTCACAGTTGTTGTTTGTAGGTGCCCTTGCGAACACTCTTCCGCACTGATGTTACGGGGAATATCAAACATAACAGTGTTTAAGAGGGACAATTACGTTGAATACCTTCAGGATGGGAAACGTCATACTTGTTTTTTGCTATAGTGATAGATATTTACCCAAGCTGAAAAACTTGTTCAAGCCATGAAAGCTTGGCCATGCAGAGGGGGGGTATTGGTGATGGGAAAGGCCTCGCACAAGAATGGAAAAACATCGACATTTTTAACAGGGCTCAATGAGGTCTGTGAGCCCGAAGAACATAGGTCCTTTTTGGTACTGGGTAAAAAGACATTCCCTTTAGCGTATCGCTGATCCCATGGTCTTCTCCAAATAGATGTTCCCAGATTTATTTCATGGGAATGCCCATCATTCATGTAGTCACTGTTGCAACGCCTAAATATAAATTACCCATCCTCCAAGCACTGTAACACAGAGCCTGCCACAAGTTGGGCGTCGGTCTACTTTCTGAAACCGGGATGGGTGATTCGCAGGGCCTTTTTTTTTGCTAAGGGTACCCTGCAGCAGCAAAACATGGGATGTGTTTGTTTGATAACTAAGCCATACTAAGCCCGTGGTGTCCAACAAACCCCAGACCCGACCCTGTGGGTCATCGCACATTTGGGAGGTTCCAAATGTCCCGCCCAAGAGCTGCAGCCTTTGAGCCGTTCATCGCCTCACGTCCTGGCTTTCAACACGACCATCCTCAACAGAGTCGCTTCCCTGCGACTCCAACAGGGCTTTGCAACGGAAGACGGTAACAGAGCCATGGAAAACCATGATATTTGGTAAGGCAAATCATCTACAAATCGGCAAGTTTCTAGAGCTATGTTAGATTACCAGAGGGTATTGTATGTATGATAATTCGTGTATCTTGACCCTGAGTTGACCCATGAATATTGCTAAACAGTAGTACAATGATGGGGTGATGGTTTAGGTGTAATGTATACATACATATAATTATATATACAATATATTGTGCTCTTTAAACTTATATGTATTGTGTCAGATATACACATACCATTACGACTTATTGTGTCATAGCGGGATCAAGTAAATGGCATCTTACCATTTGAAGTTTGCCATTAAGCAAGCTTCGAACATGCACAGAAGTATTTTGTATGCGTTTTCTGCGCACCGAGAGGTTGAAACAAAACAGAATCCCCACTTGAGAGCCTTCTAAAAGAGATACTATAAACATCTATAAACAAGTGGTAAGACAATTCTCAGTGTGATTTGTTGCCAACACTTGTCCTGCAACTGAGTAAGGTACCTGAAGTGCATCTGCAAGTCATTGCAGCGGAATCTCATAGTTGCTTGGTTCAATCTTGCGACAAGCCAAATTCTCATCAAAGCAGAATGTTCAATCAATTCGACACCCAGGAACCCACATGAAAAACAAAAAAACATATGGAGAGTTTAGCCCATACACCCGGTCATCGTTTTTTTCTCATCGTTTTTTTCTCAGGTTTCCATGTGCAAATCGACTTTTTGACCGTCCTGAGACTCGTCCGCAGCAGAACATGGCAGAACCATGTGGGTGTCTCTTTCTGAAAGAGTGCTGATGGAATTTCTTGCAACCTCCAAATTTACACACATTCATGTGTTGATGTATTCATATGTATGAACATCATATGTGTACATTTATATGTATATATATATATATATGTTATGTGTATATGCATTGCACACAATAACATAATGCATGTTCATTTACATGCACATATACAAACAGTATTGCATTTATTTACACACATAGCTTTGTGTATTAACATGGCTTTGTACGTGTTTTTTATTATTATTGTGTAAGGAACACTAACGCATTGGTATGTGTCTATGCACATGCATCTGTTCATGTACAGATCTGTTATGCTAATTTATATACTGCATTTACCATTTGCCAAGCTAACATCGCCCAGGAAAATAGACCATTTAGTTCGATGACCTATTGATTTTCCCCTCAAAATGTGGATTTGTCATGGTCAAGTTGATTTACCCAGGGTATCTCTATCTATCTATAATATCTACATAAATGCATTTATCTTTTGGGAATCAACCATGGGCTAGCTGGAAAGGTTTCAGTTGGTTCGATGATGTTCCAAGTTATTAGCCTCTAAGTTCGGGGATTTCCCAACCATCTTTGAAGTTGGGTCATATCGCATCAAATATCCTTCTTAATATCTCACCAAATCACCGTTTCAATATATGTTAACCCATTAATTTTATCCCACTACTATACTTAATATAGATATATAATGATATATAGTGGGGTATTTTACCCATTATAAAAGCTAGGATATAATATCTGGCTACCCACAATATCAGGAAGGTAGGCCGCCACAGCATACTCACTTTCCGGCCGAAGCCACAGCGCCGGGCTCAGGAGTTTCAAGGCGATACGGAGCCTGTGGCGTGCAGGCCGTGCCAAAGTGATTGCAGAGACTGGGCTGGAAGGGCATCATGGCGGGGCATCATTCAGAAACACCAGGTTTTTATTAAAGGAACTGGTTGTACATACTGATAGAGATACAATAAACATACGTGTTTCTTTTATAGATGTGGATTTGTAGGTTGTCAAGTCAACGACACCAAGCAGATATTGTATATTTGTATTACGTCACTTCATTGTGCCTATTTTAACTGATTTTGATATGTTATACAGATATAGACATATGTTTTTACCAACCGAAACATTGGTGCCTCTGAACCTGTAGATGATATGGTGTGAACAGAAAACTATTCAGGCATATTCAGGCTGAATTTGGGTGGGATTCTTGCGCTGTACAACATTTTGTTTGGTCATTTGCCATGTAAACCAAGATGGGAATTGACATGGTGTTGCAAAGAGTCTGTACAGAACTGACGCATGTTGATGTGTAAATAATATGTTTATACCGTATAGACACTCCATGGATCGGAGAAAAAGAAGTAGACTAAGTAGATGTTCCCAACTTCATCACTCCCTAGAACCTCCAAGTACCCATAAAGAAAATAGGCAAACATGAAACATATTGGTAACATATTGGTAACATACTAAAATACCATCTTTTTTTCTATGGGTGCTTGGATGGTCTCCATTGATGCCTGTGAGATTTCACCACAGGATAGCAGCTTGACGAGTCGGCGAGACGAGTCGGAAGCTCGGGAGCTCCTTAAATTTCCTGGGCCCCTCTGGGGGGGCCCCTCTGGGGGCACAAAAAACCGCAGATTCTGTTGGTTTTATTGCGTTTTTAGTATTCATCATCCATTTGGGTATCTAATTTCCCCAAGCACAATCGATGAAGGTGAAGGATATCATGTGGATTTATTTCAATCAGGTTGTTTATCCAACCCCGCTTGGTGAGAACTTACTGAATGAAGATTCATCATCGAATAAGACTAAATTTAACATACTTTAACAATGTTTAACATCAAACATGGCGGTTCTTATCCAGAAATTCGAAGTGATGGTTTGTTGACCCTTGTTTACGCTTCTAACAAACCAGTACCAGGGATTTGTGCCAGAGGTTTTTAACACTGCTCACATGTGAATTTCTTGTTTGCTATCAACATTTACCGATGACAGCATGTTTAAATCATCCAGAAAACGGCACAAAAAAAGTGCTGCTCCATGCTTGGTGGTACCATCCCCAAATGCTAGGTTCACGGCATTGACCAAAACCAGTCAGTGAGGAAGCCTCAACTTGACCAATGACATTCCCAGCCCAAAATTGAGTGAATTTTAATGATATCCTTCCTTGAATATTCCCACATATATATATGATCTATATATATATATAAATATGTGTTTGTGTGTGATGATGTCATCCAATGGTCATCATGTTGTCCCATCAGGAATGTTCCCGCTCTTATCAGCACCTCGCCGCTGTCTTGGGGGGAAACTTCCGTGGAGTTCGAACATCGCAGGTACCCTTTGGATGTTTACTTTCAATCCGTGTCAGAATGATTGTTTTTGGGATGCACTGAAGCAGTTATGCACTGAGCCCTGGTAGGCAATGAGTTTAAGTCGAGGATTTCTACCCAACAGATCCCTGCAGTGAGTCAATGACTGGGTTTTTAATTGGCAAGGTAGGAGGATAAGCACTTTCTCAAGAATCGCTCTTGCCATGAAAGACGGTCTTTTTCCTCAGAGTGATATGATCCTTTTCGTGCCAGCAACGCAGCGTTACGGCATTGCAATGGCTCAAGTAGCACGATACATTGCATTACACGACATATAGGGCCCATATGTATATAGGTGAATGATATACGCTGTGTTTAATACAAGCTTTCAGCATAGCGCAGGAACAAGCTTCAAATGTGTATTGTGTTTGGATTAATGACAATGAAAAACGCCACACTTGATGATCTTTGCTGCTTTTGGGAGAATGATTTGATATGATTTGGTCTTGGAATCCAATCATAGCAAACCCTGCATCTACTGCCAGACATGCTGCCACATTGCTCCCATTCAAACCAAATTATTGTGGTAGAAAGTTGAAATGGTGGCTTCACAGATGATATGGGTCCCCAAAATGGGTCTACCAGGGCCAGTACATTCTTCCAGGGTTTCGCTTGGGATGTATTTCATACAATCATGCGAAGGAATTATTTTTCTACATCATTGGCCACTTGTGTGTTGGCGAAGTCGTGTGGTGTGGTAGCAGGTTTGTGACAGCCTATGGATTGTGAAACTCACATATCAAAGGGTTGATTAGTCCAAACTATCCAAAAAGTAGATTTTCAGGATGGGATATTTTTTGCGGCTGAAGTCACCGAAGAGATTCAGGAGTCAGGAGTGAATTCCAGCAAGCCTCAATATTCGGCATCTTCCAAATCAGGCCTGGGCTCGGATTGAGGCAAGCGTATGACAACTACCTTGACAGGAGCGGCTTTCATTTGTCCTATGGAAATCAGGCGCTTGGGACGGTGCAAGTGAAATGTTGACCCGTGGGAACCCCTCGGGCAACTTGGTGGCTTCCTTTTAAGACATTTTAAGACAACGTGAACTGTAAACGGTTGGGAACTCAAAAGAAGCAAAAAGGACTTTGCTGTGCTTAAGTGGGAAGATTGAACGACCAGTGTTTAAAGACGGGTTCAAAGCTAATTAACAGCTGGGGAAGTCTTCAAAATGCAGAATGTTTGAGATTAAATTGTATATACAAATATATGATGATGCATTTATTTGATTTGAACAGTGTATGCTGAAATGTTTATAGTACAGATGTGACAATAGCTTCAATAGCTCTGATCCCAATCATGTTCGAAAGATGCTGATGGACTTTCGGTTGACAATGTCTTTGGAATGGTGTTGGCTGACTTATTGCGATGCTTGGCGGAAGGCCATTGTTTCATTGTAGGACAGGATCTTACTTCTAACATAGTTCCTGGTTTTTGGTGCAATTGTGCCATTCGAGTTTGTGTTCACAAGCAGCTTCGGGAACCTTCTCGTCAGAACAGTTGCCTGTTCTGGCTCCTTGGTTTCCAACTCATGGCTTTGCCGAGTCTATCAGGCGGTCAGGTCAAACCTTGCTTTGTTTTCTTGACCATTTGCTTGCTTGTTAGCCTGCGTGTTTGTTTGTGTTGCTGGTATGGTTGCATGCTGTTGCTGTTGCTGCTGCTGCCGTTGTTGTGGTTGTGGTTGTTGTTGTCGATAGCTGTCGTTTTTGCAGTCGTAGCTGTTGGTGTCACCTCTGTGGTTGTTACAACGCTGTTGCTGTTGCCTTTGTCCAGCGCTTTATATAGCCGCTTAGCCGCTCGGCATAGATTCTCCATTGACCCATACAAGGTTTACATTTACCATCCTTTACCCGTACAAGGTTCACACCATTAGTTTGCTACGTGTACTGTACCAATTTTCACGGTTACTTTGAGTGTTTTCCTAGACCAGCCAAGTATTTCTAAAAACATGTTTTACAAAAATCACCAACGATTACAGGTGAAATCCAAAAAAACATGGTTAACTCATCAATTCTCATGGGGTTACCTACCGCATCACCATATCAATGTACCATAAGATTATATGCCCAATGATATTCCCCATATTTCCCCATGATTCTTCATTGGACAGGCACTTCGGGCGCAAGCTTTGGGATGTTTGGATTGGAATGGCAGCTACAGCCTGGTGGACACAGGCGCCGGAAAAAAAAGGAATCGAAGGGCAGTTTAATATGGAAGTTGATAGGAAAGTCTCTGGGAATGTCAGCAATGGATATGATGTAATTATATCACATATATCACATATATATATAATAATAATTATTAATTACTATTATTATGATGATGATAATGATAATGACGATATGTATTTAGACACATACATATCTATACAAATGGATATGACTGTATTCATATTAGAATTAGGGATGTCAACCATAGAACAGTGGATTTTGTTTATTGACTTGGTCTTCGCCAACCCCATCTTGAGTGAATTTCCGCCTCAGCAAGCCAGGATAGTTACCGTGGATATTCCATACTCCATTCAGAAACCGTGTACGGCTTGTAAACCAGTAACCACGCGGGATCTTGGATTATCCTTAAAGATCACCAAAAACCTGCACCAATAATTTGATCCCGCGTCGGTCCAGGGGTGGACCAAGATTGAAGCAACTTCGTGCTTTCCAAATGATGGATAATGGATATGGCTACAATACACATCCCATCCCCCGATCATATTAAGTAGCTAATCAGCCCAAGAAAAGGATACTAAACCAGGGTTTCTCTGGGGAGGTATATCATATTGGGGAAGGGATTTAAGTGGCCCAGGTTTCCGTCCCTTCGTGCTGTATTGTGGAACTGGAAATTAACCAGGCAGCACCAGAATGGATAAATTCAACTTTAAGATGCGGCACATAGGTCATCAGTGACATTATGTTATGTGTGATTCCATACATGGTTGAAACATCACATATAATATATATATACACATACATACATTGTGTCCCATATTTAGAAAGTATGTGACTACAGTTAAACAGTTAACCTACTTTTAAGAACTAGATTTACCAATGTGGTCATCCCAATCATAAATCATCCCCAAAACCACCATTGTTTGTGGGTGCTTACCATCCCCAAATGGTACTGGCTCTGGGTCGAAACCCTGCTAGCCTGGTGAAGCCTAAAATAGCTGGCAACTGGATGTTCATCACCCCTAAATATGGTACATAACTTATGTAACCCTCATTAAAGCACCATTAAGCCTCAATATCCATGAATAAGTCACATAAAACCACCATTGTTTGTGGATCATCCTTCCAAAAGTATGGGAATTCCATGGGTAACGTGGCCAGGTTTGCCGGCGGCCTTTGATGAGGACAGCAGCTGGGCCAAGCCCAGTGGCATCGATGCGGTGAAAATGGACTTCCTAAAGCTCCTGGGACGGTGACGACTTTGGGATTTCGCCATGGCAAAATGAATGGTTTTTCCGCCATGAAACAGGGGATTCCGCCATGAATGGTGGTTTAATGATGTTTAATGAATGGTTTTTCGTGGGAATGAATCATAGGTCATGGGGGATATACAGCCCTTATTTTCGGGAGCAGGCCGGGGACCATGGGTATAACGGCTCCCTGGAAAGGTCTAAGGATAAACAACGCAAAGATGAAACAAGAGAATGTTCACGTATGATGTAATATATATATATATATTTAATGGGATATAACTTGAATGTTCCCATAATATCCATAATTATAACATATTATAACCATGGGTTAGAACATGATATAACTATTATGGGCTAACTTCAAAAAATGATTGCTTTTAACGTGTCACACGTGTCACATTTTTCCCCGTGACTGTGCAGTGAGAAGGAACGAAGGACCCTGATGGGATGACATGACGATGCAGTCCTGGGCGCGGACCCGAAGACTGAGCTGACCTGGAAATGACATGTAAACAACCGGGAAAATAAATATTGATGTGATACTAGTAATACTAATATAATATATTACATACAAAGAACCTGGAAACTTTCCATCCAAATATACATGAAAATAAGAATAGGTGATTTATGTATATTTATGTGTCTTGTTTTGGCTAATGAAATGAGAACTGCCATAAGAAGTACTCAAAACATGCGATTCCAACATAGACACACAATGGGTCATCATGTCTAGATTTTAGCATGTGCAGCATCCCAAACATTGGACTTACGATTTTGAATCATCCTCATATCCATACTGCAATTTGTTGCTGCATGGACTGACCATGGCTGCTTTGGCTCATGTGGGTGACACAGAATGACCAGTCATTTGTCAAGTCCATTGGTACTGCATATTTTGTGCAATCAAGCTTTGGTTGGACATGTTTAACTGCGGGGTACTGTTCCTCTCAACAGTTGACTGAAACTGGATAGTTCCCATGACAGGAAAGTACGTCCCTCTAACTGTGGCTACGCGCCCGCAACTGTTACAATGCGTTGGTGCCACTCAGACAAAAGACCAAAGCCAATTTAATATGCGCGGCAATCATTGTGAACTGTTTGACATTTCTGTGGTGGTCTGCGTATAATTTGAATACATGTGAGCTGCATGATCACCGCAATCCAAATTAGACATCATATACAGATGATACAGCATTCTGTGTGGATATTTTTGTCTATGCCCAGACAAATATGTATGTATGTATGTATGTATGTATGTATGTATGTATGTATGTATGTATGTATGTATGTATGTATGTATGTATGTATGTATGTATGTATGTATGTATGTATGTATGTATGTATGTATGTATGTATGTATGTATGTATGTATGTATGTATGTATGTATGTATGTATGTATGTATGTATGTTGTATGTATGTATGTATGTATGTATGTATGTATGTATGTATGTTATGTTATGTTATGTTATGTTATGTATGTATGTATGTATGTATGTATGTATGTATGTATGTATGTATGTATGTATGTATGGTAATGTAATGTAATGTAATGTATGGTAATGTAATGTAATGTAATGTAATGTAATGTAATGTATGTATGTAATGTATGTATGTATGTATGTATGTATGTATGTATGTATGTATGTATGTATGTATGTATATGTATGTATGTATGTATGTATGTATATATATATATATATACACACTCACACATTCATATACACATGTAAACATGTCCATACTAATTTTGTTGAAGTCTAGAGAAATTCATATTTTCCACTGTCACCAAGGACTGCATGGGGAGCCAATGTCCACAACCATCCACCAGTGCCGGAGTTGCTCAGCAGGATTGGCGGCAAATTGTGGAGTCGAAGTGCATGGATTCTGGTGAGAAAGTATCATCAAATGGTGGCAGTTGTATATCCATCAATGATGAACTATGTATACACGGATATGTATATGTAATATATATATATATATACATATGATCATATATGTATACATATATATATATATATTATCCTAATAATAATGATTAATGATAATAAAACAATCAAACCATCACTTCTATGATTGTTTGAAGACGGAAAACATTTTTTTCTCCGCATGGCTTTCCAGGGATGGATCCATCATGGAGGTTCCTTAGCATCTCAGACATCAACATCATACTATCACTATAGTATCTATTATTGTTCTTACTAATGTGATAAACATGATGATCATCATTATCATCATTGTGTTCATGTTCATTATTATCATTATTATCAATCATTATTATCATTACTATCATTATCATTATTATCATTATTATAATTATTATCATTACTATCATTATTATCATCATTATTATCATTACTATCATTCTCATTATTATCATGTTTTTTAAACAACTGAAAACTAAAAACATTATTATTGTTGTTTTTCCTATTATATATATGTATATATTAATATTATTATTATCATGATATCATCATTTCCAATGCCCGCTGGTGCTTCCGAGGTTCGGAAGCAGCGCGTCCGTGGAGGAGATCGGAGTCTTCAGTGCCATGGCCGGTGGGCCATGACTTACTGGTGCTAAACGTAGGGAATGGATGGGTTGCTGGGGGTTGCTGGGATGATTACTAGTGATGACTGGGATCATTCCCTCATTCCCTGCTAAGCACCAGTAAGAAATGTTAAGACTCTGGTACAAACATATTCGCAGACCCTTTTTGTTTTCCTCAGGGTATCTAAGATTCGACATGTATTGAATGCACACAGAAATTGCAGGCAGATGTTTCCCCATAATTCTGGTTGTTTGGGTTGTTTGGTTGGAGCATTTCATTTATGGCTTTGTCGACCCACTCAAATCATTTGTTCGGGATGTCCGCCATTGTTGGACGGGGGGACATACCGGGCTTCCCAAATTTGCTCCAACCTATCCGGATGGTTCATGATAGCCACTAGGGGTAGTAGTTTTGTACCTGCGGGGTTGGGAGCTCTTGAAGGGATGGTCTGCAGTCTTCCATAAATGTGTTTCGGTTGGTGGTGTGAAATGTTGTGATGAATCCCGTGAGAGACCCTGATTGGTAGGGTTTATAGATGTTTCGACAGAGTTGAGTCGCATTTAGCATGTTGAAGTTGGTTGCCTTTAAAAACAGTATGAATATTTTTAATGCCCTTGCAAGTGAACAACATTGAACAACTTTGAAGCTGAGCTAAAACTCAAACGTTTCCAGTATAACAAGCATTGTGACCATCAAAGATCAAACTATCGAAGGTGGCTGGATATCCTGCAGAATCCACACACTCTCAGGTCGACGTGTTTCCACTGGTCGCTGATGTGTTATTGACATTATTTCAACTTGGTAGTTGCTTGATTGGTTTTTGAATGTTTTTGATTTGTATCCCAAGACTCTTGGTTTCCAAGCTATCATGAATGGGTTGTGTATATATATATATATTATATACACTGTATATATTTTTATGTGTGTGTTAATGTGTATGATATTTTGTCTGAAATACAGCAAGCACAACTTCGACTTGGATTTCCTCGGATCTGTCATCCACAACAGCGGCGAGTCGGCGAGTCGGCGACTGCAGAGTCCACTTGGAGCCCACCTACCATATTGGCGGATGCTATGCTAAGATATGCTAAGTCTTCAGAACTTCAGGATCTATTCATCATAAGTATGCGTATGATTTACGAAGATATGTTGCTGTTTTGATTGATGGTAAAATATTGTTTGTGAATGTTTAGTGCTTAAACCTTAGTGATGACAAACTCTGTGGTAGTTTTTCCTTGTTTTGTTTGACACCAAGAAAACAATACCACTCAATTTGTTGCTCCAAGCAACTGCAGGTCTTTGCCATCCACCACTCTGCAAAGCTCATGTGACTTGGACGTTGGAGCTTGATACAGGCTGCAAGTTGCAGATCGGTTAAGACTGTCACATAGACATAACAAACAAAAATATGGAATATTTTGTATTGCTGCAATTTTAAACTACTTCTGCTAGATTTGATCAATCAATCATTTATTCGTTGAGCAGTCAATGGAATTACATCTATGATCAGATATCTATATATATATAAATGATTATATATGTTCATATATACATATATGATAGTAATTATATATATATATATATTACCATACATTATTTTATATCATATATATATATAGATCATGTATATATATATAGACTATATGTATATATGTGAACATTGGTTTCGCCACACGTCAGGAGGTGATCCAATTGGCTTGGCATTACTTGACCAACGTCCTGATGCAGAGCCAGCGCCTGCGCCCCAACTGGGCCATGGATAACTGCCCTGGGCCACCGCCCAACGCCAAGACGCTTGGAACGGCGACCGGATGGTGGAGACGTTGCTGTGGATTTTGTTGGGAAACTAAGATAGATGTGAAAAATCAGCAAACATGTATTATTTTTTTCATTTCGCGTTACTGTGCAGTCTGCACTTGGTCATGCGAAAGTGCCAGAACAGGCGAAAACCAAGCCTCAATCATGACTACACAACGGGTCGATAAAGGTCCGGTTGGACGATATCACACCCAACAAAATCCACATGATTGAAAGGCTCAAGCTCCTGGGGCAGCCCTGCTGAAACGCGGACACCAGCATACACCTTCGCAGCCTGGGTCAAAATCGCATCAGCCAAGGCTCTGTTCAGCCCTTCAGGATAAATCTTGCAACGGGCTGTTCGGAAGGTGGTCCCATCTTCCTCAAACCCTTTTAATTGAGCATGGGCATGAGCGCCATGCGGGCACCGTCCACATCGGCCCTGAGCAAAAACGATCCTACGAAACCGCGGCAGCCTCAGGTGAAGGATCGAGGTGGGCTTGACCGCTGCTGCACCAAAGACGCACTGGTCGAAGGAGGTCACTCCGCAGCAAGCCAAAAGGCGCAACGATCGGATCGCCGGGTGAGCCCAAATGCTCGCTGGCTCCTTCGATCGAAGCCACGTAGGGAACTGAGGATGCTCGCAAAAGCCGCAGCCTCCACACTTAGCCAATAGCAGCAGCTGGTCCATCAAGAACAGGAAGAGCCGGGTGCCCACAATCACCTGCTGCCATTCTCGAAAACGTAGCGCAGGAAGGCCATCAGGAAAGGACGCGCTCCGCAAAACTCGAGGACCACCTTCTTGAAAACGAGCAGCAGTGAACGTTTCACAAGGTGGACCGCCGCCAGCACCTATCACCTGCCCTTTGGCAATTTGGTGTTGCCAAAATCCATGGGCGGCAGGTGTGACCAAATTGCCTTGTTCCTTTTGAAGACATAAGTCAACCGAAATGACATGAAGCTCAAGGCCTGGGGCAAGCTGCTGGTGCTGGAGATGCGCATGCAAATCGCCCTCACGGCGAAAGCCAAGCATACTGATGTGCAAGTCCTCCAAGGTCATAACGTCCATCGCCTTCTGGGAAACCCGCCGGCACGTTCATGACAAAGGCCGGGAAGTCCTCTGCAAACACCTGGACCTGCGGTGAATCAGAAACAGGACCATCTCGACGCCCTTGAAGAAGTGTGGCAGCCTCACTGGCACCAGAAGAACGTTGCATGTACTTCTGAAACATCTCATGCGCAGCGGCGGAATGAGGAGGAGGCAGACGCGGCCCAAGCAACTTCCGCATAGGGTGCAATGCCTTCGTAGCGCCCCATCCATCTGCTTTCATAGGAGCATTGTCTTGCTGTTCTTGTGCATCAAGCTGTGCCAAATGGTCATCATCAACCGGCGGAAAGCAATGCTGCAGTGTCTCCAGACAAAGAGTCGCATCACGTAGGTGCTCAGCCAGTCTGCTTCGGTTGTGGTAACATCGGCAACAAGCCTGGCAGGTATCGCCAACTGCGTACAACTTGACCAGGCGACGGTAACCATGAACTCGAGCTGAATGTGTAGCGAGCGCCCTGCGTGAACCAAACCACTTGTCGCATTGATCGCACGTCCAGCGTTCAGCACACGGCAAAGGTCGAGCAGGAAGAACTCCACCAGCTTCGGTAAAGGCAGTGTCGAAGCGCTTTTGCCAGGTGACGGATTCCGCTGTGGCCTGTCTAAATCGTCGACGCGCAGCCCCGGCTGCCTTGACGCGTCCAAACCAGTTGGCGTCAAGACTGACAATTGGCAACCAACTGGCTAGATTGTTGTCCGCAGGCAATCCAATGTGGTCCGAGTAAAAACGACGAAACCAGTCGAACGAGCGCTCACAAGCATTGATCCACGAGTCCTCTTTGTCCTTGGTCTCCATCAAGAGCTGCCATAGCACATTGGGAGCAACTTGAACCAACCTGCGCAGATAGCGCAGCCGCGCCATGTGCAAACGGTCGGCGGGAGGCAGGATGTGCAACAGGCCACACAAAGTCTCCACGTCTAACAGCAAAGGCGAGACACCAAAAGAATGACCTCGGGCAAACAATCCGAGCGGCTTCCTGATGGAGTTCTGCCACGCATGGACCATCGTGTCTGTCACCGGAGCCCAAACATGGCAGTTGTACATAAGCCTGGACATAGACAAGGATTCAAACGCGGTCATCTTGGCCTTAATGGAGACATAGGATTTGGCATAGAGCGACCGATGCAAGGCGCCCCAACTCTGTCTCGCAGCTGTGCCGCGCGCCACCACTTCTTTGGAGCTCTTAGCCCCCTGCTGGAGCCATGTGCCAAGGTGCTTATAGCAGTGGACAACCCGAAGCTGAAATTGCTGTGAGTCTTGCTCCCAGATCAATCGCTGCGAAGACTCCTGCAATTGGACCTTGGCAGCAGCCGAGCCCTTTCCAACCAGATGAAGAATCACCTCAGTTTTGCCAGGAGCGAAATTGAGAAGAAGTCCACGACCTTTGGCTGCTGCGTCCATCGCCCCAACGGCCGCCTTCACGATGTCCTGGACACGATGCAGCGTAGAAGAATGAATGGCCATCGCGCAGTCATCCACAAAAGCAAGGTCAATGATGGCTTCCGGAGGAACTCCATCGGGATGCAGGAGATCAGCACAAGCCTGTGGACTCCCAGCCCAAAACACACCAGTGGCCTTGTGAATAAGGTTGCGCGCATCCCGCAAAATCAGACTCATGACCATGTTGTAAAGGAGATCTCCCAAAGGGTCACCTGGCCTGGTCCCACGATGCGTGCGGCATGGAGCGTCAAGCCCCCGGATAAAGAAGTGGGTATTGGTCAAAGCATCCTTCAAAAGCCGCCGAAAATGATCACTAACACCTGCGGTAGCATCATCCGTGCTGGTCACCTCTAGCATGTGATCAATGTCGGCGCTGCTCACTCGAAGGCGATGGAGTGCAGCGACCAAAGAGGAAGGGTACTCTTCATCAGGAAACAAAGCTTGCCGCAGGACACTGTAGAATGCTGATCTGATATCGAAGAATAAATGGGCGTAGGGTTTGCGAGTGCAAGTAGCCCAATGTCCATGCGCTTGAAGGATGTGGTGGGCCAAGTCGGCACCGCGCTTGCGTCGCCCTCCAAGCTGCAACGAGGAAATTCCCTGTTCCCAGATCTCCACAAGGTGCGCCCGCAGAGCCATGTGGTAGAGCTTCGCCGTAAAGTTGCTGATGAAGATACTTCGATAACCCAATGGATCTGCTGCATCTGCTTTACCTTTGGACAGTGGTACAAGCAGGCCACCTTTCCACTCCAGTGGCTCCTTGCAGTGAGCAACTGCCTTTGCGGTCAACGCACACAATTGCACACAAAGTGTACCAGCGCCAACTTTGAGCACTTCAGTGGGGATCTGATTCAGCCCAGGTGTCTTTCCACGTTTGAGCTTGCGCAAAAAGCTCTGTAGGATCCAAGGGGATGGAAATAGTGCTTGTTGTTGGACATCAAGAGGAGGCCCTAGGCCTGGGCGATCCAATTGTTGGAGCGCAGACCAAGACATCTGTGTCCCTGCCTCAATCTCGCCAAACTGTTTCATCCACACTTGCTGCTGCTCTGTAAAGGAGGTGGCAATATCACCATCCGGCTTTCGCAGTTCAGGGAGAGGACGAACCACAGTAGCCCTTTTTGGTTTCCTGGATCCAAGGCGAGCCAAGATTGTGTGCACCGCACGGAGGTCATGAATTTCACCAGCTGCTTGAAGTTCAACGAGAATTTGGTCATAATGAACCTGTAGGTCTTGATACACTTGAGCTTTCACCATCTTCTCAATGGCTCGGAGCTCAGTCTTGTAGAGCTCGTCGTGCATCAAACCCCAGCGGCGACCGCAGTCAAGAACATGACGCTTGAATGCGATGTTGGCAAGCGTTGCAGGGCGAAGCTGAGGACGACGACGCTTGGGGCGGTGTTCTTCGAAGAACTGTCGAGCAAGCTGCAAGACATTGGACTCGTAGAGCCGACAGTGCTCATCAACATTGACATCCCACGTAGGCAATGGGAGTGTCGCCAGGGCAGATTGGAACTCCTGGGCAACAGCAGGATCACGTAGCCGATCTCTGTCCCAGTAAATTTTGCTCTTCGAAGAGGTGGTCAACGTCACCTCACCAGCGACATGAGCCATGACAGGAAGATGATCCTCATGCTCAAAGGTTGAGTCATGATCCACGAGCACCGTGGTCGATCGCACCATGGAACGAGCCGCTTGAGACACTAAGATATAGTCACGTCGCAAAGTGCTCCCTGTGGAATGTGTCCATGTAGTTGACGACCCACGATGAAACGCCTCAAATGTGGATGGCACCATGAGTTGATGTGTATGGAGAAACTCCTCAAAAACATGGCCCTGTGCATTCATGGGTTCTGAATGATGCATGCCGAACAAGTCGGTCGCCGTGGAAGCCAATGGAGCATTCGCGTCAACCAGATACCAAGCCAATGCATCAGCGACGTGTTTGGAGACGCGCGTTGATGTCTCAGTCCACCAGGTCTGAATGTCATCAATGGGTCGATGTCCAGAGCCCTTCGTTTTGGACAAGCAAGGCGCGTGCAGGACCACAACAACGAAGGAGAGGCCTGGGTGCTCAAACTTGACCATCAATCGACGTGGGTCACCGTGGGTGACGACAGTATGAAAACTGCTGAGGCCAATACTGCAACCAGAAGCTGTAGTAGCGAAGGGGAGGCTGCGATGACACCAAAGTTCGCACCCAAATCTTGCGGCTGCCGGGCCAACATGACCAGAGGACCAAATATGGTAATGCTCGGACTCAAAGACCCCTTTTGGCGTACGGGCTTCTTGCACCCCAACTAAATGGATCTTTCTCGCATGCCATTGTGCATCTAGGCGCTGAGTACGAGCTCCAACACGGCGGCCAAACTCTTTTGTGGGTTCCTGGACATCCAACGCCAAGACATTCGCCGTGGCCATCTGTATGTCAATCAGCGCAGAGCCAGGAGCATCAGAGTGTAATCCTAGCGGAGAAGACACCGAAGTGGCCGCACGCCGTAATGAATGAGGAAACTGCATCACCTGGCCATCACAAAGTGGAGGAAAGGCATGGAGCAGCGACGTAGGGCAAGTCTGCATCCAAGACCACTGAGCGTCAAACTTCTCCACAGCAAGTCGATGCAAAGGTTCCAACGCAAGGGCAATGCTTGGCGCTACATCAGCGGTGAGGGCAAACCGAGCTAACCGATCAGCAAGCTCATTCCATGGATGATTTTGGTGCCCTCGAACCTCCGCAATCTCAAGTCGAGGCCCGAGCCACGTGGAGAACGCACGAAGCAACGTAGCAAGCACCGGGTTCGAGGTGGTACAGCATTCAAACAAGGACACTGTGCGGCTCAGCCGTAGGTCAGGGCGAATCAAAACCTTGCCCGGTAGCTGCTGTGAATGCACAACCATTAAGGCAACCGCTAAAGCTTCAAACTCAGCTGCGATGTTGTCAAGGGATGTGGCACCAATCCAAAGTGGAGAATCCGAGCCAATCACAACTGGTCCTGATATTTGACCGTGGAAACGTGTGCCAGCATTCGTGACCTGAACGATGACGACACTCCATGCAGCTGCCGTAGCAGAAGTCGCGCCATCAACGTAAAGTTCCCAGTGAGCATCTGAATGCGGCTGCACTGCATCCTCGTTCTCAATCGCAAAGTATGACTCAAGCGGAACCTGAACGCCCTCAGGAAGGGGGAGAAACGGAAGCGGCGCCGAGGGAGTACATGTCGCTGCCCAATTGTCATCATGAAGCCAAACAAGCGCGGAGGTTTCGTCTCGAAATACGGGTTGATCTGGATCACCGTCAGGAACTAACGATGCAGCAAGCGAAATCACAACAGGTGAGTTCACCGTTGCTTGAACAGCAATGTCTGGTTGTTCCCGCTGGCCATCTACTAAGTGCTCCCACAGGGCAGTAATGACCAGTTGTAGCTTCTCAAATTGGGAAGTGATGACCGCATCAAACGGTTCAACTTTGTCTCCATTCCATTGATGAGAAGCCGGCCACGTGGAAGTCGCGCTTGTAGAGGATTGGAGTTTGGCACGTTTTTGAAGAAGCTCAACGATGTCCCCAACCTCCTCTTCGACAAGTACTTCTGGAACAGCAGGAAGTGAATCAGCTTGCTCAACCACGACTGTGAAGCACATGGCGTGGTGTACTGGAAAAAGATTGCCAGCTGTGAGCTCAACCTGTCCAAACCACGACTTGCAAATGGAAGTAGGGTCAATTGGTGGGCACTGAAACTCAGCAACTGCTTCACGCAATAGCGTCCAATGATCGATGGCATGAGGAAGCACTACACAGATATTGGAAGGAAACCAAGGATCAGAGTACTTGTCCATCACCGTGAGCAGGCAGGAGAATCGATCTGGTTGCGGTTGTTGCAGCAACACAACGTGAGCTTGCACAGGGTGATCATGTCCAACTGGACTGGGTGTGACAACATGAATCTGGAAGTCAACCTCGGGGACAAACCAATCATGCCAGACCTGTTGAATAGCGGCCACCCATGTCACCAAGTTTGGTGAAAGCTGCACAACTCGTCCCTCCTCAGACCAAGGGCGCCTCAAGTGATCAGAATACCACACTTCAACTGAGATCCCATCCGGAAAGTGCACGGCGTGGGTGCCAAAGAAGAAGTCCCACAGTTGCTGCAAGGTTCGCCATTGCGTGGGCCACGGTAAGGGAATGGGGCCAGCATCCTGCAGAAGCGCTTGCGGCGCCGGTTGATTTTCAAGTTGCGCAGACGAACAGGCAAGGTGTTGCTCTGCTACACGGTCACCAGGTTCCTCAGAGGGTACAGCAGCTGCACTTCGAGCTCTGGCCCAGCGCCGGGTAATCTGCATAAGTGAATTGGCTGTCGCAGGCATAATATTTCGTGGCACAAAAGAGTCTGCAGAACTGGAAGCACCTTCATGTCCCTCACAGCGTGGAGCACGCACATGGAGCTCAATGCTCCGAGCTGTGGGTAGATCATGCCGAATGAACTGTTGCATGGGAATGCTGCCAATCTGGGCCCGGCAAACATGGGCTTCACACACATGGTTGATCTCCAAGATGTCAATAATATCTTCCGTGCAAACCCATCTCGGGATCGACCGACCACATTGCAGAAGACGATCATCTCGAGGTCCATGAAAGAGCGCTGATAGGACCGCGGCCGTGCGTGCTTCACTGGGGTGCTGCTCAATCATGATATGGATCGTGTCAATTCGAAAGGAATCATGTGGAGGTTGTCCATGGACGATCGCAATGTGCGTGGTGGCTTGCGGCTGCAACCACTGCTGCCACGGCTCATAGAGATCTTGCAACCACAGATTGCGCAGCTCATCCAAACGCACAATTTTTGCTGCAGGGCACTGTTGATACGACTCATGATTAATAAACCAGGTCCAAACGTAAAGTACAGGCCCTTCCTCCTCAAACTCAATCAGCGCATGGTCACGGAAGTAGTCATCTAAATCACGAAACCATACGGCCTCATCAGGTTGTGGCTGTGCCGACAGGACAGGCGCCGGTGGAGCTGGAGAAGGGGCTGGAGCATCAACTTCAAGCCCCGGTGCCGGGCAAGGTCCTGCAGCAGGTGCAGCTACCGGAGCGTCTGAAGGTAGAGCTTGTGCTATCCTGATGGAGTGCAAAGTGTTGGTCTCATCAAGCGGAGGAGGCACAATCACTCTCAAATAAGCCCCATGCTGCATTCGAATGGGTCCAGGTCGTAGAATGGGCCATCCGCGTCCATTGTGTTGCACAAGACAACGATCATGCTGAAGACGACAGTATTGTTGAACGCCTGCAAAACCAAGGACATCTTCTCTGGTCACATGGAGGGGCACCCGAACAACACGACGCGCAGCAGCTGGCAGCGGTTGGAGCCCACCTGGGTTGCGAGCAAAATGCACCTCCACGTCCAAGATTACAAGCGCATCGGATGACGCCGCTGGCAAGTCCGTGATGGATTGGAGCACGAAAGAGAAGTCAGCAATTTGATCTCCAACCATCTGAGCTTGGACCAGGTGCGCTTGGAGAAGGCTAGCCGGAACAATGCCAAGATGTCGAGCTAGTTCTCGAAGCATAGGCACACCCGCCGCATTGTTCAAGAAGATATGCAGTGGAGCATGTCGCAGCCGATAAAAGTGGCAGTTGAACAGAGGTCCATGAGCCTCGATGTTGTGTCCATGAGGATCAGGGGGGGACTCGCCACTTGGACTCTCACCTCCGCCATCATCAGAGCCTTCATGTGTTGGACCAGGGTCAAAGTGATCTTCCGTAGGGCCAGTTGGTAATCCAAACGTTTGCACATCTTCCAGCGTGCTCGCTGCAGCTTCAGAGTTGCCAACGTGAATGTGAGGTTCGTGTGGGACCTGGATCATGAAGGAATTGCCAGGTCGCATGCGATGTTGGGGATCAGCATCAACAGAAATGGCCTCCCAACCATGAAAAATGTTGCATGCTCTGCCAGTCACAGGCGCACAATAATGATGTACATCTGCCGCATCAACAATATGATATCCACTAACCCATGTCGCAAAGGAGGCTGCAATGATGAAGGTTCGCTGACCATCCAAATCATCCAGAAAGTGCACTGAAACCAGGCCTGAAAATCTGGGGTGATGCAAGCCTTGCGACACGATCACGTCAAGGGCAACAAACTGGTCCGCATGGCCACGATATGGCATTGGCGTAGGCAGAGTGAAGGCCTTGGGAATGTCAACGTCAATGATGTCTGCCCAAACATTGACAATCTGTTGGATCCAATCAGCACGATCACCGCCAAGGTGGACCATACGCGGAATGGCACAATGCTGGTGCGTCTCATGATGAATGTACCATGTACGAATAAGCACAGCACCCTGAGCAAAATTGGCTGGTGTTGCCAGTGCTGGATCCATTTGTGCTAGCATATTGTCGGTGAAGTCCGGAAGATGGCCTGGCTGATGTCCAAATGGTCCATGAGCAGGACCTCCGGCTTCACCATCATCATCAGGGATGTGCGGCAAGTTCGCGTACTCATCCATGATTCGAAGCTGAAGAAAAGGCGGCTCGCCTGCACCACTGCGGGCAAAGGGCACATGGAGCCCAAACATCGAGTGCCATGATGGAGGGTGACAAGGCGGCCGAAATTTCCGACGGATTTCATAAGGTTGATCTGTCCAATCATCAACAAGGTCCCAAGGCTTACATGGCCAACACCTCAATGCAAGATGCGGCACCGCCAAGAGCTGCAAATCCCCAATGCAGACTTCAATCAGCGGACGAAACCTCACCTTCTTGGTCTTTGCAACAGAAGGAGGAGCACTTGGAGCGAGTTGATGTTGTCGTAGAGAAGGCCGCAGGGAGTGACCAAACTCAAACGCCAGGGCTGCTGCAGAATCAATAGCCGACCATTCACTGACAAAATCTGGCTCGGCAATGATGGAATGGGTCCATTTGCGGACCAGTGGATGCCAATCACCTTGAAGACAAGGTAGAGCTCCAAGCCCTTGGTGGTCGTACTCGAAGGTCACGGGCCACCGGGCACACCAAAAGGCGGCGCATTTGGCGATGAGGCCATACCAGATGCACCCGGAACGGCGCCTGCAGGTGCTTCGACCGCAGGAGCGGGTGCGACTCGTGGACGCTTTGTCCGCTGTTCCTCCTGCACCAACTCTTCGGTCTGATGATGGAGGGCGGACATGGTCTCCACAAGGCTGGTAAGGCCTGACGCAATTCTTTCGGCTGCAGCCATCGGGACGTCTTTCAAGTCCTTGCACTCTTCGTCGTCGGAGATGGACTGCGCCGACTTGGCATCCACGGGCACCATGTTGGCCGCATCTATCTTGGCTGCATTCATGGTGTCCCTGGCTTGCACAAAGGCATCTTTTGCTTGCTGTATACGTTCTGTCAGCAGGGCCTCCTGTGATTGAAAATTTGCAGTATGCCCCTGCCACATCTTCAAGCTTTCGGCCAGAAAGTTTTTCCACTGGGAGTGAAGCATGGCACGTGCAGCGACTGCATCGTCGTAGACCTGTCGAGCATCGTCCATAGCGTTCACCGCCATGTGCATCGTCTTGCGATTGGCCTTGGCTTCTGTAACACAGACCTCCTTGAGATCCTCTTGAACATCGTCCGGTATCTCCATCCCTCTGTCCTGGTGCTTCTTGAGTTTCTGTGTCAAGGCACGCAATTTGATGGAGTCTTCCGAAGGGGCAGGAAGGACCGGTGCGACTGGTGCATTGGCAATGACCGTCGCTGGCATCTGCATGGTTGGAGCCGGCAACGAAGTAGCTGTCAACGGTGGAATTGGAGGCGGCGGCAAAGGTGGTTGAGCAGCACCAGATTGGGCAGGGTACTGGTCCTGTCCTTGCTTTTGCGCCTTTTTCCCACGCCGTGACTTGCGTCGATTGCCTTGACCTTGCTGACGATGTCGAGGGCTTTGTGATCGTCCTTGATGTGCAGGATGAGATTGAATCCAGGGCTCCTGGGGCCACTGCCAAGCCTGAGAGTAGGCCTGTGTCTGACCCTGCTGATGCCTCCTTGGTGAGGTCGGAGCTTGCTGGTCCACTGCAGGAGTACCGTAAGACTACGATGTCCTGCAGTCCGGACAATTCCAGGCATTCTTCCTGTTCTTCCTTCCGCACGGGCAATACCAGGGCAGCGCCGTCATGGCTGCGCGGATAGCTCGTAGAAGACGAGGATCTCGCGAATGATGCTGAGACAGAATGCGGTGGATATGCCGGAGACCCCGCTCCGACAAGGTCACCAGCCCAGTACGATGTAGGTACCAACGCCGCCTGGCTGTTGCTCTCGACCTCCTCAGAAACCTTCTGCTGGAGGGAGTAATAGTGCAGGATGAAGATCAAGGCCAAGAGGATCTTGAAGGCACCCACAACCATAAAGCGCACAATGAGCCCGAACGCCACCACAAAGGCCAGGAAATAGCACGCGCCGCCCCAGCGCTGCCAAGCCCGACCGTGAGGGTGTAGAGCAGCAAAAAGCGCAAGGCCCGACCTTGTCCAGGTAGAGCCGGAGAACCGAGATTTGCTAAGGCAGCCCACCAAGCAGCGCTATGGCAGGAGCCCGCGGATCACTCGGAGATCCGCTAGGGTAGATGGGACAACGGGGGGAAACGCGGACCCGTTGAACCAGAACACCTCAAACATGTATTATACTATATAGATATATAGGTAGGTTAGTTTACCCCATTATAGAAGGATATAATATCTGGCTACCCACAATGAGGGAATTCATCCATAAATGGGCCATAGAGGTCATAGATGTTTAATGATCCACCCATTTTGTTCGATCATGTTCGTGAGGAAACCATGGGGGAAAACCACATCCTTTTTGATGTTTACCCTGGGGTAAGTGTTAGACACAAACATGTTGACCTATAAAAATTGGAAAAAAACAATGACAATGAGGTGTTATAAACATTGTCAAGATACCACTTTTTATGGAGTGTATAAGATTGGAATTTGCACGTGATCATGGGAAAAGGTCGTATAATTGGGGAGGTGATTTTATGGGAATTCACTCTGTATGGCAATTCTCATTGGTGCTTTGTGTAGGAACTAGGAAACTTGGAAACTCTCACTGGCTTTTGTCACACTCTCTGTGAGTGGATATGCTATGGAGACGACTTTTCCTTGTAGGCAGTTTGGGGGCTCAAATTCGGTGCATGAAGCAGCTCGGGTTCAGCGTTACCTTTTGCGCAGTTCAAATCTTGAGTGCGAAGGGACAGGTTTGGTTATCGTTCTTCTTCTTTTCGAAGCTTACCAGGATTGTCAATTCATTCAGCGGGGTTCCTCAATGTTCCTCAGTTCATCTCATCTACTAGGGTGCATGACTAGCCCCAGCTAGAACGTGCTCTAGAAGCCTTTTTTGCCATGTCTTTACACCTTTTCAGTCTCCTTAACATGACTTTCTTATATCACTCCTTTTCATTAGTGCCTGTCTCATGATATCCCATCATTCGTCGATATTCGTCGCATATATATATATGTATACATGTATATATTACGCCATTTATCCTATCATCCCATATATTATATCATTCGCTATGATTCTATCTACTCCCAGACTTTATTCAGTCTCTCACCACAAAAAACATCGCTATTCCACTTATATTAGTGTCTTTTGTGTTTGCCTATTATAAATGGTGATCTATTCCTCGAGTTATTCCAGGCTTCGAAACTGTGCTGAGCTCAGGCTTCGCGTGCGGATTTCCGAGCCCTTGGATGCCGAGGCGCTGTGGAGAAGCTATGGTTCAAAGATGTCCATGGGTAGTTGTCATGTTTAGATCAACGAAAACCAAATTATATACATTTATAATCATCTATACATATATAATCATATATATATATACATATCAAGAAACATATTTGTAAACTAGGCTGTTTAATCATTGTGATGTCACTGATGCCAGGTTGATATTCTCAGTGGTTACCCCGTCATTTTGGACATCTGGGCATATATATTCCCCAATAAATGGAGGTTTGCCTGTGGATTTTTGGGGATTCTATGGAGATTGTATCTGGCTTTTTTTTGAATTTTATGGCCCCAAAAGAGCAGATGCAAGTTATGGAGACATGTTTTTCTTTAAACATGTGTACTGTAAGGAAAAGTCCAAAGTCTAGGGCATCCAACAGTTTTGGGCACGTATTTGCTGAGTGTGTTGAAAGATGGTTTACTTTCTGCTTCATGAATTTTGCTTGATAAATAGATATAAATAGGACAATAATAGGACATATTTTAATGTGTGTAGTAACGTATTGAACCATATTGAACCAGCATTGGCAAATCTTGCTGGTAAATGTTTTGGGGTTGAACCGTTGAACCCACCAGTCGCCAAAATCCACGACAAAAATTGCAGGTCTTTGCGCTGAATCAGTCAGAGCAATTTGATCTCTGGCAGCAGGAACGCTCCGCCGACGCTTGGAAATATTGGGATTATTGGGATGTTTTATTGGATATGATATGATTAACTGAAAAATATGATAGTTTGGGTGTGAGTGTTTGAGAATGGGGTATACCGGTATATCTCCCAAGTGCCCATTCAATAGGGATATATAGATATATATATATAATTATATATATATAGAGATGATGAAGCATCAAATTCCGGGTATCGTATTTTACACCGTGCTATAGTTATTTTCTTCTTTCTATTGTGTGCCGGTAACGTTTTTTTCCTCCTGCAACCCTCATATTTGTCACGAAGACATTTTGGGCCTACACTTCAGCCATACTTTTCCATTGTCTATCCTACAGTCCCTATGGACCTAAACGCCTTCCCATATGGTCCCTGACCCCCGGAACAGATCCAAACAACTGTTCTTGCATGGTCAGGATTCAAAGCAACGTGCAGAGCATCCAAAGATGACCGCGAGCCATGGGAACAAAAAGTTTGCTGCGTGTTGCGCCGAAAGTATACACCGTTGCAAGACATTCCACCCATAAAAAGTAGTGGTCTTTTAAACACGTGTTTTTTGTTGCCAAGTTTTGTGGCTACATTGAGTGTCGTAGCCACCAACGCAACCCGGTCAGGTCCACAAGAATGGATCGTTTCTTGCATTTTGAAATAAGAAATCTCTACTACATAATCACTTGGTCGCCCACAAATGGCACAATGCTATGTGGCCGGAGTCTAGGGCGCGTCTGTGGATTGAAATCCGATAAGGGTTTGTTTGTGCCGCATGTTCTCAAGCTATGGGTTAGTTTGTTCTTCCAAATATATACCAAGGTCTGTTGGTAACAGCCGCCAATTTTTTTTTATGTGAAGTCTGAATTCAGTCGCTTGGACAACCGCAATAGTTTCTTCAATGATCATGTGTGCCGAGCAAAAACCCTAGTGTATGACCTCAAGTGGCTGGTTTGCCAACATGTTCTCCCTGGCATGGCATGTTTTTTTCAAAACTCAAAGTTATAAAGTTATACCACTCCATCTACAGCTCCGCCCTAAGATGGTGACCTATTTTGTTCCATGATTTCCATCAGGACCTGGGCTTGAAAGTCACGGATCTCTTTGAGAACTTTGAGGAAGAGCCCATTGCATCAGCCTCCATTGCTCAGGTGGGACACCACATTAGACTTCCCTAAGTTAGGCATGTTAGATAGTGGATATTGATGGACATTGTCACCTTGTATCAATAAATGTCAACACATGTGATTTCTGTAATATGACTGTATTATAATCAGAGTTTAAGTATACAAATATCTAAAGTTACATTGGGAATCAAAAGTTACAATCTTTCTATGTAAGAAGTACAACACAATTGCGATACCGCCCTGGCACAGGTTCATGCTGCGCGTCTTCGTTCTGGTGAGCATTGTGTAACTTGGAGATCTAATGGGGAGCCAAGGAACTACTGTTTGTCGGGCTCAGCCTACTTAGTCGGATGGGATTGGAAACCAACTTTCAAATCAGGTTTTCCAAGCACAACAATATCATTTATATCATTTATATCCAGTATGTCCATTCTTATGCGTTCAGCTATCTATTATATAATATTATATATATAGTTGTCTAACAGGTCATTCCATAGCCATGGGCCAGGTGTAATCCAGGAATTCGACAGCGAAAGTGTCCTGTTTTTTCTCACCATTTGCCCCCCAAGTCACTAAGTCCCTTGGATTCCCTTGGTTTCCACATGTCCCATGGCGCATCTTTGCGGGCTCTTGCCCTTCAGATCAAAATGCTGTGCAAAAGGATGCAAAAGGAGGATGCATGTTTTTGTTTCAATCATTCCCATACATTGAAAATCCAAATGCTGCAACCCAATGCCTAGCCCAGGTCGTGAAGGTTTTACGGCCACGCGTTCGGGAGCGTGTCTTAGCCACGTTGGTCTTTTCAGATGTTGCTTGCGGGTATCCGTTGGTTTCAGATGGGAAAACCACTGGGAGCGACTGGCTTGCATATATTTTGGGCCATTTGATTAGGGGATCATCATGGATCATTGATAACCCCGCTGCGGTCGGCTCGTAGACCGAGAGTTGATTGATGTCGCTGGACATGTCCGAAACCAGCTTGATCTGTCCGTTGTTGGGTATGTTCTTGACAAAATATTTGCAAAGGAACACATATCCTATAATTCCCATTATATATCCTATTATATATATATATATACATTATATATATATATACATTATATATATATATAGATACATTACATATATATATACATTACATATATATATATACATTACATATATATATACATTACATACATATATATATATATTATAGCCTATTATATATTATTATATATATATACATATAACATACAGCTTATTATAATCTATTCATCTGACCGAAGTCTCTATTTTCTCGCCTGAGAAACTAACTGGGCCCGTGGTGTTCCCTTCACATGAAACTAACTGGGCCCTGGTGAATTGGTCCAGTGACTGGAGCGCCATCGATCAGCTTATTTTCCCATGGCTGAAATCCTCGTTGTTTCTCAAATTCAGGTTATATACATATATGGGATATTGAACGTTAAACCCGTCATAACCCCTTCCTAAGGCTTCTATCCCCATTTTAACACATAAGTGAAATTGATCAAAGCCAATCCACATTGCTTCCATGGGATCCGCGAAGTTTAGTGAGAAACCATTGCAATTTTGGCGGGGGTCTTCATTTTCAATCAAACACAGAACTGTAATTAAGTATCCCAGAATATATATATATATATATATACAAATACACTATTTATCTACACACAGGTTTGTATCTATGTACATATATGGTCCCGTGTCCCGTGTTCCCACCCCCCCATGGGATGGGGGGGGTATGATGCCCCTGTGGTGGTGTATATACATATATACAAGCATGCATGCATGCATGCATGCATACATACATACATACGTACATACATACATAAATACATACACTACATACATAACATACATACATACATACGTACGTACGTACGTACGTACATACATACATACATGCATACATACATACATACATACATTACATACATACATACATACATTACATACATACATACATACATACATACATACATACATACCTACATACCTACATACCTACATACCTACATACCTACATACCTACATACCTACATACCTACATACCTCCATACCTCCATACCTACATACCTACATACCTACATACCTACATACCTACCTACCTACCTACCTACCTACATACCTACATACCTACATACCTACATACCTACATACCTACATACCTACATACACACCTACATACCTACATACCTACATACCTACATACCTACATACCTACATACCTACATACCTACCTACCTACCTACCTACATACCTACATAGCTACATAGCTACATAGCTACATACCTACATACCTACATACCTACATACCTACATACCTACATACCTACATACCCACCTACCCACCTACCTACCTACCTACCTACATACATACATACATACCAACATACATACCAACATACCAACATACCACCACCACAGGCCACAGGGGGGACCAGAAGAACCAGACGATACTGTCCACCCATACCCATTGGTGCGGGGGAGGGGGGGTGGCCAACACTGCACCAAATATAATTACAGCACATACATATGTATATGTCTAACATATATATATATATATATATTATAGATATATGTACATACGCAAAGATATCCTACTCAGACTCTAGTCGGACTTCGCGCCAGGTTTGAGTGTGGACTTCGCTGCCGCGACGCTGTTGGCCCGTTTCGCCGATTTGGTCCTGGGGGAGGACGGCGGTTGGGCCTGGGGTGGGGGGAGGACGGCCAAGTTGCAACTGTTGCAATGGAAAATTCATGAAGGTTATAAACATATTTATGCGATTTATGTGTACATACATGTAATTAGTTTATATACTTATATGTGTATGTACATCAATTTACACATATATAAATATATACAAATTGTGTTTGTGTATATATACATATTTGTTGAATTATTTATTATTATATGATATATATATATACATACTGTGTATATATATAATTTATATGTGTAACGGTATATTCAGGTTCAAGGAATATAGACACACAACGCAGACCACCTGAATCTTGTGCAACTTCACCTGTGCCACCTGAGCAATGGCCCAAATTGATAGACTTTGACGCAGTATGATTAGGTTTCGGCAGATGTTGGGTCTGATCATGGGGCCCCCCAAGTGGTACCAGATTTTATGGGGAAAGTGATGATGAACCAGTGGATTTGGATGTGTGTGGCGTGTTCACCTTGGGTTCGTATTTTTTTTGGTGTCTGAGGAAGGACTTGCAGCAGGTGAGACACAAACACTTTTTGCCTCTGCCAACAGGTTTGATGATCCATGTTGTATAATATTGAATATGTATATATATAATATATAGTGATAATATTTGTATAATGAACATATAACATACTGACATACTGGTATTTACATATCTAACTTTGATCATTGATACTTCCGGTTCTTTTGATTGCATATGTATATATATATACACAGTTCAGGAGTGACATGGCTTGGGGTGTAAATGAAGCTTGTTGAAGCGGTTGATGCCATGTATGTATTTATATATCAGCAGTTGTTTTACCCTCTGGTTATTTAACATACCAATGGAAAATCACCATTTTTAATAGGTAAACCATCTATAAATGGGCCATGTTCCATGGCTATGTTAAATAACCAGATGGTAGTTTTGATATTTAGGGTAAATAGTGGGAGATACTTCCCTGCGTCTATTCTTGATGCTTGTCAACTTGTCATCATCCATGGAGATCCGTTTAAGACCAACAAACTGTGTTTGGCACTGCTCATATTTTCGGATACCAACATTGTATGGAGATAGGGGTGGTTGCCCCCTGTTAAGAGGTTATCAATGATTTGCTATTTTCCACTATCAAAATTGAAGGGATCCAATATCCAATCTTTCCAATATCTAAGAAATTGCCATATTTTTTTTGCCAGATCTGTTCCCCCTATAGTTGCTGCTGTCTAAACATGTCTTTTATCGGTGTCAACTAAATGACCCTGCGACGCTTCCAGCGCCAGGATGTGGTTCTCCAATTAGTCAGTGCTTCTCTGACGGCCTGCGTGGAGGACGTTTTGGGTAAAAAGCGACCAGAAAGGGGCCAGTGGTGGCCACAAAACGACTTGACGACTCGAAAAAAATGACTTCGGAAAATGGGCAAAGTAGTACATTTATGTACATTTATGGGGTAAATACGAATTTTGATGGATTTGTTTCAGGGTCCAGGCAGATGAAGTTAGTGTAAAATTATTTGACACAAGCAGGGACTTTAGTTGTGAAGCGAAAGCCATTTGCATGGGACTTGTTTGTTGTTTTGAAATGCTGCAGACTGCAGATTTGGATGTCAAACATGTTTCAGAAGATGGCTCTTTTTCACAATTGCGCAACATCGAGCTGGATGAGCTGGATGATTGAAGTTTTCATGTTGATTCACGCTGAAGAAGGATGAAGGAGGACTTTGCCACCCCTTATGAGCAGAGTACTGTCGGGATGTATTAAGTATTTGCCTTCGCGATCCGTCATATCTAGTAGAACAGGACACCTTTGAACAACCACATCAACTTTTGTTTCGACATACCACCATCCCACAAAAATGATCCAATATGATCTCACGGAATCTCACGTTCATCCCGTTTGCAACCAAGATGGAAGTCCAAAATGTCAGAAAAGGTCACAACTTTGTTTAAGGAAACCTGTGTATTTTACGCACATTCACTAGGAAAAACGGTGGATTCCGGCCTCGCATTAGCCCTTTCTGTGGCTGCCTCGTAGGAGCTGCGAACAGCTGTGATGGCAGAGTGTGATCTGTCCGTGGAGAGGCAGAATATTGAGGCCGCAGCTGGCAGATGGGAAAATGAATTAGACATTTGATTCTGATCTAAACCCCTTTGATTGAAGGTACTTTAAAGTTTTAGTGATTGTTGAATTGTTGATGATTTTTTCGGGTGAAAATCCCATGAAATCCTATGAAATACTGGTTTAGCAACGGTTTAGCCAACAATGAAAGCATGGCAATGAGATGGAACCCACCAACAGTCAACATGGGTAGGTTCAGGGAAATCCTCATCCGTTTTGAGATTGCAAATGATTAAAGTGACCAATTTCATGAATTTTCACGATCCATTGTGTGCTTCGAAATCATGAACAAAATCCACACATCACTTCCAGTTTTGTTGGGTACATCATCTTAAAACAATGCCTAAAGTATCTAAAGCATCAGACATGTACTGGCTGTAGTTGGGATATCTCAGATATCTCAGATATGTCGTATTTTGGAGGGACCCCTGCAGGACTTCAGAAACTGGCTTGACACCTCGGCAACTTGGTCGAGATTTTCCATCGCAGCTGTAAAAGGAACGGCCCCAAAATCAGGAGGCCTGAAGTCACTGTTTGCTGCACTCATGCATGTTGTTTTGTTCTTTTAATAAGATAATCTATATATGTGTAATTTGTACGCATATAAATAAATTGGATTATATATTTATTTATTTATATATATAACCAATGTTCAACTCATAGAACTCCCAGGTGACACTCCGCCGTGCGCGCTTGCACGACACCGTGCGTGTGCCGCGCACCTTCTCGGAAGCCTCCGCAGTTGCCCGGCGGAGATGGGGCAGGTCTTGGCCAATGCCCAAAGTTGGCCAATTTCTATACTCAGTTGGCATGTTAATTGATATAGTGACTGGATATATGGATATAGTGACTGATATTTTATGAATATATTTCCATACTGTATTCACTGAAAACTGCCCAAAATTGATATAGCATGATATAGTGAATGCAGTTAATGTTAGTTATACAATGTGGGACAACAATTTTAGGTTGGTTTCTAAACCCCTCCAACCGTAGATAATCAGCTAAATCTGCAGTCAACCGTAGTTTGATCAATTACAAACCAACTTGCCTGTCTAGTGGGCCCCACATTGGTGCTGTTTAAGTCCCAAGGTCCATTGAACCAGAATTAGCTAATTGTGGATTCGTGGATGATCAGTTTCTATGGTGAGTTTTACTTTTAGTTTCAATTGGTTCAAGTACTTTCCATGGTTTACTGGTTGGTGCTTTCAAACATTTGGATTATTTTCCATAATATATGGGATGTCATCCTTCCCATTGACTTTTCCATCATTTTTCAAGATGGGCACATTGCACCACCACGCAGTTTTTTCGAAATCTTCACGGCCCAATCTCCAGTTCCCCTCCACAGCGTGCAATTCGTCCCGTTTTTAGGATCCAACAAGGATGACATGTGTTCATCAAATCGATAGATATATATGATATATATATAATATTATATATGAATTAACGGTTTATATTGGATTTTTTAGTTTCAGACATGGAAAAACATCTTTCTCGTTCAAACATCATCTTTGGGATGATCCCCACTGGCCCAGTCGCGAGTGCTCACCATGGAGCGAATTGAAGGGGTGCCCTTCAGCGACATTTGCGCCAACCCCCAGTGTGAGGCCTGGAACACCTGGAGGATTTGGTGCAGATTGGTCGAGAAAGTGATGCTATAGTCGTTATTTTCATGGGGGGAAAGAAATATGAAGAGCGAATTTAGATGAATTGAGATTTTTCAAATAGACCGAACTTGTTTGGACATTTTTAGTCGTAAATCTCCATGTGTGGATACGCAAATTTGAAGACCCATATATGTCATATATCTATATATATATACGTAGACAAGATTTGGACTGGTAATGACTGGTAACTGGTATCTCAAATTCAATGAAAATGCAATGTGTATGATTCTCAGGCGCACAGAGGATGATAAGATACAGGTTCATTCAGAGCGGTTCCTTTGTCGTGGCAGAAGTTGTTTTGTGTTCAAGCTGTTTCGCCACTGGCACTGTTTATAACACACATTTGCATATGTGTAATATATGATAATTATATATAGAATAGAGATATACAACAATATAAAATACTATATATATAGTATGTATAACATTATATTATGATGTATGCTGTCTAATTAGCTAAATCTCATATTATACATTATATATTTTATGTGCAGATAGCATATGCAACCAACATATATATATATATATATCCCATAGGATCCATGTATGATATATATGGTAACATTTACCACCAATATACCCCCAATGTTAGTATATATACCATACATGGATCCTATGGGTATATATATATATATGTCCTGAGTGGTTCTGAACGAATTTGAGTTCAAAGCAATGGCCGCAGCCTTCAGAGCTTCAATGTTGGTATATATATATATATAATATAGGTAGATAAATAAATTTATATAGATATGTATATATATATATATTATTTAAATTATATATATAATATATATAATATATATATTATATATATTATATATATTATATAATATTATATATATTATATATATATTATAGATATATATATATATTATTATATATATTATATATATATTATATATATTATGTATATTATGTATATTATATATTAAATATATATTGTATATATTATATATATTATATATATTATATATATTATATATATTATATATTATATATATAATATAATATATATATATATTATATATATTATATATATTATATATATTATATATTATATATATTATATATATTATATATATTATATATATTATATATATTATATATATTATATATATTATATATATTATATATATTATATTATATATTTTATATATATATTATATTATATATATTATATTATATTATATTTATATTATATATATTATATATATTATATATATTATATATATTATATATATTATATATATATTATATATATATATATTATATTATAAATATTTTATATATTATATATATTATATATATTATATATTATATATTATATATATAATATATATTATATATTATATATATATTATATATATTATAAATATTATCAATATTTTATATATTATATATATATTATATATATTATAAATATTATATATATATATTATATTATATATATTATATATATGTCAACATAGAAAGAGCTATAGAATCAATCCCTTTTTTGAGGCCTTCCACGGTCCCATCGTCTCCACGTGTTCCACGTCTCCAGGCCCCGGAGCAGTGGCAAAAGTCGCTGACCTCGGCGCTCTCGGTGGCGGCTCTGTCGGTGATCGACGGCACGGCCATCTTCCATGCGCCCAGGGGAGCGACGGAGCCATGGGGTGTAGCCGACATGGTAAACTGGGATTATAGTGGTATAACCATAGGAAAACCATAGGAAAACGATAAGAAAACCATAGGAAAACCATAGGAAAATCGAGGTTTACCCTCTAAACATACAAAAAACCATGGAAAGATCAAAGATCCACCATTTTATAAATGGGAAAACTCACTATTTAACAATGGCAATTTGAGAATTAGCTAACTGTTACTTTACCAGAGGGTACCCCACAATTTGCGGTTTTTGAGTGGAAAATTGTGTGTAAACATCTCGAAAATGGATTGATTTGATGATTTGTCTTTAGGACACCTGCAGATAGGATTGAAAACCATGACATGGATTTCAGTAACATGCTACGCCCAATGCCATAAACCTTCCATTTGGGGATGGTTTTTATATATACAACCCATCAAAATTTGATGATGTTGCGGATTGTTTATTATTGAGTTTACCACACTGAACATCACACATTGGTATCCACGGACAAATCAATCAACACATATGGATTTTAGACATCAAAACCTGGATCGAACCATGAAAAACACTGATTTAAGCATCAATCACATCAAGAAAAATGAGATCCATCTGGATTCATTAGTGTGGACTAATCAACAGAAATTGGGACTAGTGGGGATTTTTCTTGGGATTCCTGGGATCATTACAGGGGGATTCACGGGAAAACCATGTGTATCTATGTATATATATATATGTATATTATAATTACATATATTATCATATGTTGAATCACTAGTATATGGAGATCAGAACCATCGAACAACTTTGGTACTCATTCCATATAATTGGGGGATAATATGTGTTTATGTATTATATGATACTTTCTATTCAACCGCTTGCGTTCTGCTGGATGCACATCCAAGTAGGGGGTTTGGAAGGATGGTAAGATGACTTGACGGGATGGTTCACTGCGGTTCAGGTGATCTTACCAAAGTGTGTTAGATCTATTTATTTGACTGTTTGTGTTTTTGTTTTTTCTTCGTTTGTTGTTTGATTGGTGTTCGTTGGTGCTGTTCTAGTATTTTGCTGTTTGTCTTCACATATTGAACATATAAAGTGAATCTGTAACAATTGTAACCACATATAAAGTAGAAGATAGTGAAATATGCAGTTGCAGTCTATGCCTGGTCCACGAAAGATGCTGCCCGCTGCATCATGGCACCACCATCCTATGTACCATCGATCCATCGGTATTCAAACATCTCCATTCAAAATCGAATAAAAAACTGGCATTTAAGTGGGAAAAGACTCACTACAAGTGGGGATGTTCCTTTGCCATAAAAAATGCCATGGTTCATTGCCAGAAGGTCATAGTTCACTATAGTTCGGAAATAGAATGTTAATACATATGTGTCCCCAGAGTACTACACATAACCATAGGTCCAACCACACAACGAAGTACGAGGGCCTGGTACGGTTTCTGAGGTCCAGTGCTTATCTGGTTGGTGGCTTGATGATGTGGAAATCAATTGCCGGCTTAATTAATTATTCGTATCACTTGTGTATGTGTGTGTGTGCGTGTTTGTTCACATAGATAATAGATGATAATAGATTGTAAGCATAGTTGCTGTCAGTTACTGTATAATACAGTATTTATCCCAAATGTGCTTTCATATGTTTCATGTTTTGAAGTTGCGCTTTCATGTGTTTCAATTGTCTGATGTGTTTCTGATGATCCCGCCCATCCATGGGGTTCGGCAACCGGACATTGATGGCTGATATCCTGATGCTGATTGGTGATATCCCCAATATATCAGATATCCCCACAAAAAGCCGGATGTGTTACTGTAGGCCACATGAATCTTTTTTAGTTCACCCTATGGTAGTCCAACACAGCTACAGAAAATCACCATGTTTAATAGGTTAATCTTGTACAATCGGAGCATTTTCCATAGCTGGTTGGTGGTTTCAAACATTTGGATTATTGTTCATAATATATGGGATGTCATCCTTCCCATTGACGAACTCCATCATTTTTCAGAGGGGTAGGTTGAAACCACCAACCAGATCGTTATTTTTGTTCGATGCAAGAGGCGTTACCGGCGTTACCGGGGTGGCGTTACAGGCAGACCTGCACTGTGGCAACATGATTGCAGTACCAGGCACGGCAAGGGATGACATGGGATGACCCTGGGGCCACAGATGGCCACAGTTTCCTCATGTTTCCTCCATCTCGGGGGTGTTGGGAGCAAGCCCAATTACTATAATTCTTGAATTGGTGAAGGTCAAAGAATGGGGTATATGATGTACATGGTATAACTTAGTATAAGCCCTAAATCTAAATGGCCACTAAAATGGGTTGATTATCAAGCATCAAATCTTGTAGCACCTATGTTCAGGCAAAACCATGTGAGGAAGGCCCCAAAACTGCATGGTTTGATAGTGAGTGTCACCAACGCTTGGCTCATTTCTTAAGATGTACAGTACCCCTATGGTTAGCTGTTGGCGATATCTGCGTGAGATCCCAAAGACCCCTGCCATTTTTCCTGGATGAGTATCAAGTTCGTTTGTTGGTTCAAGTTTCATTTTTGTTTGTAAAACAGTAGTTGGATCTGCATGGATATGTTAATTATAGACATACATACAAAGCCACATTTTCCGTTGAACACATGATTGTTAGATCAACAAAGATCAACCACCAAAAACCTATTTAGACTTGTTTATCCGACAAAAACAATAACAACATACTAATGCATTGCAAACCAGGCCATAGACCCTCCAACATTTCGTCCAATGGTTCTCCCAGCTTTTAACTTTTAACCTCCGTTGTGGTGATTTGCCAGCCATATAATATCCATGTCTCCCATATATCCATATAAGTTCCCTTGAAATCTCCATAAAAAAATCTCCATTTCTATATGATTTTCCCATATTTTCCCATGCTCAACTGACTCAACTCCGGCCACAAAGATGGCAGGTGAGACCGGAGCTTGTGAACGGGTGGCCTTTATTGACTTCGGCTGCTGTGGCCGCTTGCCGGCGCCTCTGATCCTTGGCGCTGGGGCCGGAGGGATTGAAGTATCCTCTTGAGGATTTGGCCATGATATAGTCATCAAAATGTCATCAAGACCAGTAAATTTAACTTGATGTTTGATATAACTGGAATTTAGTTTCATTTGATTTAACCATCAAGAGTAATTAAGAAGTTAACCATCCAACATTCCCCTTCGAAAGTTTATGCATCCTGGCAGCTCACCCACTGGCCATACACTCAGATGTTGGCAGCGGCATTGCTTTAACAATGTTTGACGGTTTGACCCATGTATACATATGTATACATCTGTACACCATTATATAATTGAAGGAAGTTTAGAAGCCAAACTTTCGACAACATGGGCAGATGAAGAAGAAGAGGTGGGAAGAGGCAGAGAAGAGAAAGCAAGAAGAAAGAAGATCAGAGAGGAGAAAGCAAGAAGAAAGAAGATCAAGGTGCGCGAAAAGGTACGAAACGTTTTGTTTTTCCAATGTTTTGTGGCTCCGGAGGGTCGAAAAGTAGGCTCGCTAAAGCGGCGGGTGCAGAGCCATCTGAAGAGAGGAGCGATCAAAAATTGCACGCCATTGTGACGGGAAGCATATTTCGAAGTCAAAATGAGCAAAACACCTCGGTCCTGAGCGCTTCTGAAAGCTGACATGTTGAAAAAGTGTATGTGGTTGTGGCGCGAAGCTACACTACACTACACGTCACTACACTACTGTACACTAATTACGCCACACTACATTACACCACACTACACCTACAGCTACAACTACAACATCTATATATACAACTATAATTATATGATATTGCCGTCGATCTGTATCTATGTCTATCTACCTATCAGTGTATCTGTCTGTCTATCTATCTACCTATTTGTCCATCAATCTATCTATCTATCGATCTATCTATCCATCTATCTATCTATCTGACTATCTGTCTTTCTGACTATCTGACTTCTGACTCTGAGTAACTCTCTCTCTCTCTCTGTCTGTCTGTCTGTCTCTCTGTCTCTCTGTCTCTCTGTCTGTCTGTCTGTCTATCCGTCTGTCTGTCTATCCTTCTATTTGTCTATCCTTCTATGTGTCTTTCTATCTAGCTGTCTGTCCATCTGTCTATCTGACAGGACTATCTATCGATCTGTCCATGTATGTTTTTCTTTTTTAGTTCTTTATTTCTTTCTTTCTATTATCTATCTATCTGACTATGTTTTCTTCTGACTATCTGACTAACTCTCTTACCCGTCTGTCTCTCCATCTCACTATCCTTCTATTTGTCTATTTGACAATCTATCTATGTGTCCATATCTCTATCTATCGAGCTATCTGTCTGTCCATCTGTACATGTGAAAAACATAACCTTTCGCGATAATTCTACTTTTCTCTGATCTTCTTTCTTCTTGCTTTCTCTTCTCTGACTTTTTCTCTTCTTCCTTTCGCTTCTCTGACTCTTCCCACCTTTGCTTCTTTATCTGTCCATATTGTCGGAAGTTTGACTTCCAAATTTCCTTCGAGTATTTAATACCATGAAATCCCTAGTGTTTAAAACATCATTTTCACCTCCAACCCAAAAATGGTCATAACATGCTAACCTTTCATTTCTGACACAGCCGATCGCAAGGAGGGGCACCTTGTTGATGCAAGCCTCCGCATCTTGGTATTTTGTCCACCTCCAGGAAGAGTTGGGATGGCCATCTGATGATGGCTGGCTTGAATATCACTTACCAATATAAAACCATCCATTTAAGCGACTTGGCCGTCCGTTTTTCTTTGGAGGAGATTCAAATGGACTTTCCATTGCCACTGATTCATCAACTCTTGCCTTTGGGGTCTGAATGTAGTATGCAACAGCTGTGCTGCCAGGTATAAAATGCCTTCAAAGGTTTACTAAACCAAATCATCCCGAGATGTTTGTTTTTTTGAGTTGGCAGAATGTTATTTGTCCATCAGAGGCAATAGGGATGGACCACAACCGCACAACCTGTAGGACCACTGGAATTTGGCCCCGATTTATCAGCTATTTGGATGTCAAAACCAAGTTGCGTTTTGATCCAGATTCACATCATGACATATCATATCATACTGCATATATAGTAACATATGGGTTAGTCTGAAAGTAGGCTACCAGTAAACCCCATGGTTAATCATCCTTTGCCACATCAAATCGCCATTGTTTCCGGATGTTTCCGGGACCAAGGCCTTCGCTGGATCAAGGTTGGGGCCGTGACCCATGGGATGATCCTAAAAGTAAAACCACCCAAGCCTTTTTTGAAATAGTACTCTGCATGTGGAGGTCAACCTACCCAAAATGGCCATTTCACTGACAGCCAATGGAAAAAAGGGATGAACCAGTGGATTTTGGGGTACCTGTTTTAGGACAAGTCCACGTCTTCTAAGCCATCCCCATTTTTTGGGGGTTCTCGATGTCAACAGGGACATAGTTCAGCTTCCACAACCTTCAGATATGAAGCTTCCTCGGGGGATCCCCAGTCGTCACCATGGGTTTCAATACTAAAATGGTTTACTGTAATGACTTGGATGATTGGGGCCCCTCATCCAGGCCAGATGTGAGGCAATTCTGCGAGGCCCGGTCTGGAGCAAAAGGCCTGTTTTGTTAGCTGGAAAACAGAGTCATGTTTAAGGATGATCTCAAGATTGTGTGGTTCCGAGGAGATCTCCTTAGACCAGGATTTCAATTGGTTTCCATGCGTTCGACATGAATGATTACTATATTTCATTCATTGAACTATCATGTTAGCTGACTTTATTGTTTTGTTCTTAGGGGCCCAAGCTGAAACCCTGCTACTTGTTCAACAGATTTGCCAGGCGCCTTCCTTGTTGGCCAGACGGACACCATGCACATGTGTGTTGGCATGTATGATGTATATATATATATATATATGTATATCATAGTTAAATATATACACGTTGCCTATACACATATGTATATATATATATATAGATATACAAAAAGACATATCATGAAATTGTAATCATACATATATATAATTTTACATATATATATATATACATATGCATGCAAGTATACAAATGCACAGCCTCGTGGCCCCATGGTTGCAATTTTGATAAGCATGCGCCTTGAACATGGGTATAGTCTTGCGTTGGCTGATTCTCCGCCACAGAAGGCAGTTTATATTGTCAGGTGTCAAACATTTGCTGTAACAAAATGTTACGTAGTATAGTTACTATGTTACTCAACTCCGAGTCAATTTCATTCTGCGCAAGCCTGGGAACAGCAAAAATGATGCAATTATACAGGAGGTCACAGATTGATGGCCCCGGCAAAAGTTGATTCGTATGCCATCAATACGGAAACAAATTGGCATAACAAGGGGCACTCACCTATTCCTATGCCATCATTAAAAAAAAATAACATTCGCTTGATATGCCATCTTGCCGGGCGCAGTGAAGATGCCATCTATTCGTGATCCCCTATACCTCTTGGTAATTGCTTCAATATTTGAACACAATTTTCCCCTTTTTCCCCTCACTTGCAAGTATAATTACAAATTCCAACCCCATCACTATTAACCAAGGATTATGACAATATCACCCAGTTTATTAACAGGGGGTATCCCATGTTTATTCGGATCTTTAACACTGTAAGAGGGTAACCGTTCCATTTGTTCTCCGGGGACAGGGCTTTGCACATGCTTTGCAGCGGATTCCTGAACTTGGCGTCCCCGGACAGGCTTGGTATGGGCCCTATGATCTCCCCAAGGGTTGTATGGTTTTGGACGTCCAAAGCTTCAGGATTTATCGAATCCGAAATTTGGGGCAGATGCGAATCATCGCGAAGCCTTTGCCCAGATAGATGGTGTATAGATGTGTATAGTATAGTGTTTACAAGTGTATATATATATAATATGTGCGTCATTTTATGCCTATTGTGTATATCAGTATATATTTTTGCCTATTGTGTATATATATATACATATATATATATGTATATATTATATTGATACTTGCATACAGATATCTACATATTTAAATGCACATGTATGTATATATATATATATCATTTAAATTTACATCGAGAATGATTCATTGTTTTTTGGGCTATAGCCATACCTTGAACCCAAGCAGTTGCTGCCTTGGACTTTGGAGAGGAAATGTCCTGCATGAAATGTCCTGCATTTTATGTGGTCGTTGTCTCCAAAAGCGGATTTTCTGCTTCAAAAATGGATGGGTCAACCAAGTGTTTTCAGTTAAATATCCTCCTTTGTTGGGAAATGGATCATATTTGTCGACCCTGTTTCACGCAAGGAATGCCGGCTCCAAACAGCAGAATATGGGTCTCCTCAATGACGTGATGCAAACCAGTGTTATATTGTCGTGATCGTTATTATCGTTGTATTTTTCCCTGATGTCCGATTGTTGTTGGCGGTATTGGTATCACATGTAACTTGCACAATAGATAGACAAGATAACCTCCATTGTATAGATATATATATATATATATACCCTCTAGTAATTCAACATAGACCCTGGCAGATAGGGGTTGGAAGACTAGTTTCCACTATCAATTGGTGATTTTCAGGGTCTATGTTAATTTACCAGGGGGTAATATATATATAGATATACCTCCATGATATCAAACACATACGTCCATCGCCCTATCACCTATCCCAGCCATCACCCAACCGGAAGTAGGCCTTGGATGTAGATGCTTTGGCAGAAGATACTCGGCGCGATGGTGGCCCTAACTTCTGGATGTGGATTTTATGTTGCTTAATGATGTTCAATTGGGATTTAACCAACATGGGGATAGCAATGGGCATATGAATGGGATTAGTTCGCAAACTGTTCAACTACCAGAGGGTAAATCTTGGTCAATGATAGGTGACTGGGTTGTGGGCATAGATGGTGGAATGCCTTATCACATAATTGCAGAATACGACAGAAGTTCTTTTTAGCCATGATTTGAGACAAGGTCAACGAGATTCCAAGAGAGGGTCTGTACCCATGGAACCATCAATGCCTCTTTCAGGTGGAAACTGCTGCAGAGGGCGCCCCAAAAACGGCAAATGAACAGGTTGGCCCAAGTTCAACTGATTCTAGTCGTAGCCACTTATTGGTCGTGTTGTCGTTATGCTTGTGGTGTGGCTGGTTGTGGTTGTGGTTGTGGTGGTGGTTGTGGTGGTGGTTGTGGTGGTGGTTGTTGTTGTTGTTGCTGTTACTGTCTTTTGGCGGTCTCCAAACCAATCCTAAATCAACTTGTGACTTTCGAGAAAATGATGGACATCCGGGATTGGATTGAAACTTCTCCGGTCAACACGGACGGTAACACGTTTTGACCATAGACATAAATTTCCACAAACCTGGGGCCTCCCAGCTAAGTTGTTTTATAGCTAGGCAAACTATGGTTTTAGTTTCCTCCAGCATTTTCAGGTTTCAACCTTGTTGAATCATGTTGAATCTATGGCCGGGTTGAAATACGCTTCGATTGTCGACCGCACCAGGACATGAAGCCGGTCTTGGCGGAGCTGCAAAGGTTGAATCCATTCAGAGGACACCTCCCAGGATCATCTCATCGGATAAGTCGGATTCATCCACTAAAAAGGGGTTGTTTTGGTGCTTTCACGAGGTGGTTGGTGTTGTTTCACCAATTTTAGAGATGAACATTTGTTCATCATCTATCAGTGTGTCATCAAACATTACATGGCTGGCAAAAACAAACAAACAATTCGTTCCATGAGTTTCCTATATATATATATATATATATCATTACTATTATTATTATTAGTATTATTATTATTGTTATTATTATTATATATATATGATATGATATGCCCATTGCTTATGGCTGGTTTCCACTAATTCACCCTCTGGTCTCATCTCGCAGGACGTTCGGATCCCATGAGCCCTGCGTTGCATATGGAACTCTTCCGGCTTCAAGGTGTGTTGTGCCGCCATGGCGTGCCTCGGCAGCTAATCCATAGCGGAAATGGCCATGTTTGATAGGTAAGGTTTCTACAACGCCATATTTTACATGGCTAAATGACGTATATTTTACATGTGAAATATATATTGCAAACCACGATAGCTGACGGTAGCTGCTTGAAAAACGAACATTGCGAGACTGCGCAAAGTGCTACGGACTATATACAATATATATATATATATATGTATAATATTATCACATCTACCCAACTAGGTTCGGTACCGTGTTTTAAATTAGGTCACCAGCATTGGAACATATTTGTCTAGATGTGTTTAAAGCACTGGACAAGGAGTTTGATTTGAAATTGCCCACTGAATCCACAGTTCCCACGACAAATCCGGACAACATGGGACCGCTCAGGTGCAGTTGCCACGAGAATTCGCGCTTCTGATCAAGTTGCTCCACCGCATCTGAGTCTTTTGCTAGGCAGCGATGGACCTGTGTTTTGGTGTGCAAGTTTAACCTCATGAGTGTTGGCAAAAAAAAGACTTCACATGGTCAACAAAAATATACCACCGCGCACATCATGTCCCACGTTCTTTCTTGTCGATGATGTTTCTACGTATGCTGGTCTGCTGTACGTCCTGTCCAGGGACTGCTGGGAGGGGTTTGTTTTTGTTCAAGCCTTTTGGGTGTGTCTGAAAATGGATTACGTTTTACCGCCCACATGACAATTCATCAGAAAATGATGAGACAATGATGAGAAACCAGTCCACTGGAAAATAGATGGGTTGGCCTATTTTCAGACAAACCCATTTTAGGACTGGTTGCTTCGGAGCACTTTACTTCTCGTTGTTGGATGAGTCTCGGCAACAAGCTGGTTCTAGCGGAGCATCCCATCCGTTGATTTGGAGTATGGAAATGTCGGGTATGTCAAAAAAGAATGGCCACACAAATCACGCATGCTGCAGGCCCATTGGTTTTCCATCAAATATAATTAACAGCGTATGATGATCACAACAATCACGGGCCCGGTTGTCAACCCTGCGACACGACCTGGACCTAGGAGCAACATCGAAGAAGGCTCTTCTCCCAACTGATGATCGCCGGAGCTGCGTTTGCTGCTTCCAATCCCAAGGACCGATTTTGCAGATAAGATGTTTGATTAAAATGGAGATGGGTGAAGAATGGTGAGTGATCGCCTATCTTATGATTGTGATGATATATTATATGTATAACTCTAGATAGATGTAATGTCATTCGAATATACTCCCTTTGTATGATTTACATATATCCAGCAATGTTTTGCGAACTCATTTCATCATTCCCGAAGCCTTAAACTGGATGGGGTAGGCATCCCAAGTCGTAAGTGGCTATTGACTTTGGGTGGGAATTCCAACAAGTGGGTTTATTGCGTTATCGCAATTGAGTTATAACTATGGTTATCAGCACATACTATTGTAATACGCGAACTGGGATGCACATTCACGTACACTACAATAATAGTCAAACCCAGTTGGGCCAAATTCTCCCTGTTGGTATGTTAGTTCGATAATGTCAATCAATGAACATGGCGGAAACAAGAAAACAACCGCTGGGTATAGCAAACCCGAGTGGGAAAGAAAAGGCATCCATCTAGGCATATCCGTCCTTTGCCCCGTATGTTCCCATGAATTACAACAATATATCATGGGGATTCCCATCATTTATTTATATATATATACATATAAATATCAATCAGTTGATTCCGTGATCACATTCCAATGTTCAGTAAATGTCTGATACATGATGATCTTCCGACGTGGATTGACATGGTCCTTGCAAAATCGAAGTCACAAAAGTCACCAAATTTACGAAAATTACATCTCACTCACTAGCCCAGTATCAAAGTATCACTGATTTTTGGTGGTTTAAACTTATATTTCATCAAACTATTCATGGTTTATTTAAATGCTCAACTAATAAAATGATCTCACTGATACATCAGATTGTCTAGGTCAGGCATCAGTCATGCCACTCATTTTGTTCTTTTTTAATGCATGTATGTGTTCATCACATGTCCAAAAAAACATGATTGAACCTTAAAGAGGTTTGCCAGTGATTTTCTGAGGGAATTGTCTAAGCATCTCTTGTTTCAGGTTGATATGATGTATTTATCCATGTTCTAAATCCCAATGTAATGTATCACAATGATAGATGCGTATTCATTTACCAAGCATCATTTATGCCGCTGATGTATATGGACCAACATCTATACATCACCACAACATATACCCAAAAAACGGATTGACTGTGTTTTTTCTGCATTTTGAATGGCAGAATTTCACCTTAAACACCTATAACTATTGGCTGTTGGGGGTACTTTAAATATATGTGTGTGTGGCTTAAAGCTTGGCATACCAAAATCGACTCCGAGACCCCGTTAAATTACCAAATCTGTGGTCCCGAAAAGTCTAAAAAAGAATCCGCCCATAGCGATAGCCACAAAAATCCCGCGTTATCTATGACTTTGTCATCTTCTTATATATGTATTATATATATACATATGATGTATTTATAGATATATGAGTGTGTGATAATCATGGATATCGAACATGATATGACCTGATCATATATAGATATTATTATTGTATTATGTAGATGGCCAATTTACTTCAATGATTTACCTTCTTTACTTCCATGGTGGTTTCCATTGCAGGCTATAACACATTACCAGAGGGCAGATCGTCTCTTAGTATCCTTTGGTAAATCAACACAACCATAACCGATTTATAAATCATTTATCTACAATGAAACATGATATGTTTCCAACATTTTCTATACCAATGTTAAATTACCATTATTTGATGGGTATCCCACCATTTTACATCCCCATGAAATCACCATTGGATCACCTGGGCACCGCTGGGCACCGCTGGGCACCGCGGGGCACTGGGCAGGATGCGAGGCAGTTGCTGCGGCCCGCCAAACTCGCGGCGTTGCTATCCGCGTTACAGAGCAGCGACAGGAGCGAACTGTCCATGTGGGATTTGATGATGGATTCTATGGATCCAGTCTGATTGCTGAGTTGGGAACTGGAAAATCACTCTCTGATTGACACGAAAGAATCATGAATCATCATGTAAATTCATATTTTTTCTATGGGCTATACCATAGCTATGCTTAGTAACCAGAAGGTAAGTTCATGTAGGAACATGATGATTTTTGTGGCTTATGGATTATCGTCAGACTTGGAGGAATGTGTGTTCTTAGAATAGTTCCTCAAACATGTTTACCTGAGGTTTGATGGCTAAAGAAAGGGCGATATAAACAGCAAAATACCGCGATGAAAATTCCAATTTTGTTGTGGAAAACATGTATTTGGCTTGTGGTTTCAAATATTTGGATTTGCATGTACAATTGATGATTATGAATTTAGTTAGACCTCATATGATATCGTGGTATATAGTGGGATGTAATGGAATAGGTACAATAATGGTTGGGGTTGCCTGAAAAGTCGTTTGAAAAACTTCAGAAGCCACTGCTGCTATGGAATCATCCTTTTCCCCATTAAAATCATGTTTTGGAGGTATACCATATACAGACTCCATCTTCAGACCCCTGGAGAAGCCATTGATTTCCAGGAGTTTGGCCTTTGATCGGTTGAAACCGGTGATGCTGTTGGCAGCATGCAACTTGGACCAGGGGAAGCCATGGGGGAAATCATGAAAAACCTTGGTTTTGGTGGCCCGCAGCCGTGATTTGTTGGGGAGGTGGCAACCCATTCCTGGCAGTTCGTGCGGAATCACCCCATGATTGCATGGATCCAGTCAGTCGAGGCCTAGGAAATGTTGGGAACAAGCATTCAGATCTCATGGGCCATGCTAGCCATGGGCCACGCCTGTTGGATGATGAATCCAAACTGAGGAATGTTTTTGGGATGGGTTGAAACCACCAACCAGTTATTGTGGTTTTTTCCCAGATCAGACAATGCCAAAACCATGCCCACTTGGGAGACACTCAGGCATCGCACTTACTGTACCTCTGCTGGCACGCCAGATGCACCTTGATAGCAACACAGCAACATGTCCAACTAAGAAACTTGAACACATCATATACCCTAGAGTAAACTCACAGAGATGTGGAAAACCCAGAGTTTAGCTATGAAATTGATCTACAAATGGTGTATTTTGCCACATCGATGTTAGTTTACCCTGAGGAACGTGGTAGCTCTTAATCATTGGCAACACCTTGTTGCTCAGGGTTTCTGCAACCTATTACACCAGGCTGGATCCAGCAAAAGGGTGCTATTATCCAATTGTTATCCTGGAGTTTATATGTTTGTTGGTTGTGAAGATCTGTTTGACAGTTTATATGTTTGCACTTTCAGTCCCGAGTCCCAATTCCTTATTTTTTGCCATGACTATCCAATGTAAATGGGGTCTCAATGTGAAAATAATATTGTTTAAATGATGGATAAGATGGGATATAATGAATGGTGAATGGAAATACCATGAAAATATAGTGTGTGCAGATTGATAATCATAAGAATGACAGTAAGTGTAACATATCGAGTACGTTTGTCACTTTCTATCCCTGTGACCGGAAATTGTAATCTCACTCAGAGCTAATCATAGGGTACCTGCGTTTTCTCGTGTTTTCGCCATTTGTGGGTTGGACGCATTTCATTGGATTGGTTCAAGGAAAAATTATACAGGAACTTGGACCAATTTGTTGGGGAAAACATGGTTTCCTGATGTTTCCTGTAGATTTTCCCCAAAAAACTAGCTAAACATCTACGATTTCTGAGCTGGTCACAATGGTTTTGACCCATCGATGGTTTGACCACTCGATAGGTAGAGCGTGAACGGTGTGAAGCCGTGGCAGAGGCGGCCCAGATGCACCAGAACATCAAAGGGGCTGTACACAAGAAAAAACGCAATTTTGGGACGGATTATTGTCAGCCACTAGCCATGCCTAAAATCGTCGAGTTTTCTGCCAAGAATTTGAACCATGCCAAATGGAGAGTGTAGCATCCGGAGGGGTATGCACGTACAGAATCATCATCTCCATGTATCAGGCAGTCTTCTAACAGAGGATAGTGATAGAGAGTGTATGGACACGCTTGACATGCAGCTGAGTGATTGCTTGTTTCCAATACGTCTTTCCCATTCACTTACACAGCTGCGTGGAATAATGAACCCAATTGATTGATTATAGTGTTTGTTATGATGCATGAATACATTTCACCATAAGTTGAAATGCTAATGATAGCACTAAGATGCAGTAAGTCAGTATTTGGGTTAATGGTTATCATGAGATTTCAACCACCACATTCAATATTAACTTTTGTTAGTTGATGATCGCGGTTTGAACCACCACCCGGCTGGGCACGAACGCAGTTCGCTTGTCAGAATGTGAGAAGCCGTCGGGGCGCGCAGCCGCGCGCAGCCGCGTAGCGCAAAGTGCATCTTTTTGCACAACGGATTGTCCATCAGCAGTGCTCGTTCCGGGCTCCGTTTTTTGCTTTAGAGCGACTGTTTTTTTCTCTAATAAAGAGATTGAGTTCCAACACATTTAACACCTCCAGAAACTTAACAAGTATATTACATGCGCAACTTATCCATCTATATCTATCTATTTATTTATATGTCTGTCTGTCTGTCTATCTATCTTTCTTTCTTTCTTTCTTATCTATCCATCCATCCATCCATCCATCCTTCCTTCCTTTCTTCCTTCACTCCCTCCTTCCTTTCCTTCTACACTTCAAAGATATCCAAAGTCACTTTACTTGATGGACTTCGTTGTGGGTGCACCTGCCACCTTTGAGGCAGTATAATTGACACATCCCTGGACGTTCCAAGTCGATGCAGTCGTTGCACGTAAAACCACCATCTTTTTTTGATGTCCTTCATGAAACACCAAAGAAGACACTCAAAGTATTCATGAAAATGGGTAAACATACTATATATATATATATACTAATCATTATATATATATATACACATAGTCTTGTGTTCGGGCACCCAGGTAGCACCCCCGGCCCTTCTATTTGCAAGCTATTTGCAGTATTTCTGAGGTCCAGCCTCGTATTTACTAGATATGTTCAGCATGCCTGACTTCCAGCCCCTCATTTACTAGGTATATGCTAACTTTTGGACGACCTGCATAGTACACATACTCCCTCAAAGTACCATATATTTAATAATATATATATATACATAATTTGTATCACATTGGGTTTCCCACGTTGGGGAACTATTGCTTTGTTTTTGCATCCACTTTGAAGCTCCGGGCAGCATCTTAGTTTGCGAACCATAGGGATCTCATGGGGCACGCCGGCACGCTGAGATCAGATCCATCATGATAATGTATGACACAAACTTCTCCCAGGGGTATGCTGATGTTGAAGAGAGCGGGAACAAACTTGATTGAAATGGCGGACTGACAAACATCCTCAACATCAATAGACATATGTACATATATATCTATATATATATATACATATACATATCGTAACCAGACAAATACTTGACTTCAAGAGATTCCAGGAGAGGTTGTTGAGCCTTTCCAGATCCATAGTATTGTCCAAATCAACGTTAATGTGATCTGATTCACGGAGGCGTTGAAGGTTCACTGGTCACCTGGGGATGACAAGATCCATAGTATCACAATTTGTTTGTGTTAGATGTGTTTAGATGTGTTCAGTACTCCCATGTCTTCATTTTCCATGGTAATTTTAGGGGATGAAACGATAGCATCGAAATTTCGGCGTGGCATCATGATCCATCCCAGTTTCTTTTCGCGTGGTGACCAGGTCGCTGGGTTGAGAAATCACCGTGAAACATGAACCACATCAGAATCCAGGGGGATATTTATGGAGATATTCATGGGATATTTATGGGAATATCTGGGGATATTTACGGGAATATCTGGGGATATTCATGGGAAAATGAGTGAATTCATGTAACCAACTCAAGTCTAGGGGTTAGATTATATAGATTAAGTGATTAATTGGGGGTATGGTCATCCCCCCGTGATGATAGGTCTGATAGGGGTTAGTATATACCAATCAATTGAGGAATCCCATTGAAGATGGTGGGATCACCACAACCGTGTTTTGACCATGGCACAGATGGGTCCTGAAAATACTTTGTCAAGAGGTACGCCCCATACTCATAGACTTCATCTGCTTTAGAATCTATTATCTATTTGACTCACACATTGCTTTAAAAAAATGTGTTCCACAAGTAACTTGAAAAAAGACTTGGGTCCAATTAGAGAAACATGTTCATTGCAGGCACGGTACAGGCATCTAACCTCTGTTAGCTATGCAGCCGGTTTTTTTTGCACCAGCGGCCGCTTTGCACGGCCCGTAGAACCACACGGCCGCGATTTTCGGTCGCCACAAGGATGAACAGCTGAAGGCGGCTAGGTGGGATCCAATCCATTTGGGCATGGGTTATATGCTCCATGTATGGAACAGTTACCAACATTTATGCCAAACATGATCCAAATCTATCCAAATGTACCAAACACGGAGCATAATTATGGGATGGATCTTGTGTTGAACCCGCCAAAGAAAAAACAGATAGTACATAAAATTCATTTAAAAAAAAAACGCGTGACTTCAACTCTCAAAATTACCTTGGTGATATGACTTGGGTCAAGGTGAGCTTCCTGTTTGTCAGATCTTCAGCTATCTTCAACCACAAATGATTCCCCGTGAGGGGTCACGACCTTTGCTGTTACCTCCAATATCCCGAGTCTCAGCAGATTCTCAGTGTCTAGACCTGAGTTTACCACAATTTAGCTATTAAAATTGGAAATTGCTGCTCAATTAATAGCAAATAATATCAATTGATAATAATTATACTACATTATTATCGATTCTTGATTGCAATATATTGCAATAATCCTGATTGATGTCAAACTCTTCAGTCATCCTTGGGCATTCAGCAGTCACTTCAGCCATCCAATCTCCTGCAGTTTCCCTGCGCACAGAGCAGGAGAACTTAAGTGGGAGCGGTGACCAATTGAAAAAAAGGAGCTGCTTGGGTTTAGATCTGCTGAGGTCACACCAAAACGAGTACGGCATCGTTAGTCACGACATGGAAGTGCCGTACGCGTAATCGATCCTTTTGAGCGGCACCTAACGCTGGCACGTTTGATTTCAGAAATGCTTCGATCATCCAGTTGTATATATATATATTATCCTCATCGATCAAGTGAACGATTTGCCCAGATCTATCCAAATCTGGCACATCTGGATAAAATAATAAACGATTCAAGGAAACATAAGGAAACACTTCAAAAAAAAAAAGGTCCATAAGATTCTGCCCCGTGAAAAAAGTCCCGGTTCTCGATGCTCGCCGCCCAGCAAATTCCTGAATAGTGCAATAAAAGACTGGTGACTCTTCCCCTTAAGAAATCCGCTATTAAGATCCATTAAAATTAAGACCCAGGGCTCAGGATCCTTTAGAAAATATCGGCAGCGTGGCTTCAATCAGTTCAATCCCTAGCCTGGTGACTCGCAGCGTATCGCAGCGATTTCGATGTTTGAAGCCGCTAAAGCACGGTTTATGAGGGGGATGATTTAATATGAAGGGAAGGGATTATTCCGATTGTTGGATTTGAGGTCACTGAAAGTAGCTTCAGCCCACCGAATTGGTCAGTGTTTAGTGCTCCACCTGTTCCCAATTGGTTTATTGGGCGGCTGGATATCCCAACTTGGTGGGGTTAAATCCCATGGTTAAATCGATATTCAGACCATGCCAACTGCACCCCAAGTAGCTTATATCCCCAGGATATACCCAAGGATATACCCACTATATTCCCACTATGTTCCAATGAAAGCCCAATACATATACATATATATATATATATATATATCATTAAATCGCATGAAATCCCCACTAAATCCCTATGAAATCATCATGTTTGATGGTTATATCATTGTTTCACCATTATATCCCCATGAAATCGCGTTTTCAATCAGCTTAAATCGCCCTTGTTTGATGGTTAAATCCAGCTAGGTGCTGATGCCTAGTCCAGGTCCTTGGGAGATCCCTTTGGAGATGATTTTGGAGACCCGTCTGTGGATGAAGTGCTGGAAGCGGAAAGCCACCTGCAGGAGGCGCCTGCAGCGGAACCTGAGTTGGGTTTCTAGAGAACAAAACACAATGTATATTTTATATAGATGATATAGATGATATATATATATATATAATCAGGCATATAATCCATATATATATATGTGTATTAGTAATCTATATAATCAATAGAATGTATATACTGTATGATGCTCAGTTACTGGAATGATGCTCAGTCTGTATGAGGAATAGCATTCCTAGATTTTAGGTGATCTTCATGGCCTGGTTTTGAATCTAGCGAGCTAACCATGGGTGGCATGGGTGGTGGTGGTGGTAAATCACGGCAGTTTGTTTTTTTTTGCGCGGGATGATGATGCCCAAAATTGGTCGCAAAGCGTTTATCCCACCATCGGGCAATTGTTTGCAACAGGCCCACCATTGACTTGAGATTAGCACTGAAATCCACTGAACCAGACTGTGCATCTAATTGTGTTGATCCTACAGGACATTTTGGCCAAAATAATGGTTGTTTTCTTGGTTGGGGTTGTGTGGACTTGCAGCAACTCCCATGTCACAAATTAAGGGAGAAGTAAGATGTGGCTGATATGTATTACATCATGTCGATATAAGGAAGGAAAGGTAGGAAGAAGGTGTAAACACCTTATAAATTGGCCGAATTTTCCATGATTCTTTTGGGGCATCCTTAATAAGGCCTTATTTTTAATTTGCAAATGGGAGTGGTTTTCCTTGGGGTACGAACAGACCGGCTCATTCAGTTGGATGACTTTCCTATAAACTGCTTGGTGGTGACTGGAACCATGGAATTTTATGACTTTCCTAATATCTTGGGAATGGAAAAATCATCCCAACTGACTTTCACTCCATGATTTTTCAGAGGGGTAGGGTAGGTATACCACCAAGCAGTAAATGATAAAGACATATCCTCAAAGCCCATGTTTCCTAGGTATCCCATGTTATATAACTATTAGATATCATGACATCCATGAAATCACCATGAAAGCGCCACGTTTGATGGTCAAAAAATATCCATATTATCCCCATCAAAAATATTTAGATAATATACATAGAGTTATATCTATAGGTATATCTATTAACTATATATATATATATATACATATATGTTCCTTATTGAACAGCTGCGCGGGCGAGGCGGCCAAGCCATGATAGGGTCGACTGCCCGATTCATGACACCAATCATCATGTTTCATATATATATATATATACATATATATATATACATATATATATATATGTATATCTATATACTATATATATATACATAGATCTAGTATATAATGTATACATATTATACATGTTCTCCAGTTTGAAATTTGAAATTTGATGAAGACAGGCCGTTCTTCTTTGGCCACGGGACGTCCAGGATGTCCAGGATGTCGAGGATGTCCAGGACCAGGATGGCGACGTGATAGCAATTCCGGAACAACTTCCCAGCTGTATCAGGCCACTTGGCGGGGGTAGCACTGGGTAGCACTGGGTAGCACTGGGTAGCACTGGGTAGCACTGGGGTACCAGGTACCCCGGATGAGTGAAACTGTTCAACGGTTTAGCCATGAATCATCGTAGTGAAACATCTGTGAAACATCTATGAACATATCTACTTTTCGGGAATCAACAAGGTTTACCCATGCGGATCCTGTGGAAAAATCATGGCAAAGTAGAGGTTTGGAGTCACCCGCATGTATTACATGAACTTACTTCAGGGGCGTCCCATCTCTGAACAGTTGATTGTCCCTTTTCGAAGAGGGCGCGGGCGTTTGTTTCACAGCAACCAGAAATCCATCAAAATAGATGGCTTTGATAGGAAAGCATGGGAACACATTGGAAAACCATGAGAAAACATGGGACCACCATGGGAAAACATTGGACAACCATGGACAGAAATTGGTTTCGCCAAAATGTTACAGGTCACCCGGGGTATCGGGGTATTACCATAAAGTTTGGATTTTGCTTCGACTTTTTCCTTCATTCAATTCCGGGATAACACCCTTCCCCTGTGGATTTTGCCAGGGATGATGGCACCGCACCAGCAGTGCATGCAGCCTTCTACTTGTGGCCGCTGGGCAAAAAATATCGCGGGATGGTGACCATGGATTGTGAGCCAATATGGTGATGCCTAAGCCAAAATATCTGTGTCAATTGTCAAGCTGGGACGGCCAACCCAACTTATTGACTCCCAAAATGTTTGATTTTTTCAGGATGGTGAATTATTATATAGTTTATATCCAAATGGACGTCCTTTTCCCACTAGATGTTTTTTTTCCATTTACAGATGGGTCGCACCCGTTGAACAGAGGACATCATTGGGACTGACAATATGACAGGAAACAAATCCTGCCGATGGTCTTCGGATGTATTTGGTGGTTCCAAACTCTTTCATTTGATGCTCTCATGCCTGGGATAGTGATATCCAGTGGCTCATTTTTTGGCCTAAAAAACAAGTTTGATGTTCCCGCATCCAGTGGACATGTATAAGACCACCAGACCTCATTTGTTTGATTCCTATGATTTGATGTCATTTGATGTACCCTCTGGTTATGACTAACATAGCCATGGTATAGATGGCCCATTTACAGATGGTTTACCTATTAAAAATGGGGATTTTCCATGGCTATGTTAAATAACCAGATGGTATATGTGTTCTTCAACTATGAGTTATTTGTTTCTAATATGATGTGATGCTATAGATCCATTCTGCACTGAGATGATCAATGGATGACGACTCAGCTGATTTTGTTGGTTCCACTGACCGTCTTCCAGGTACGGCAATATAGAGGCACGCACCGCCACGGCTTATCCACAGTGGTCAGGCTGCTGATTGATGATTATATTATAGATCATGATAATGGGTTGTACTAACCAACGCTACTGTAAGTGGGCATGATCATAATCCATGGTCGGATTTCCCTTTAACCAAGCAGCATACCAAGAGAAACACAGATGCCGTTTGTGGCCATTGATGAGCTGAAAACTTTAAAACAAACGCTGGATCCCTGTCTTAGAAACACCAAAATGAAAAACGATAAACAGTTCGATTGAACATATCTTGATACCAACCACAAAAGATACAAGTCTTCCTGATATTATCCTGATATTATACTTTTACACACTAGTAAGTTCAACACATCTTGATAGCAACCACTAAAAAAATCCAGAACGATCATTTTAGTGAAATTCCACTTTCAAACAGTGGTCACGGTAAATGTTGCATGTTCTTGCAGTTTTTTGGAGGTAACTGCAATGGATATGGATCCCTGGATGGCAGAAAAATGTTAGGCAGCATAGTGGATCCACCGACTCCTAATGATCGAGGATACATATGTAGATAGACACATCATAATCATATGTAATTATGTATTACACGTAATATATGTATCTATATATATATAATTATATATATACACATATGTTCAATTGTTGTATTTGTGCATGTAGACTCTCACTATGATCCATTTCCTGCTGGGTTCCATTGCCAGACTGATGGCCGATGGATGCACTGGGACCACAAGGTGGGTTACGGGGGGTCAAGGGCTGGCTGCTTCCCTGCCTATTTTTTCAGTTTAGTGGTACTTGTTTGTTTTAGAAACAGTCTCTTGAGATTAGACAGGCCCCTGTTCTGAAGCGTAGCACGTGGAAAGCTTGTTGACATTAAAGCAGCTGCAAGCATGGTGGGGTCACCAGTTGTGTCAAGTCATTGTTTGTGCCGGGAGATTGCAGCATTCCATGACAATTTCAATGGGAAATTCATGCTGCAAAGCGCAATATGCCGTATTTAAAAAAGGGAACACATCCGAAAGTCGTCATTGTTGCTGATCGAACCTGTCCACCATGTTTACATGTTGCTTGAATCCCTACCAGCCTAAAAAATCCATAGAATTCCATCATACAAATCCCATTTACATTCCATTAACCTCATCGAATCCCATTAAACCATTGTTTTCAATGCTGAACTTCCCATGTTTCCGCCAGGTGCTACCCCACTGGGATCCCAAGGCGCCGAAGTGGCCCCGAAGCCTGTCCGGGTTTGAATCGCCTGGATTTTTTGGATACGGCGTTTTTTGGGATCCCAAGATGATCTTAATTGAGGTTAGTGAATGATAATTTGCCCAGATTGAATTGATGATGGTGCCCCTCTTTTAAGATGAAGTCTGTGAAAATAACTCCAATTTTACAGTTTCGGCTTTTGTGATGCCAAACGGGTGGTGAAAAAAAACAGCACACAGAATTAACTGGGTGATCACCTTGGATGCGCTTTTAGCCGGTGGTGACCTGCTACCTTTTACAATTGGAGATGGTTATAATCCATGAAATGTGGGAATGCCATTCTCAACCATCATGGAATGAGTGGAATGACAGAGAGTTTTGAACACTCAGAGTGGTCCTTTTTCGGCCAGGGATCAGAAACCGGCTCACCAACTCATGGCTTTGACGAGAAATGGGGGATTTTCCACTTCGCAAACTGGTGCAGAAACCGCTCAGAAAATTCTTCCAGCAGGGCCCCAGTCCAATCATCCGCTGGTGTGTTCCGATCTCGTGAAGGTGGATGAACTACACAGGAAGTTTAGTTGGCAACCACCAGATGAGCCAGGGAATCCAAGGGGGCACTAGATGGTGGGATGGGATGGGGGTAAATTCCACTTGGAAGATCTGATTTTTGAATCTTTTTGATGTTTTCTGGTTGGTGGTTTCAAACATGTGGTTTTTCCCACACTAAAATATGGGATAATCCTTCCCATTTTTGCTGTGGCTCATCAGAACATGAGCTTTTTCATCCCATGACAAAGTTCCGACAGCGCGGCTTGAGGCCACACTCTACGTTCTATCCAGAAAAAGGCACCTATAGGCGCAGGGCCAAGCGGCCAAGCGGCCAAGCCACTGGATGTCTTGGAATCAGTATATCAGCGACATTCAGCAACCCATGATCGTCATCACCTCACAATTCATAGTTGCCCCTTCAAAGTCGCTGTTTGGATAGATGATGTCGACTAGCCATGTTTGATATGTTTGATTTGAGGCGAATTCCCATTGATATCCCCATTTTTGTTGGGGAAATCTCATGAAAATCCCATGTCCTGCCAGCTCCGCGAACAACGAGACCTTGCATGCTCAGTTTCAGGAGCTGCGGCAGGCTCGGAAGCTGTTTTGCGGCAGGGGGGTGCTGTTTTTTTGTGATAAAGGATGGTGAATAGAATTGATTTTGCACAATTCGTTGTTTTCCGATTCCCATCTTTTCCTCCCGACTTATTCAGCGATTTTGGGCATAGCGTATAGTTGGGAAGACTTTATCATGCATGTTTCTTTCAATCATTTCCTCAAATGTCTCCTTGATTTCAACATATGCAGGAAGGCCCTATCATTTACATGTTGTTCCCTTCAGTTCATCCAGTTTTTTTTACTCCACTAGAATCATCAACAGGGCAGCATTGAAACCCACTCGAATTCATCAATTCCTATGGCGCCTCGTCATCGAGGCTGGCATCGATTCTGCCATGTGTTCCTGGTGGGGACGAAAGGAGTCATCAGATCGCTGGCGTTGATGAAGTTAGGATTTCTTTGTCGCTATCAGATTGTTAGTAGATGTTAGTAGTGAGTAATAGGCATTACTCGTACTATCTCGTACTTAAACGTGTTTTGAACACAGTGTTAGTAGTTGAAACTTTGGGTGTTATTTTGAAAAGATCAAGACAATGTATGTCAATGTATTTCAATCTATTTTGTAAGATCTTATATAATTAAGTTGTTTCCTTTGGTTTCAGCATTCTCTCACCATAGATTTCTGCCCTGCAGAAACGGCCCCCAGATGGATTTCTCCCAACTTTGGATGACCATTTCACCCCAAAAAAGATGACCACTGTAAAAAGGGGCCGGGATTTGCGGCATCTCAAGGCCGATGATCGAAGTGTCATATTGTTGCTGGACATATTTATATAATATATATATATATATATTTATCTATTTATATAATGTATTATATATATATATACGTGTATTATTATATATATATACACAATATGTGTGTATGTATATATATATATCCTCCAACAAAAAATGTGGACGGCTGGTTCTAAATCCCCATACCCTTTGGCACTCAAACATGGCTGTGTGTAGACTTTGTCGTGAACTGGCCCGCAGTGAACAGCGCACAGAGGTGCCGAGTAGACCCGACACCTCACCCCCAGCAATAGGGCCACAAAGCCTCAGAATCGCCATGTCTTGACTGCACATAAATGGGGATGGGTCAAAACCTATTATTACCATATTTGGAAGAATCAACATCCATTAACCAGCTATTTTAGGTACCATCCGGGTGCCAGGGTTTTGACTCACAACCAAATCATCCAATCCACCATTTAGTTCAATGAGTTTCCAATCTATTACATTTTTTACTGTGTTGTCGAGGAATTCCAATTTCGGAGCCTCCGAAGTCGGAATTCCTCTTCAAAACAGTAAACATGTAATAGATTTGGAGCATATGTGAGGACATATATTATATATACATATAATCATCATGGTTATTGGATCCTGATAGATCCTAAGCAAGTTCCCAAAACATCCACCAGTTGGTGAAGTAATGTGGTAAACATCCCACCTATTTCTGGTAAGTAGTTGGGGATGGTTTATCATTGGGTTTACTACATCAACTACCCTTTGCAAATCAAACATGGCAATTGAACCTCACCCACAAATGGAGGTTTATAGCTCTGAAAATCATCGAAGTAAATGATGTATTTCCCAGCAACGTTTGATTTCCAGAGTAATATCATCCATATAGATGATGTTTTCTCCATATTCTCCATATTCTCCAGGTTGGCATTTTTTTGGGGGTGCTATAACTATGATGATGGTAAGTCTGGTAAGTTCTCCCAGGACTGGGAAGGCAAACGTGATGATGCGGACTCAGGCCATGGCCTGGCGCGGCGTGCCCGGTAATGAGGGTGCGCCAAACCATTACCATCATTACCACCAGTGGCATATGCCTAACCATATGGCACCAAGCATCAATGGTGCTTAACCATCAATGGTGTGAATTCCTTTGGATCCGAGAAGTTTTCTGAGGATTTTTTTTGGATCTATAGGGAATGATAACAATGATACGGATATTCCATGGGGACAATAACTCTCATTGGATATTCCATGGGGATGGCAATGGATGTGCCATATGCATCCATATGCTAGATATGGACCATCGCTGACATGTGAACATTCCTCACCTTGCGAAGTCACCGGAATGATGGAAATTGGATTGGGGTAACTATGTTCAGGTTAGTGAACTCCTATTAGTCAGCCAGATTCTTTGCAATCCTATCCCGCAAATATAGATCCATTTGACACCAAAAATTGAAAACAGATCAAATACTAAAGCAAGGTTTCTAGTACTAGGGTGTCTATTATTAGGGGGTGGGGTTTTCATATCATATTGGTATGCAGGTATATACCATGGTGGATTGGAATAATCATATCAAGTGGGTCCAAGTGGATTATCCTTGACCTTGAGCTCTCGGGGTGTTTGTGGAGTAAGTCATCTAGAAATGCTTTGTTGTGTGGCAGGAACGCAAGAGTGATGTATCTTAGAAAGCGGGCTGTTGAGGCCTGATAAAGTATGCAATAATGCTATATATTTGATTAGATATTGGCATGTCAGTGGATCATGAAGCATGATATAAGATATAGTATACATTGTATTGTATCCATGTCTATTTATAGATGATTAGTTGAAGCTAGTTGTGTTTTCTGTGATAGACAAGCTGACCAAGTGCCCTTTGGCACGGCCATCTCAGAGCTCCAATCGCTGGATGCCCAATGGTTGTCGAAGACCTTTTTTGTCCCACATCATCCATGTATTGTTTATTTACCTATACCACTGTAAGAATAAATATTCCCAAATATATAGCAAATTATAAAGGTAAATAGAGGTTTCTTAAAATGGGGGGTATCCCCAAATCATCCAAGTCGTTAGACCATTTTCGTATTGAAACCCATAGTGACTCCAGCATTTCAAGCAGGAGCCAACACGGACGTGCTGATGCCCCAGGTTCTCGAGGTGAGGGTAGGGCGCTCTGCAGGCACCACAATTATAAATTCAGAAATGATAAATGGTGTGTGTTTGAAATGAAAATTGTTTTGTAACCATCCAAATGTAGATAAACAATTGATAAATGTACCAGACATGGAGCATATGGATATGATGTGATAGACCATGAAACACAATTTGAAAGGATCTGCCTAAATTATGTTCATGTAACACATCATGGTTTCCGACAAAAGCTGGCAGCCGGCACTTTTGATCGTTTGGGTGCCCTTCAACTTGGGCATGTTTAAATGATCACGAAGTCATTGTCCATATGTTAACAATATTTACATGATTATACATGTATTATTCGTATCATATGATTATAAGTTGTATACCTACGTTATATGTTGAAACATAGTATGTTCCTGTGAATGTATGTTATAGAATGTTATATATATATGGCATGGGTTATACATAGTTGTATTAATATGCGTTAATATGTATATATATATATTCATATTTAAATGAATGCCCTGAGATCTCAATTCTGCCAACAGCGACTTCGGTTTAGATTCCAGGCAGCTGCAACTGCTGGGGTTTATGTGTCCCTGGGCTCAGTCAACAAAGAAACCTGCAAAAACCAGATGGTTCATGATGTTTCACAAAAAAACAGACAACGTTCTGGTTTGAAAGGTATCTTAGATTGAACTGTAGAGAAAATGAGCTACAATTTCACTAGCTAAGTCTGAAAGATTGATCATTTAACAAACAACTGGTCCTGTAAGCACGAAGTAAGTCTCACAGGGCTTGTAGTTTCTTCATACTCAACCTTGATTGCTTTCTTGATGATCGGATTATTGAACCTTTCATTGACTGGTTCTCCGATATGATTTTGCATTTTTGCATACATCCCTGGTTGGTGGTTTGTAACATGTTTTTTTCCCCAATAGTTGGGATGATGATCCAATCTGACGAAGTCATATTTTTCAGGGGGGGTAGGTATACCACCAACCAGATCCTCTCTGGACAATCCATCCCTTGACGTCACGTTCCCATCTGGTCATCCGGTCATCTGCCCATTTCTTCGGGAGATGGAAATAGCAGTTCCTGGCATCCATCAGCAACGTTAATCGGAAATTTATTTTTAACATAATCATAGGTAGACTATTAGTGATATGAAAGTAAGACCCAATGCTCACTGGTAGAATCTATATATTCTGTACTTCTATATTACATCAGAAACTGGAACTATAATCATTACTAATCCCAAGATATGTCATTCCAAATCATTGACACATCTCATGTTTTGCAGTCCCTATATTTTCATTATTTTCTACGAAACGTTGATGATCTTCCCAGGTCATTCCACATTGAGCCCTATGGAGGCCGGACACCTGAAACGCCTGGGGAGCCCAGTAGTTTCCCTCCATTGGTCCATGGTTTTCCTCTGGTTGGTGCTTTGGAACATGGCTGGATTATGACTGATCCTAACCAAATTTTTTTTGGGATAATCCTTCCCATTGACTTTCATATTTGAAGCGGGGTTGGGTGTTAAAACCACCAACCAGGACCATGTTTTTCCGCTCTGAATCTCCCAGGTTTTTGGAGGACTTGAAATACATCTTCCGGGAATATGGGAAGCACCCAGCCATCTTTCGAGAGGCGCCGGAAGACTGATAGATATCCATCAGAAGCTGTAGCTTTGAACTAATGTATGTTCATGTATTTGTATAATTTTAGATATCTACATATCTAGATAGGTATAGGTATGTGTATATACACATATTTCAAATTTTATGTATATGTGTATATATATATACATACTACATCTTATATATACACACATGTATGGATATTATATACTGCTACTGTATATATATATATATTTGTACTACAATGTGTTGTGTATATATATATAAGATTTATATAATAATATATAGTTCCTCTAGTGTTGTGGTGAATTGATTCTTAGAGGTTGGGTTTCGGAGAGGGCATTTTACATTGTACCCATAAGTCAACAACCTCGCAAGATCCAGGATACGATTCCTGCACTTGGGGATGCAGGATACGGGTTTCTTAATGGAAATAACAATGGTAATAGCCGTCATAAGTTGGGATAGAAGCCCTATTTCGGACTTTGGTATATATATATATAATTATATATATATACACCTGAAAATCCGCCAATTCCAACGGATTGAAACCTCGGCTTTTCCGACTATATAAATTTGCTGTGACGACTGGGGACATGACATTTTCTTGTTCGGTTTGATCCGCAAGCCATATGGCACCCGAATGCAACCCACATATGCATGATATAGAAGTGGCCCGCCCATCAGACCAGAATGGCTTCCAGGAGCCTGTTGCTGGAAAACACATGTTGCTAACCACATGTCAACTGTCTCTCCCAAGTGAATCATCAAACATCTCCCTGTTGAGTAGTCGTTGAAAATGGCAAGCCAGGTCTTTGATTCAACCAGTATAAACTTGATCGGTCATGATAGGGGGTTATAACACTCTAGTAAACTAACATAGCTATTGAAAATGGCCGTTTATAGTGGATTTTCCAATAAAAAATGTGATTTTCCATAGTTATGTAAACGTTTACCAGAGGGTAACACCTGGTTTGGGAATCATCGGTTTACCAGGGTCAACCAGCCAGTAATTCATCGGATGGGAGAACGGGGTATACTGTCATTGCGAAAGAAACATGGTCTCCCTGCTTAAGATGTAGCTAATATATTATGGTAATGAATATAAGTAATATAGTGCAATATAGGATATATTTATATAGTATAATATATTGTAGTAATTACCATTGATGGAACATTAATATATGTTAATTAATATAGTTCCTCTCAACGTGCCGTACTGTTCCATACTTGGAAGTGAAAACTTTGTGCAGGTATGTCCTAAAAGTCAGAACCCCAATTCTTTACTGTTTCATCATTCCACATTATTTCAGTTTCTCTTTCAAGAAGCAGAAGCTACGTGCTCCATTACATGGTTTCAAATTGGTTCCATCCGCGTATTGGAAATCAAAGCAAAATACGTTCATTATATTTAAGCCAAAACGAAGTACATCATTTGAGTCAACATAGATCGATGAATAAAAATAGTGAACACAATCCATATGGATATCTTTGTGCGCATTAAATGACTGAAGTAACCAAAAAAATAAAAACAAAACACACGTGGCTTTTCTGGGGGGTCCAAGAAAAAACCACGCGTGTAGTATCATAACTCGACCTACCCAGCACTAAAGAAGTCCCCCACCAGGGACCACAAGAACGGCCCATTTTCTGGCTCTACGACGTTGCTTGGAGATGCCATGGCAGCGTGGGGGGCAGAAAAATTGGTGGATTTAGAAACCAAGCATTTTGTGGAGATATCTATATATGGATATCTTACTTTGTTAGGGATATAACAACAAACAAAAGATGGGCAATTCATGATCAAGTAGATTTTTTGATGGGCAATTCATATCTTACTTTGTTTTATAAAAAAAATGATGGGCAGTTCGTGATCAAGTAGATTGAGTGGTACCCTATTTTCAGACGGGCCCAAATGTACTGGAACAATTGACTTGTCAACCGCACAACTCACGTTTGCTTCAAAGTACGAGTCAGTTTGCCAATACTGAATCCAATCTGAAATTCTGTATCAGCTGTGTGTTCCAAAATCGCCAAAATTGGTTACCCCCAAAACATCCCATCTTTAATCATGAAATCCAAGCATAATCCATGGCCAAGTGTGTTGCACTCAAATGGCCATACCCTCTGGTAATTTAACATAGCTATGGAAATTGGACCATTTTTCTAGATGATTTAGCTATTAAAAATGGTGATTTTCCATATATATATAAATCATCATTTTCCCATGGTTGTCCCATGGTTTACCAGAGGCTAATCCCACCAGTGAGGCTTGTTGGAAGTCCCCACCGCGATCCCAGCGATCTCCAGGTGTCAGCGCAGCACTCGTTGTCGGAAGTCGCCCAATGGAGAGCCGTGCGGGATCCCGACGCCCACGGCGAAATCGGGGATTTTCATGGGAAGATTTCGGGATTGAACATGGGTTATGGGAAAAGCCCCATCAATGGAGGTTTCAATGGGGACTATATGGGGATTATACATTATATATAATTATATATATAATCATATATATATATATACATACACATAGTATATATATATAATATTTGGATATTCACCATCAACAATAGTGATGATATGGTGATGATAATTCTGGACATAGTCATGACATGTGGGTCTGTCTGAAAATGGGATCTGTCCAAAGTCCGAGATCAGACGTGGTCAATGACCATGTGGGCCACTTTGATAGGTTTATGTTTGTTATAACTGCAATAACATGTCTAAGACTGTTGGTTTTATTGTGAATAATTGTTATTGTCTCCAGTTCCATGGACAGACATGAAACGACACAAATATCCGGGGAGGCGGGGCGTTAAGACAACCCATTGATCCTTTGCCTTGGGCATAGCGTGTACCAGCCATGCTTGGTTTGGATGTGACCATAGGTTCCCAACCAAGTTGTTGATGGGTAGATCTCAAGACATCTCATTCATTTTGCAGGGTTACAACCGCACTTACCAACCACGAATCGCAACCAGAACGAAGATGACTCTAGACATCCCAGTCATTCTGCAAGGGGTTGCAACATGTTGTAACATATTGTAACCAGCTTTTCAAGGGGTTAGAACATGGTGTTTTCTCCCAGGACATGTAACCCTTGAGGTCCTGGATGCGGTGCGGGGCACAGAACTGGACGCCATCTTCCTGTGCCTTGGGAAGGGCAGCCGATGGAAAAAAATCCATGGGAAAACCAGGGAAAAATATGGGAACATCTGTACAAATGGAGGTTTTAGTGGGGATTTATGGAGATTTATGGGGGTTCTATCTGGATGACTTCTAACAACCGCAATGTGACGTCACTGAAATGACGGTGAACGTCTTTTGAGAAATCATCCCCACATGGCTAAAACCTTCAGCGATTTTCAGGTTTTAGGCATGGAGGTTTTGGTGGATCAAAACAGGAGCAATGGGACAATCATGGGCTACGAATATGGGATCCAATAATGGGATAATAGTGGGATATGTTTGGGGTATACTACCCAATTATATATATATATTTCATGGGCTATACAACCACATATAATTGCCAGTTCGACATTTTGGGTCTGTCATGATATGTTGGGTTTTTTTGCTGTAGCCATGATCTAAAATAGACATCTTGGGAACATGAACCAAACCCAATGGCTGATGGCTGCCTTGACCGTGGCTCACCGCTGATTTTTTCTGGGCTCCAGAAGAGCCAGAGGGCCATGGGGCAACATGTCAACGCACTAGGTGTGACGCTGGGTGACGCCAGTGACGGGTCAGGTTTCAGGTCTTCCATAGCCATCCAGGATGATGCATGGGATTTTGTTCTACAAGAGTATAGGTAAGCATGCCATTGATGCAGGAAATGGGATGGCAGTTGGGTTGTACGACATGAGTGTACCCAAAAGGGATCCAGATACAGTATACTTCGCTATCTGTTAGCCAGTTCAGGAATCCAAACCGCCCACAGTGCCAGTTCACCCAAACCCCCTAAATCCAACTTTGAATAGGAAAAAATGGAGGTTTCCTGAAATGGGGGTATCCCCAAATGACTGCCAAATGACCTATTTTAATAGGATGTTCCACTATAAACCATCCAGCTATTGGGGTACCCCGATTTATGGAAACCCTCATATATGAAAATCATTGAGAATCTGGGATCACCATAGATCTAAAGGGTGTGATGCGATTTTCCATTGCAGGCTATGGCCACCCGCGGCGGCCTACGACCCACCAGTGTCTCTTGGTCATCGATCCACCAGTGAAACCAATGGTTTGGGAGTGTCCTCTGAACACCAAATCAATGAACTATGATTTCTTCGGACAACATTGATTTGTTTGTTTATATATATACATACTAATTATACATACTATATATATAATATATATATATACACACCTGTAGATCATGTTTATATATATATACATATTTACCATTCTTTACCTATAGAGATTGTGTGTTTGTTCGTATATATCTGCACTCTGATTTCATAGGCTCGAACGTCTGAATCGTACAAACCTCATCCCATCTTAGGGCTTGTACGGGGGGTCATAAAGGGACGGATCAAGCGGAGCCGTCTTAACCAAGGGGGGTGCCATGGGGTTGATGTTTGACTTCGATGTTGGGTGCCATGGGCACCATGGTTTTGATTGTAGAGACATACTGAATCCTTTGTGAATCTACTTGGGCAATGGAAAACATCATGAACACGCTCCATGTTTCATGTTGTAACCGCTTATGTTGACTGTGTGAAAGTCAATCCAAGCATTTTACAAGTGGTACATGATGTTTTTGTTTCGATCATGTTCGATCTCATTTGTTTTAATGGGTTCTGAGAAACTATAGATGATAGATGATGGTAAAAACCTCAGGCTTGATGATGTAAAACAACCTCCATGTTTGATGGTAACGCCTCTGTCTTCGTTTGTTTTTTCCTCAAGCAGCTAGCTCCTAGGCCCAACGAGTGGTCGAGAGCTTTGAAGCTGGAGGAGCTAATTTCTTGGTTTACCAATTCCGTTGCATTGCAGTTATTTGAACTTGTGCAAATATGTCTCCATTGTATAGATACATGGATGGATGGATGGATGGATGGATGGATGGATGGATTGATGGATAGATGGATTGATGGATAGATGGATGGATGGATAGATAGACAGATAGATAAGGTAAGATTAGATTAGATTAGATTAGATAGATAAGATTAGATAGATAAGATTTCATAAGATTTGATTAGATTAGACTGGATAATACTAGATTTGATTAGTTAGCGAGACACATATATGGAATGTCTACATATGCATGATGTGTATATATATATATATATATTGAATGTGTCCATATGTCTATGGATCCGTACATATGTATATTTCTATATAATTTATATGAACATGCATACCTATGTGAAAAAAAACATATAATCTATTGGAAGCCTTGTGGATTTCTGTTGGTGCCAGCCAAATTTGTAGGTTTTTTTTGGTCGTGCAGGAGAGGGCCCTGTGAGGGGACGGAATCCTTTCAAGGTGGCGCTTGGTTGATCGATGATTGGAACAGATGGGCCCAGAGAGGGGGCTATAAAAAGAGCCTTGTACTGTGGCCGTGTAGTGGTAGCTACCTCTAGCAGCTATCCAGCTATCCGTATGTATTAGCGCTATTTGATCTTGTTTCAGGTGTTTTTTTGGACCACTTCATGTCCGACACTGCACTTGCCGAAAGTAACGGCACTTGAGGCAGACCACTCGTGGAGCTTGCCGTGTTGACGGGAACTGGGACGGTGGTGCACCAGTTGCCAATGAGAAATGGGCAGTGGAAGGTCATTGTGTGGTGAACTTTTTGTGGAACTGGTTGTTTTGCTGAAGAATTCAACACGAAATGAACTGCTTTGTGGATATTTGATGATATTTGTGGTTTGGAGCTTTGGTAGAAGTTATCAGCCTTGGCTTAAAGTTGATTGGTTGCGGGTGCAGGTTAAAATCGCTAAAAACAAAGAATTGAATCACAAATTATCAGCAAGAAACTGGACTGATCCTCCAATCTGCCTACCTCAATGATATGGCCATCAAATAGTCAAGGGATATTTCACCGACCCAGCAATACAACATATATATATATATATAAGTGTATATATATACCTTGGAACTCCGAACCTGCAAAATTCGTAGGGTGGCACTGTAAACCTAGGGTATTATACATACACCTAGACATTTTGGTATTTGGCTGCAGTACAACGACCTCACTAACAAAGTCACCCATAGATTGTATTATAGTTTGTGAGGGGAATTATCCCCAAATGGCACATCCGATCCGCTGATAAACCTCCATTGAGTTCGGGGATTTCCAGGAAAGCCCTGTTTGTTTCCCGGGTATATCCCGATATCATCATTGTTGATGGTTGTATAATATATGTTATAATATCACATATCCACATAATTCCCATAAGAATTCCCATAGAATTCGCTAATATTATCCTCATATAATCTGCATAAACCCAGTAAAAACATGTAAAAACCTTCATTCATATAGGGTTTTCCCATGGAATTCCAATGGTTTTCCCATGCACCGGGAACCGCCAGGCAACATCTTCAAGAGTTGCGACAGAAAAGTGGCGCTCCAGGCTGGACCAACCATTGGAAAAGCATGGGAAAATCATCGAACTATAGCTGGGGGGATATGAAATATGTGCTATGTCTGCTATGTTTGAGTACCGGAGGATACATAAGAGGTGTCTGATGGGGTCTGTATGAGATAGATAGTGCAAATGTCAATGATTTCCATGTTTTTTTTTCGATATTTGGAGATGGTTTACACGGGTGAAGTCTTCGAACCCCTGCTTATTGGCAGGGTCCATTGGACCATGTTCCTTGGGGGGATGGTATTTTTTTCAACAGACATGGCAGAAAAAGGTGCTTTCTTGAAAGTTATATATATATATATATCAATACCATTTCATCAACATGATTTTCACTAAAAAAATCGTGACCTAAATAGATATCCCATTTCACCGTTGATATATATATATATACATTAGACCTCCGGGATATCCCCAAAATATCACCAACATATCCTCTCCCATGGTGATCTCACATCCAACCTTTGTCGCCCAGGGGCCACAGCCGCCCCCGGGCCCCCAGCCTCGCGCCGTGCCAAGACACCACCGGCTCTGTGAGAAGCTCAGGGCATGGTGGGAGGCCGATAAGCCCACTGTGGGGCTAGCTGTAAATTGTGGTTATTATATGGTTATTATAATGACATATCATGGTTATTATATATCATTATCATGGTTATCATCATGCTGCTGGCTGAACGGAAAAACAACTGTTATTGTGAACATATTGTCGTTGGTGTATTCGGTGTTGTTATTATATGTCTTTATGATTGGTACTGTTCAGGTTGTTCCAATTCAGCCAGATAAATGATGATAAATGGGGAGACGACATCAGATGACCAGTTGCGATTCTCCTAAGAATTAGGGTTGTTCAAACAGGTTTCAATATTTGGGATACCCAGATGAACATATAAAGCAACCCCAAGAAGATAGACAAGTAATGACTAAGTATAGAAAAGTCAAATCCAGAATAGTGAGTAATTACATACTATTCTAGCTCTTTGGGAGTTACTATGCCCTCAAAGCAATGTGTTTTTTCATGCTAAACTCGACCATCTTCAAACGGATTGGGTCGCTGCTGGAAGGTCACAGCTCCGTGAACGTGAGAGGGAGCATTTGGCTGCTCTGCGCAAATTTAGAGCGTCGATGGCCAGTGGTAAACCACTTGGGTGATGATTTATAGAAGCCATTAAGGATGAGATTGGGGAGGGTTTACGAGTGGATTTACGGCATTGAGCAGTGTGGTTTGCTTTGCAATCATGGGTGTTTTGTGTGGGTGGAATTCACATTGAGAAACAGATATAGGCTGTAGGTGCTATATCTATGGGAATTTCAGGACACTAAAATGGAGGTACTGTACCATATGAGGCCATATGTTGTGGGGATGTTCCCTTACATAGCCCTTGCATAGGCCTTGTATATGGCAGGACTATAGGTGTTTTACATTATTTTATTGCATTTCTTTGTGTATATTCAACATTATTCAACTAGTACTGGATCAACTGGCTGATGATGACACAAAAGGCCACTTTCAAAAAGTAGATGTTTTTGCTTTTCATCATCTTTCATCTCTATTTTGCAAGCTGTCTTTGGTCGTATGCTCATTTTGAGAGCGGTAACACCACACTGAGGTTTTACAATCCTTGGAGCGGCTCGAGCACAAACACACAGCAGCGTGGTTGCACTGGGACTGGTGAGGTCTTGTGAAACCAGTGACAGTTCCCAGATGAGGGGTTTACAAACAAAGATGTGGATTTGGCATGATTTGGCATGATTTAATCATCGAAATAAGATGAAATAAGGCGTCCCATCCGTATGTCGGGGGAGCCATCAAAAGTTGATGATTTATGACTGAAAACTGCAGATTTAACCCATGTCCCTGTTAAAGTGTGTCAACCAATTTGTGCAGATGTGCTGTTGGATCATATAGCTAGATGGCACCATGATTGGTATTATATCATCTTGAGTTCTCACATGTCTACATCTGTAGGATATGCTACGTTATAGTGCAACATATGTAATTCAGCTACCATCCGATACGCAAACATGACTAGCTGAAAAATTCTGTATTAATTAATAAATTATTATCCAACTATTATATCATATCATATATAGTATCCATGGACGATTCTTGCTTTGCTTTATAGATTACTTTTGTGGTACCCTCCGGTACCTAAACAAGGCTATATCTCGGTTCCCGAAACGCTGCCGTACTCAGATTCGTTCGGAAAATTCATTAAATCCTCCTTTATATACATTACTATCCCAGCAAAAAAAAGAAAACATATGGGGATAGTATTAAATCCTCAAACACCATTCATTAAATCCTCAAAAAAACATATTCTCCGGACTTCCTTTGGGGATGTCCCATGGTGGGCTATCCGGTACGGGTCGCGTCAGGCCGAACGCGCCGTGAGGGACCTGACTGAGGTTGGATGAGCAGCACCATGAACTGACCATGGTAGAATTTGCATCAAGTATATGGATAATTATGGATAATTATGTATCTGTATATGGATAATATGGATATGGATAATTATGTATCTCAAATTTGTGTATATGGATAATTATGTATGGATCTCGTATGGATTACCCACTTACAACCCAGGGTAATCCAACATAGCTATGGTGTCTATGCTTTAGATGGTCCATTGGAGTTCCACATGTAATTTAGCTATGCAAACCTATTCATCTAATGATGACTTCTCCACTGTGACGGACAGGCGTCCATGGAACTACATTTTTTTTGAGTCCCTTAAGCACCAAGTCCACCATGTTGTTGCTTATTGAAGTGTCCCTTTGATTGGTTAATCATATATGTATACATATATACATATATTCTACATATCTACAATATATATATACTTTATATATATATACTTTATATATATATATTATGTATGTATATATTATGTATGTATATATATATATATACACATTTTCTACATGACACTACACACGCATATACCCTGACCTTCCTCCACAACGTTTAACTCTGGGGTCACTAACCACACCGTTCAACCTTGTCTCTACATGACTGCAGAAAGTCAGTTCTATCTAGCCACAAATTGTTTCACGTCCAGAGAGTGGACGAACCGTGTTGGCCCAGTCCCAATGCAGTTTGGGCAGAAATATTTACATCAAGAGTGGGTGGAAAACCAGTATAAGAAAAAACGAATCTGCTAACAGGTCAGTTTCATTTGCATATTGCACATCTTGGAGCTTTTTCTAGATCATTGTTTGGATTTGTTTGGTCCATCTTGAAGCTTGGAAAGTGTTTGAAAACAGCATGAATACTGGGTGCAAAAAAACACAAAAAAAAACGGAAAAAAAAAAACGTGAAGACAATCAACAACTGGTGTGTGTGTGTGTATGTGTGTGACTCACATGCTGGTTTGAGTAATTGTTTATCAAAAATATCAATCTGGTATCACACCTTGTGCGCTACCTTTTTGTGTAGACCATGTGCGTGATGGATGCTATGTTTAGGATTCAGTAACGGCAAGCTGAAGGGAAGGGATTTTTTGGGAACCCCTCAAGGCTGGTATTTTTTTGCATGATTGATTTGATCAAAGATTCTGCCTTTGCTCTTTGGAAGGCAATAGAGATAGGCAGTGAAATGATGGGGTTCAGTAAATACAAGGGGTTAGACTAACCACAACGTTAATCCTTGTGGTTGGAAGATCATGGTTTAATTATATATAATATAAGTTTATAATATATAGATATAGATATAGTCATATATAATTATACAGTTATATATGTGCCATAGATACATTATATACATATATAGTTACTTTTTTTAAACGTATAACGGAGGTCATCGAGAACGCCTCGCTGGAAGAGCTGCGGAAGTTTTTGCGGGTGGCCTTCGACTCCAAGAGACCCTTGGTGTCGGCCTCGGAAGTCCCTTTAAGGGATTTATATGGGCTGAATATGGGATGATACCCTCTGGTTATGTCGAAATAGCTATTGAACATGGTGATTTATAGTGGATTTACCCATTGAACATGGTGTTGATTTTCCATAGTTATGTTTGTTTACCCGAGGGTAACAATAATAACATTGGAATTATGGATTATTTTAGATTTATATATGGGATGAATATATGGGATTTTTTTATATGTTGTCTGGCAATTGTCATGCGATGTGGGATAATACTATAGGATTTTCTTTTGAATAATACTATAGCCATCCTATATGGTTGATATATCTTTATAGTAATGTGGATGAATATGGATGATAATGCTATTGCTATCCTATGGGATTAATATGGGTCAGTGATCTTCGAGAATTGATGATATGGATAAAATGTATATATGATACTGCTATTTAATGTGTTTTTTGATTAACAAGAACAATCCCTTGAGAATGAATGTTCATTATCCTGTGTATAATTGATTCATAACAATCAAACATAGTGATCAAATGAGGTTTGGTACCTGAAACAGGGAAAACATGGTGGTTGTAGTCATGTTTTTCCCTATTACAACAGCCACAACTGGGGGGGTATACAATATTTTCAGCCACACCCATTTTGAGCCTCAAGTGATGTTAGATGGGATGAGGTATATGTTTGAGTTTGGCAGCTTGCTCACCTTGGTTAGTCTCCTCCAAAAGTCTCAGAGTTGGTCAATCGCAACACTTTTCAGCTGGTAGTTTCAGATTTGGTTTTTCTACCGTATTTGTTTGGGATCTTGTATGTGGAAACAAATAGTCCTCAATTGTCAACTAATCTTCAGGAAGCTTAAAAAATCCGAGAGCATCAACCGGATGTTTTCAACATGGTTTGGTAGGGGACTTGCACATGTTGGAACCCAGCTACTGGATAGGGGGTGTTAAAAAAAGGGGTGATGGGATTATTCCTAATTCATAACCTCAACATCGTGGGATATCAAAAATATCAACCAACCGTAACCTATACACGATAGGATAGCCCCTGCCTCGGGTAATCAAATATATGGCAATGGAAAGCCTCCCATCTCTAGTTGATTTTCCTATTAAAACCTTCATTGATAAGGCATGTCCAACGGCTAAGTTTGATTACCGGAGGGTATATCCCCATATCATCACCACTGTTGATGCTTGATATCCCTATAATCCCCATGGAATCTCCTCTCCGTTTTCAAACCTCCAGGCATATCCAGGAATTTTCCCAGAGTTTTCCCATGTGCAGCGCATGCTTTCGGTCAGAGGTTGCGAGTAAAGCGCGACAGCAGCTGCTGTTGCTCTTGCGATCAGTGGCACCTCGGCAGCGTAACAATGGCGTAACAATGGTATGTCCAACCGTAGGAAGACACGAAGTGGTATGCATCCCAGGCATCGAAGTGGTGAAAAAATATATAATATATATATATATATCATAATATATGGGATAATCCTTCCCATTGACTAATATTTTTAATATGGTGAAAAAACCACCAACCAGATACATAAGATACATATATATATATATACGATATACATCGATATACATTATATTTTCGAACTATGCAATTATAGATATACACTATGTACTGTATATATCAGAAAAAACACTGGGTCACAAAGACGGCCTCGATGCAGAACATATCGCTACATGTAGTTTGCTATATCCCTCTACATGCGTTCGCAATATGTCGTGCAATATCTATTGATTTGAACATGGATTTCCATTAATCTCCACATCAACAATAGGGTGACTTCATGGTCAGCAGTCTTGTGTTCGTTGTTTTTCTTTTCAAAGCGCGGAAGGAATTTCGCTAAGAACAGCTCTGCTTTGCATTGCTCCGCGCCTTCTGTTTCTACAGATTCTACAGATTCTAATATCCTTTTCATCTTTTTCATGGTTTGCGACACATTTTCAACGACGAGACCTGTTAAGTGCAGGTTTCTCCATGGACCTTTTAGGTCTTTTCCCATATACACACACTTGCTCACCCCACATATCACTATGTATGATAGTATATATATATATACATATATATATATATAACATATATATAATATATAATAATATATGATAATATATGTATAATATATAGTTCGTATGTACATAGTGTAGATATCTATAGCCAATGACTATCCCCTCCGTTCGAAATCCAAGCGACGGCGCCAGGTCCGACGCTTCCATACGCTCAACGCCGGCAGCGATGCCGCCAAAGCCCTGAAGGCGGGGAATTTTGGTCGGTGGTTTTCTCGTCATTTCATAGGGATTTAGCCATCAAACTATGGCATATATAAGATGATATAAGTGGATAACAGTGGATAACAGTGGATATAACTGATAAGTGATGGCTGATGCTTAGTTCGGGGAGGATACTATCCAATATATTGATATATATTGGGGATTATCACACTCCATGAGCGGGGGGATCCCGTTCACAACCACCAAGTATAAAGGGACGACAAAAGGTTTTGAACACTAGAATCATGTGACAATCCCTGGAGAAAAAAAACATTTCTATTGACTTGTGATATAAACTCAACATTGCCACTGAATATATGTATTGGGAACGTCCATTTTCTGGTTGAATCAGTGCCTTGTTGTGTTTTTTTGCAACCGCTGGCTGCATCAGCCATGACAAGAGATACTGCATGATACTGCTTCTGTCCAACTAGATCAAGTTAGGAGGTTCTGTAAATGTTGGACCTTGGAAGCATGTCTTCTGAACATTGGATGATTTATATATGCTCATCCTGGTGAGACCTGCTTGAAGCCATGCTGTGCAGCCCGTTCGCCCGGTTTTTTGGTCACCTCCATGAGAAACCGCAGTTTATCCTCACTATATGCCCATTATATATATCCGCCCTAGATCCCCATTATGCCCCATTATGCCCCCATAATGCCCCCATAATATCCCATAATTGCTCCCTAAATACCCTATTTATGATGGTTCATTCCCCGAATATGATGCATGCTTGTTAAACTCCCTGTTTTCCCATGCTGCTTCTTCCAAAGCTCTGAACTGGCAGGAGAGAGTTCTGTTGGGTCCTCAAGACAGGAACTTCTAAAATCCTGTGCCGAACGATCACGCAAGTACTTACGTGTTTTGTCTTCTTGATGTGATGTAAAAAGCTACCTATATAGTCCTGCATACTTACCAAATATAGATATTTAACGATTTTTTTTTTACACAGACACAGATACATATCGATATATTAATATATTGATATAATGATATAACAATAGACATATCTCCAACCTTCATAAGGTCATGGTAAGGCATTGGTTTCCGAACAGCCACGGATGACTTCTCTATCGCGGCTGTTTCGCTCTTCAACACGCTCCGAGTCTTTTCGCCGCCACGGGTTTTTGGTTTCCCCCCAGCGGCATGATCCTCCTGGCGATAGGCGAATCAGCCAAGTGGTTAGAAAATGGGCTATATGTTAATAGAGGATTTTATATGTATACAATGATATATGTTGACCTTATAGCTGGGATGTATTGATATATATATATATATTATATTAATAATATATATATATATACGAAATTACATCAGTCTCCGCTGAGCTAATTCCGGCAACAACTAAGTACACTAGAGATCAGTAGAGTACTTTCCATGAGAACTAAGGCGTCAAGTAGTGAAACCCGTTGCTCCTGGAAAGACTGGGATCTCTTGATAATAGGGATCTTCGCAACTGATTCGAAAAGCCAAGAGCTAGGAAGGTTTGAGTTGAGTGGCATATGCAGTTTCGTGTTTGTCATGCTGCATCGTCGGAGGAAATTGCAGCATTTGGGCCATCAGCGGTGGATGGCTAGCTTGTTGAATTTCCAAATCACTTTGTTTGCATTTGTGCTCAATTAAAAAACAACTCCAAAAACCCTGCTGTAGTGTGGGATTTGTCTATTTTTGGGTCCTATATGGACGATATTTGACAGTAGTAGGACGATGGAATTGGAAATTTCACCAGTGAGTCGTGCAGGCTTTGTGCTGCTGCTGGTGTCTTTCGGCTGCGTAAGTTGCCCACCTGTAGAGCCAGCATGTCGATCAATGACTAAAGGGTTGATCATCAATGACAGCAAGTTTGAGATGGCAAAGGGTTCCGATTGGGGTCATGGCAAACAAACTCCACCAGTAGATTACTCGCTTTGTAGGTTAAATGATTGACCTTGAAGTTGAGCATTGCTAAACCTTGCTACTGGTTTTAGTGTTCTATGCTAATCAGATCCTCAGGAAAAATGTATCGTTTTCACACTTTTTTAGATGCATCATTTGATGAACATGTTAAACAACACTTTCTTATTCATTATTCAACATCAGGTTTTTGTTCGCATTGTCCTGATGAAACTGAGGCCATGTCTTTGGTTGTTCGCCATCACCTTTTTTCCCGCGAAGACTGATAGCATCGCAGGTGGAGGGCCTGGGAACTGGGCAATGGCCAAGCCCGGCAAAGCCCCCTTTTGCAGTCGCAGGAATAGCCAGCTAAATATGAAAAGTGTAGCAGTTTACTCACATTTTTCTTGATGTTTGATATCTGAGTATGGGTAGTACCCATAGGATCCATGGTGCTGGTATATATGCTAACATGACTGGGGTATATTGATGGGATCCATGGCACACCATATATAGCAGCACCAGCCGGATCCTATGACTCCAGACTCTCACCAATCCTCAGGCGTCCACCAGTGTCATCCAACATCCCTAAACCTGACTCCTCAAAGTAGACATATGTTACATATTAAATCACGTAAAGTATAATATCAATATAAATATAACATATAAATATATAATATATTATAATTATACATATTTATTTAAATGATATGATATGATATGAATATGATATGAATATGATATGAATATGATATGAATATGATATGAATATGATATGAATATGATATGAATATGATATGAATATGAAATGAATATGATATGAATATGATATGAATATGATATGAATATGATATGAATATGATATGAATATGATATGAATATGATATGAATATGATATGAATATGATATGAATATGACGTGATATAACATGTGTCTATATCCCATTTATCAAACTGGGGGATAATCCATGAATCTACCTGAGTATTCCAAAGGCTTATTTCCCACTGAACCGATGCTTGAAGCTCGCTATCAGCAGCTGGGAAGGCAAGAACTGCGCTGTCACTGGTGCGTCGGAAGGGCTTGGTGCTGTTATCGCACTTCATTTGGCGCAAGTGGGAGTGACATGTCATGAAACGACATGTCTTGGGACTGAGATGGGTAACCGGTACCTGGCAATTTAGGCCAGTGGTTGATCATCATTTGTCCTTTCAGCTGGCCAATTTATGGGTGTACAGTACCCCATTCGCAATTTGGGCAAGTGGAGAATGTTTGAGATTTCAAGAAGAGGCTCTACTTCACATGTTTTTGCGATCTCGGTGAACCTCTACTGTAGGCCCCTTACCAGCTCTCTCAAGGGGAAAGATGGGAACGCTCAATAGTTTATTTTACTTTGCAGAGTTTGTGTGTGTGTGTGTTTCATAGCACTGGTGTGCAGATGTATAGGTCGGCATTGTTTGTGATTTCCGTTGACATTTAATGTCTTAGAATTGAATAGCTGCTAGCTGTGTCAGTCTTTAATCAACTGAGTTGGCAAAGCGGTTGGCAAAGATGTTTTTAGTTTGGAGTTGGGGTTCCGCTTGGTGCAGGTCCTGCCGTTGTTTGTCACCAATTCAATTCTGTGGGCAAATTGTTCTGTCAATATTACGCACCATGTACTGAATACGCTATATAATACACACTATGTACTATACACATCTATACATATGAATACAATATTCATCAATATAGATATACAATGTACTGTTTGTCCTGTTTTTTTTTCTATCTACTATATGCTAAATACAGTGCACTATACTTTACACCATAGTATGCACCATCAGTGTGCACTATACTACACGATACTATATGTTACTTTCTGCTACACTAGACCATACCGTACTTAACATACTCTACTTGAGGGATACTACACTGAACTGCACTATACTATCCTATGCTATGCCATGCTAGACATGGTTGGTGCGAAAGGCTGCGAAAGGTTCGCTTTACACCAGGACCTTGTGCCTTTCTCGTTCAAAAGTTCATCCAAACGTCATTTTGCTTCTAGCTTTGGATTATTTTGTTTCAACATACTAGATTGCCAACATGGATTTTTACCTTTTTGCAACCCCGAAACAACATCAAACAAACTAGAAGGCATGACTGTTTCGCCCTTTTCGTGACATTTATTTGCATGAGGCTTGCTTCTGTGGGAAACACGGTCGTTCCCTTCCTGCAAATTCACTTTTCACATGGCAAACTCACAAGAGCTTTTGTGTTTTTTCGATTGAGGTTACTGCCCTACAGCCCTCAATCAACCCACCATTATAAAGATGGCTCCAGGTGAAAAAGATGCTGCTGGGTGCGCGGCGGATGGAGAAACTGGAGAAGGTGAAGGTCGACGTTGGAGCTGTTTCCCGATACAATCAACAGATACGTAACATTATGATGTAGTACATACTGTACGATTAATATTATATAGTCACATTAAGGTTGGCATGTATGGGGAGTATGACTTTAGTGACTTTAGTGCTTGATTATTTTTTTGTCTTGTTATTTTAGGGTTGTTCGAATTTATTCACAAATACAAAGTACATTGCTTTGTTTTCTTCACTGTTGTGTAAACACAACAAAAAGCCGTACTAAGACGCTGCCAGAGTGGAATCGCAAAAAGACATGTCCTTGTATATTGTAATCATAGAATTAGATTGATCTTTTCATTGCGAACATACGCAATATTGAGATGATTCTGACTGTTTCTGACGATCTTTTGCATATGTTCTGACTGATATCGTGGATAAATTGGACGCTAATATCGTTTCCAGTGTGATCCACTCACCGGGGATTTGTCCAGGCGGACGTGTTGAAGCAAGTTCCAACGGCTGAGGTGGGGCTTTTTTGGGGATGGAGCCTGGCAGATTTTCATGTGACAATGGGCATGTGAAATTTTGGGATCATCAACAAAGATGGTGACTTCATCAACAAGATTGGCAGCCTACTCAACAAGAATACGGACTAAATCAACAAACATGGTGACTTAACAATCAAAAAATATATAGTGGGGATATGATGAAATATGATGGGGATATATCTGGACAGTAGTCAACCATGACTGGCTGGCAAGTCTTCTATAAATGGAGGATAGTGACCAAAGTCCTGGTTCAGTGGTTATCATAGTAGGTAATTACAGGGGATTAAAGTATCAAATATGGGTTTTTAATCATTGAACATGGTGATGGTTCTGATGACTTCTGATTGATTGGTTCTTATAAGGGAATCTATCTTGTTTTGTTAGGGAGTTACACCTATTCTGAATCCCCAGTGAGATGCAAGTTTCAGTCGCTGATCGATTGATTTGAGGGAACTTGACAGGAAAGGACAACTTATTTGGAGGTATTAACCGTTGTTTGCTGCAGGATTTTGTTGTTTTTACTAACATGTTGCGATACAAGCGAGGGGCATCATTGACATCTTTGATACCATGGAACCAGGACACGGGGATGGCAGGTACCTGAACATTTTGGGGAACATGTCATTCCATCCACTGCTTAGTCACGACTATCCCGGTTACAATTGCCGCAAACATTGGCGTATTCACCCCATTTTCAGACACATCCATATCCATCATATCCTTTGTTCATTGGTTAACTCCCTATCTTTATCCTATCTTTGATGCAGACGTATCCTCCATTTGGAGGCTGAAAAAAATATTCCCAGCAGGTGGATCTTCAGGAGCAAGGCTACGTAAATGTTGGTAAATGGTAAATTATATCTATACGCTTTTGAAAATTTCCATAGCCGTATGTTAAACTACCACGAGGTAAAGGTACATCAGCAAATGTATCCGGTTTCTGTTGTAATGTTATGGCGATGAACATCGAGATCTCATCCTCCATTGGGGATATTGGGGATATGCGGAAACCCCGTGCGTCATGGACCCATGCTGCCGG